AACTTTTTAAACATTTTGAACATTTTGCTCTAAAATTGTGAAAAGTGAGGTGTTAAAGAGGTTTAGACAGAGAGCCGAGCTCCTGGTCTCCTGGTGCGTTACTCATGTCTGACACTGGGGCAGAGGCTTAAAGGGCCCATGTTACATCATTTTCTCATCAATTATCATGTTTACATGAGCGCTTTCATTCTGAATAAAAATAATTTAATTCTGAATAAAAAATTATTTAGCTTTAAAAAGACCATGCAAACACTTAATTCCTAATGAAAATGATGATTCAGAATTAAACATGATTCCGATGTAAGCGATGTAAAGCCAAATTAATTTATTCCTCAATCATGTAAACATTTATTCTTCTTAAAAATAATTCCGGTCATTCAGCGCATGCTCGTTGGGTTGCCATCTGACCCAATCCGGACGATCTGGCTCCACCAGTCCTCGCTTCGAACTTTCATCCACTGCTCTTTGGATTTGCGAGCTTTTAATGTTGCCGTCCCTGAGCTTTTAGATCTCTCCTGAGCCCTGTTTGAACCTCTCTCATGGATAGCTGTAAGATTCTGTCCAATGCTCCACCCACAAGCCTATGCCACCCATGCTCTTGCATGACAATTCTCCATAAATTTACAAAACATGATACAAAAGTGTAGACAACAAACCTGATGAACCTGATGAACCTGATAATGTGCTGAGTCATGGTGTGCTGTAATGATAATATCCAATCTGAAAGCAGAAAGAGGGTTGCCAGATCCTAATGTCTAGTATGACGTTAAACGTATCTGTCCTGGAGACCAGCAGGTATCTCCAGACCAAGTTACAGGTCAGATCTGTGGAGAGGTAAACCTACAACACGTGTTTTTCATTGTAACTTGAGCAATTTCATTCACACAAGATTGATCCTAACAAGCCCACTACACAGTGTAAGTTACACAGTGCACCTTTAACGAGTGTATTATGTGAAATCTATTTTATTTTATTTTTTTGAGCTTTCCACCATGTGATAGCGCTCTGAAGGGGAAGGAATGTAATGCAGGGAGCAGAGGGAATGACGTGAAGTTGGCCCCACATTAAACGCAAACCTACACAGAAACGACTGTGCTTTGTTTGGGGTGTTTTGTTTATTTTGTTTATTGTTATTTCGCTGATTACGTTATGTCATTTCCAGCGCCTTGTCATTTCTGGCCAGAAATGACGTAATGTAATCAGCGAAATAAGTAAATAATAACTTTACAAATATTAATGCAAAAAGTGAAATATAAATGGCACACAACAGCCAAACACACAACAGCACAAATAAAACAGAAATAATTTATGTAATAGTTCACATATAGTTCACAGGGGGCGGCTGAAGAAGAATCATAATAACTAATATCATAATCATCATAATATCACAAACTAAACTTTTTGCAGCACAAAACAGCACGAACTAAGCACAAACGGCTGATACTATTTTGAGCCATTCTAGAACATTTTTAAACTTCCTGACCCCAATTTGACCTATAAAAGAATCGTTAATATCTCCAAAACTAAAACAGCACGAACAAAGGTTTTTGCAGCACAAAACAGCACAAACGAAGCACAAACAGCACATTTCCGTAGTTTTTGTGTAGGTTTGCATTTGATGAGGAGCCAACTTCACGCAGGTAGCAAAGAAAGGAGAGACTCCAAGTGTTGTAAATTGCTAAAATATGCACAAATGTAATCTTTTTAGCAAAATACAAAAATACAGACTTAAAAGAAATGGCCGTCGTCAGTGTCGTATTAGTATTACGAGTATCAGTACTAGCAATGCAGTAGTATTTGCATATTTATGGTGAAATTACAGGTGAGCGCAGGTGAGTCAGGCTCAAATAATCCAGCCAGAATATCCCGAGTAATCCAGTGCTTCAGATCAAGGCATTTCACCGAGGTACAAGAGGAAGAGACGGAGGAGAAGGAGAGGAGGATGAGAGAGATAGAGGTAGGGGAGGATGAGAAGGAGGAGAGGAAAGGAGGTTTATGATACAGTAGGTTTAAACACCTTAAATTCAGGTTCAAAGGCTGCAGATAACAAGAGAAAGAAAGGAGAAAGGCAGATTTGTAATAGTAGTAGTAGTAGTAGCCATAGTAGTAGTAGTAGTTGTAGCCGTAGTAGTAGTAGTAGTAGTAGTAGTAGTTGCCGCAGTAGTAGTAGTAGCAGCCGCATTAGTAGTATTAGTAATAGTGGCCACAGTAGTAGTAATAGCAGCCACAGTAGTAGTAGTAGTAGTAGCAGCCGTAGTAGTAGTAGTAGCAGCCGTAGTAGCTGCCGCAGTAGTAGTAGCAGCAGCCGCAGTAGTAGAAGTAGTAGTAGAAGTAGTAGTAGTAGTAGTAGTAGTAGTAGTGGTAGTAGTAGTAGCTGCAGTAGTAGCAGCCGCAGTAGTAGCAGCACTCACCCGCAGTGTTTTACCATTTAGTGTGTTGCAGTAACTTTTTTCTTTCATATTGAATTACTACTACTACTTCCAACCCCATAGTAAACAACTTTGTAATCTGACCGCTTCGTACATATCCATTCCTACCCCCTATAATTTTCCCATTTTTAAGCCAAAACATTTTTTCCTTTAATTTCCTGATTCATTAAAACTGCATTGTGACGAAAAACTCAATTTTTTTTTTTAAACGTCTCCTATAAACTAGATAAGGACTCATTTTCAGATAAACTGGGGCTTATTTCAAACAAAGCAAATGCAATCCACACTGTCCATGAGCATAAATGAGACAGGACTTAAAAGAGGTTGCGCTTATTTCCTGACAGCTCTGCTCCAGTCGTGTGGGGTTAAGAATAATAAGTCATTTGAGCTGGAGAACAGGTCAGACTTTTGTGTTGGAATTTGAGGCTTAATTGTCAGATTGTTGACCTAGTTTATGTTTAATATCTCTTATTACTGGGTATATCTATGAAACAAAAACTAGCACAAAATCCACAGTTTCCTCTGTCAGTATAATAGTTTTTTTTTTACTATACATACAATACAGTATATACAGTACAATATGTCTGTGGTGAAATAAAGTGGTGCAGTTATTCAACCCTAAAGATGTGATTTCTTCCTGCGTTGCATTCTCAGAGGCCGCCCAAATGGAAGAAGGTTAAACTCCTGACCACCCGCTCTTTGAGGAGTTTAACCTCCTTCCTTTTGGGCGGCCTTAACTAGGATGAATGCTCATAGCTTGGATCAGTCCTGCTGAAATGTGGTTACATCTTCTGTTCTTTTTTACCTATTTTTAAGGGAATGTTTGTCTGTATTGTTGAGCTAAACTTAAGATGTGGTTGAGTGGAACATTGAATTATATTGTATGTCTACTGTATGTAAGTAAGGAAATATGTAAGTAAGTCAGTCAGTCAGTCAGTAAGTCAGTGTTTATTGATATAGCGCTTTTCACAAACATTTGTCACAAAGACGTTTTACAGAGCATTATTCATTCACTCCATACCCGGTGGTGGTACTATTGCAGCCACAGATACCCTGGGTCAGACTGATGGAAGGAAGGCTGCCATTCTGCACCATCTGCGCCTCCGACCACCACTAACACATACACACACCAATTTCATACTGGATGGGTGAAGTGCCTTGCCTAAGGACACAACAACTGTTTTTTTTTGTGACTGGCACCCCCCTGTGGCATCAGATTTTCCCAGTGGTCTCCCAACAAAGTACTAAACAAGTATGTCTGACACTGCTGCACAACAATTTCCCTCTGGGACAATAATAAATTTGAACGTTGAAAGTCACTCCCCGTTCAGAGCGCTCTCACAACATAATAAGCGGGCCTCCCACTAACAAAACTACCGCACAATGCATCAGATTTATCAAGTTGTTGTGTACAGTTTTGTATTGTTTTTTTGGATTTATGACATCTAAAACATCATCAATCATATTTTTGATGACAGAACAATGTTATAAAATTGTGGAAAGCTAAAAAAAAAAAAAAAAAAGATTTTGTATAATACACTCTCGTTAAAGGTGCACTGTGTAACTTTTCTAGTACAAGGATTGTTAGAATCAATCTTGCATGAATGAAATTGATCAAAAGTTATTGTTTTGTATGTTTTTTTTAATATATATGTATATTTTTTGGAGACTGTATGGGAGCACGGGTGACATAGGCTTGTGGGCTGAGCATTCTGCAGAATCTTACAGATAACCATAAAGGAGGTCGAATAGGACCTGGGAGAGATTACTAAATTACTGAAATAGATGACATTTAAAATGTCTTCCAGCATGTGACAAGTTTGTGGAGCCAATCCCAAACAAATAATGATGAGGTTCAACATGTGGATCATAGGTTTGGAGATTTTACCCGTACAGTTATCTAGAACCCTGCTCTTGTCGTCTCCTGCGCTCTATAACTGATTCTGTAGCAGTTATTTTTAGACTGTAGTGTTGTTTACCTGTTAATGTCCGCTCAGGAGAGGTGCATTGTGGGTAATGATGACAGAGGGGGTTCACCTCCAAAACCAGCCCCACACGGAGTCACCATCTGTGGGTAAGTTCCGCTCCAACCTCCCCCTGTGAGAGGAGAGGTGGAGGCAGGCTAACCACTCTGCCACAGTAATGCAGGGATTTTGTTGACACAGTACTTCAGAAGTAAACTTGTTGAAAGGAAATGTATAGTAATTACTTTGAAACTGATTTTAAAATGTCCTCTTCTCTTCTCTCCTTTGTCTTTTTCTCTTTCCTATCCGTATACTTTCCCTCTTTCTCTCTCCCCCACTATCCTTCTTCACTCATCTCGCTCTCTCTTTACCCTCTTCCCCTCTGCTCTCTCTCACTCCCATTCTTTTCTCTTTCCCCTCTCTCTCGCTTCCTCTCTCTCTTGCTCTCACTCTCTCTTTCTTTCTCTTTCTCTCTCTCTCCAATCCTCTCCAATTCCCTTCCTCTTCTCTTTCTGCCCCCTCTGCTCTCTTACTCCTGATCTCTCCCTTACATTTTTTCCCTCTCCATCCTTCCTTCCTTCCCTCCATCCATCTCTCTCACTCTCAGGTGCAAGCTCCCAGTTGTCCGTCGACCCCCGGTGGCCGATGGAGAAGGTGAGCCAAAACTTCTCTCATGTTCAGCTCCAGTCCAAGGTCATTCCAGAGCACATGCAAATACAGACAAACAGCACCACCTTCTGGCCATGTTCAGCAGCACAACATACTTCAGAAACATGTTGGTGGAGAGTTTTACAAGAATCTGGTCACATAGTGTACATTTAAATCACTTATTCATGGGTTTTAGTATAATGTTATATGCAACATTTCTTGGACTTTTTCCCATTCAGACATTTCCCATTCAAATTTCTCATCAGTATATCAATCTGAAAACCATGGACAGTTAAAGCTTATTATAACAGAATAATATTGTAATTTGACTATATTGTAATAGTAGTAGTGGAAGTAGTCTTGTAGAAGTATATTATTAGACAGGAGAAATTACTTTAGTTTAGTTTTGCACTTTCCTTAACTTATTTAGTTAGTAGTTTTCTAGAGGAAGGTTTTTAGGGTTTTACAAAAAATTCTAGATAGTTATTTTTATTTTGATCATTTTAGTTTATCATGTTACTTCCTGATTGGACACAGGGAGCAGATATAACATACGTAGAGGTGATTCCATAACTGTTACCTAGATACCTGTTACCTGTTGTACCTCATAATGTACAAGGGTCAAAACTTTGTCTAAATTACACATAGAATTATAATCAAATTTGGAAGATAAATCCAAAATGGCGCCATATTGTTTTCAGTGATCTGTGTTCATTGGTGCGTGGGTCCAAAAAATTATTCTCACTTCCACATTTACTTCCGCACTTAGCTCCTCCCACCCGTGTGACATCTGTGCACGGCATGGAGCGTTTGAACCAATCAGAGCGGGAGCTGCTAGAGCGGCGCTAGGCTGACTTTTACAAAGTTAACTTTTCGGCGCTTTGAGAATTTAAAAAGTTTAAAAAGTATATGTTGTGAAAATAGAAAAAAATCCCTACAAAATCCAACTTTTGTGAAAGTCGTTGATGCCCTGTCAGCCGAACACGGGCAGTTTGAATTCCCAAGCTCCTGGGAGTTGCAGTACCTGGAGCGGCCACTAGTGGGTCTCAAGCGAGGGTCTCTCGAGGGGGAATGGCTTATCCAGTTTTTATCATAGATCCATGAAATTAGACAACAGGCTCTAGTCACGCTTACGTCACAAACGAGGAAAGGTTTAGAAAGATGCAATGACAACTTCCAACAGTGGGCTTGCTGGCCGACTGTGATAAAAGTAAATGTGATCAGTGGTAAAATGAAGACTGCATATGTATGTGCTGTTTGGAATCATCTTGAATTTAATGCCCTCATCTCTTCTAATCGCATGTACCCAGTGCACTCAGAGTTGTGTGTCAGTGGGGAAATGCTGAAAACTGAGGTATGATTGGAATTGTTGATTAGCCAAACATAACAGAACTTTACAGTGACGTGGAGATGAAGAAAACTGGGCCATTTTCTCTTTTTTCCTAGATTTTGTCAGACTTATTACCGTAAATAGAGCCAGCCAGAAGTTGTCATGACATGTTTCTAAAGGTCTTCCTGGTTTATGACGTAAACATGAATAGAGCCTATAATTATGATTAGACATATATAAATAAATAACAGCATCTTTATTTAGTTAAATGAAGCTGTCTTTGGGCCTAAATTGCCTCTATATTTTGGAGTTGTCCGGGTTGATTATATAGTTAGAGGGATTCTCTTTTAGAACACGGAGCTACTTCCTGTATTTTGTACTTGGCTTCTCAACTTTTCTCTCACCAAGTGCCACTTAGCTGTAGTAAAACTATGATAAATATTGACCACAGGTACTATCCCACCTACAAAACTATGAAAACCTGTTATTCACACTTTAAGTAATGATACGTTTGTTGACAATATTTTTCTGTGTTTTTCAGAGTGATGCACCCTTTCACTCCACTGCCGTCTCTTCTTCTCCACTTCAGCTCAACCCCAAACCTTCGGTCACCAAACGCCATCGCAAACTCCTGCTCAAACGCACTGACTACTCCCCCTACAGCGCCCCCTACAGCGCCCCTTACACTCCGGACTACTATGCTCTCGCTGCTGTTCAGGAATCACGCCGAAATAGTCTGTTCGACGTCTGCTCGCGGTACCAGCCTGACGTCTCTGTACGCAAGATGAGCCAAAGGCAAATATCGCGCATTTATGTTGAAGATCGCCATCAGTTGCTGTACTGCGAAGTTCCCAAGTCCGGATGCTCAAACTGGAAGCGCGTTTTGATGGTTCTTAATGGACAAGCTCGCACAGCATTGGACATTCCACACGATAAAGTGCACTACTCAAACAAGCTACGAAAACTGGAAACCTATGACCGGGCTGGCATTGAAAAACGGCTAGAAACATACACGAAAATATTATTCGTACGGGAGCCTTTCGAAAGATTGGTCTCTGCTTTTCGTGATAAATTTGAAAATCCAAATTCATACTACCATCCTGTTTTTGGACGCGCGATAATTTCCAAATATCGCGTTAATGCTTCTCGGGCAGCGTTAAAAACGGGAGCAGGGGTAACGTTCCAAGAGTTTGTGCAGTACTTACTGGACATAAAGAGACCAGTTGGTATGGATATCCACTGGGAACCTGTCAGTCAACTGTGCAGTCCATGTCTTATGCGCTACAACTTCATCGGAAAATTCGAAAATCTACAAAAAGAAGCAAATTTTTTGTTACGGAACATCAACGCACCCAAAAATCTCACATTTCCGGATTTGAAAGACAGGAATCCTCTTGACGAAAGGACTTCAGCGAAAATAACTCAGCAATATTTTGCACAACTCAACGCAAGGGAAAGACAAAAAGTGTATGATTTCTACTACATGGACTACCTGATGTTTGACTATCTAAAGCCTTTCAAGGACCTGTACTAAAAATAGTCCTTAAACTGTAGGTGCTCTTTGATTGGACACTTACGGCACTAGGAAGGAACTGTTTTGTAGTTTTTTCAATAACACATCTGTGCTTTTTAATTCAATTTGCCATAAAAATGAAGTTTGTAGCAATGATTTCAGGTCTGATGAAGGAGAATATATAAGCATTTTGTTCTGATGAATAAAACCTGGACTTAAAGAGTCTGTACCTGATTTTTGTTCATGTATTTGAGCAAAATGTGTCTTATCTCAGTACTGATATATTGTATAAGCAGCTCTTGAGGTCAAAATAAGTCTGCCCCGTTGTTGTCTGTGTATAATTATAAAGTGTTGTATTGTGTGTTAAAGAAAGTGTACATTAGCATGATAGGTGTTGCAAAAAGCTCTTATAAACTGGATAGGATGCTCAGAATGCATAAGTAAAGTGAGTTTATCATGAACTAGTTGTGTTTTTCAGATTTTTGAGAATGTAAAAATCAGGTACCTCCCTGTTTATAGCCTTAAGCCAGGACTGAATCAGATCTTAAAGGTATTTTACTTTTCTGTCAAATGAACATGTTATTGTTTTGCCCAGAATGTTCCACAATATGTCTTTAAACCATTCTATCTAACCATCTATTTATTCAGTTCAAAAACTTGCTGTGAATGGGTTTGCCTCTCCATAGATCTGACCTGTAACTTGGTCTCGTGGCACGACCTAGTCCAATGAGGTTCATTTGGTCTTCCGATAATTTATGTTATTAAGTTCTTTTTCAGACCAAGAGTTTGTTTTCATAGCTGACAGTTTGGACTGCTCACTAGCGCTCTTCCTCAGAGTCATGTGATGTTGCTGTGACGTGTCCGATCATCTGATTTTAACAGGTTTTGGCGCTGTCTTCCTACCGGTGGAGGCAGGATGACAGCGTCATCTGCAGTCTGACTTGCTCAGGACAGTATCCCAAGTGTGTGAGAGTAAAAAAGCCCCCTCGTCCCGGTTTATAGTCCTGTGGCATGACCTGTTTGTCTTCATGGAGATGAACTGAACATAAAAATGAAAGTTTAATGCCATAGTCTGGAGCATTGTAGGCAAAGCAGTAACCCTCCACCGGAAATGTTACTGCACCAAAGTTATTCCTCACGTACCTTATGCATTCAGAGCAGCCTAATCCTAAAAAATTTTCACAACTCCCAGAGAGCAGAGCGGGGCTTTGCTGTCTCAATAAAACTAACAACAACTAGCATGCTAACCGCACTTCCTGATTTAGACAGTAAACAGAGGACTTATATTGACCTCAAGAGCTGCTTATACAATATGCATGGGGAAAGACACATTTTGTTCAGATAGATGGGTGAAATTGGGTACAGGACCTTTAATGCTGCATTTAGTCCCAGCAATTTCAATGAAGTCTATATATGCACTGACTGTCTAATCAATGTAAAATGTGACTTTTATATACTCTAATTTGATCAGATTTTGTAAATATGTTTGGATCATATCTGTATACATGAATACAAGTTTCATATACTCTCCAATAAACTGGGAATCGAACCTAACTTCTTTGGTATAATGTTTTGACTTTTTTTTTTTTTTTTACTTTATTAAAGAGTGAGTATTTTTCTTTTGTGGGGTATTATCTGCTAATATAACATATTTAGATCACCATGTTACTTTTTATTGTTTTGGAAATGTTATATTCATCACACAATCAGCTTGCATCTATTTTCAGCAATGAAACTACTGCACATCGTAACAGGTTTGTGAAGTTGTTGTGTACAGTTTTGTATGTTGCTTTTTATATTTATGTAAATTATCATGTGGGAGCATGGGTGATGTAGGCTTGTGGGCGGAGTCTTTTACAGAATTGTACTACTAACTATAATGAGGGTTCGAATGGTGCGGGAGAGATCACTAGATTACTCAAACACGCATGACGTCTAAAACATCTTCATCTCCTCTTTAATAAAGTACATTTATGATTGGTGGGTTCTCCAGACATCTGAACATTTTAAACTGCTCATATTTTCAAATAGGCCATAGAATTTGTTGATGTCTTAATTTCAGATGTTGTGCAGGGATCACTGTTATTGGAAAAAAATCTCCAAATTTACAAACCACAAATGCTGAACCTCATCTTTATTTGTTTGAGATTGGCTCCACAGACTTATTCATCTTATGGTTATGGCGATTGTTAGTTTATGGTTAGTATCTCAGCCCGCTATCTGGAATTATGACATCAACATCACTTTCTAGAATATTGTGAATCTAATGTTGAGTTTTTGCCCTTTTAACACTTTGAGTTTAACTTAGAGCTTTAACACTGCCACCCACTGGTTTGGGCTTTGTGTAAAAACATGAGTAAAATCTGAAAAACATTTACCTGTGGGTGGGTCTCTGTTCACACTTCACTCTGATTGGTTAAATTCACCTGTCACTCACTCAGAGCAGGACACTCACTTCTCACAGTATTTTAGTCCATTACTTTTTTGTGTGTATGGTTTTATTGCATCTATTGATTTCTTATTTAAAAATTGTGAGAAAATGTAAGGAAGCAAGACGTAAGAATTTTTGTTTTGTTTGTTCTCTTTCTATGGTTTTAAAGTGAAACGTTTCATTTGTGTTTTTTAGGTCTGATCTCAGCCAGTTAATGTTTTATGGATTATTTTTGCCTCCAGTTGCCTTTCAGGATTTTGCCAATTTTGCATAATATGCGGTAAAATGCAAACCACTAGAGGTCACTAAATATCAGTGCAATTCTTCTGCTGCTGTTGCTGCTGCTGCTGCTGCTGCTGCTGCTACTACTACTACTGTTGCTACTACTACTACTACTACTACTACTGTTGCTACTACTACTACTACTACTACTACTGTTGCTACTACTACTACTACTACTACTGCTGTTGCTACTACTACTACTGCTGTTGCTACTACTACTTCTACTGCTGCTGCTATTACTACTACTACTACTACTACTACTACTGCTACTGCTGTTGCTACTACTACTTCTACTGCTGCTGCTACTACTACTACTACTATTGCTACTACTACTACTACTACTACTACTACTACTACTACTACTACTACTACTACTGCTACTACGACTACTACTACTTCTACTGCTGCTGCTGCTACTACTACTACTGCTGCTGCTGCTGCTACTACTACTACTACTACTACTACTACTACTACTACTGCTGCTGCTGCTGCTACTGCTACTACTACTACTACTACTACTGCTGTTGCTACTACTACTTCTACTGCTGCTGCTACTACTACTGCTGCTGCTGCTACTACTACTACTACTACTACTACTACTACTACTGCTGCTGCAGTAAATCTGGTTTAGTTCTAGTCTAGTCCTAGTTTAGTTCTCATATGATACCACTTCAATCCTGGTTTAGTTCTGTTATAGTGCTGAGTTTAGTCCTTGTTCAGTCTTGTTTGAGTTCTCAGTTATAAGTTTAAACATTGTTCTGTTTGTCCCATACACAGGTGACACCCCCCTCCTCCCCTCCTCTGCTCCATTTGGACTATTCAAGAGGAATCATGAATGAAAAAAGCTGTTTGTGGTTTAAATAACAAACTTTTCAAATGCAAATGAACAGGCTGTTTCGATGTCCTCACAACAGGCTGGGTCCATATTACATCTATACACAGAACAAAAGAGACTGTAGTTCCCACATGAAATTTAAAGTGCATATTTATAAAGAAAAGTTGAAAAATGTGTTGAAAATTATAGTAAGTAGAGTTCTAAAACATTAATGACATCACACTAGAGAGAGTGCTATCCAAAAGGCACAATTTACAAACAACTTTATGACTCTTTAAGTATTAATACAACAACCACAAAACAAAATTATTTATATTTTGCAGTGGTATCAGACTGAGGGTGTTCTACATGTTTCTCTGGTTTATTATAATCATGTTGACAATTTACGACCACAAGATGGCAGCATATTCAAAGAAGGAGGGAGAAAGAGCGAAAGGGGGAGAAAGAGACCGATATGGGGTGAGAAGAAAAAGCAAGGCAGAGTGAAAAGGGAGAGGGAGGGCATCAGGAGTAATAGAAAAGAAGAGAGGAAAGAAAGGGAGGAGGAAAGAGAATGAGAAGAGGGCTGAAAAGACAGGAAAGCGGAGATGATAAGGGGGTGAGAGAAGGAGGGGTATGAGAGATTGAGGAGGAGAGGAGAAAGAAAGAAAGCATAGAGCAGAGGAAGGAAAAAGAGGAGGAGGATACAGAGGATAGGAGAGACAGAGAGAATAGTGAGAGCAGAGGGAGGGAGCAGACAGTGGAAGAGCCTGAGGGACACTTCTCCATCTCACAGAGCAGCAGTAATTGAAATGGCACCGAACGCCCAAGGCCAGAGCACAGAATATACAACAGAGAAAGACCTGGTTTAGACTGGGTTTAGACTTGGTTTAGACCTGGTTTAGACCTGGTTTAGACCTGGTTTAGACTTGGTTTAGACCTGGTTTAGACCTTGTCAAGACCGGAGTATATTCCGGATATTTAGAATATACAACAGAGAATGAAACCTGGTGTAGTTTTGGACATTCTTCCCATTGTGAAAAAAGCCTTATGGTAACAAAAAGAAACGACTTGAACATTTGTTTCTTCTTTCTTTCCATTCCTTCGGATATGATTTAGTTTATCTACTTTTTGTGTCTGTCCTTAAAAAATACCAGAATTTGTGCATTACAGTATTTAATGTTTTGTTCTTACAGTTACATTCACTTCAAATTCCTCTACAAGTTACTAGGTAGTTTCCCAAGTACTTTTACTCTTTTACTCTAAACTTTGTACTTCTACTTGAGTAATGCTATTTTGAAGTAACATAGGCTTCTCTTGAGTCCTTCAGGTTAAATCTTTGGATAGCCTTCATTACCCATAGTTCCCTCTAAGCCAAGATGCAGAATACCATCGCCTCTATCTCTTATATTTGGGTCCATTTTTGAATACAGCTGAACAGTGGGTGGGGGTGTGTGGGGGGATGTGGGCCCCGGAGGTATGTGCCCGGCCCTGGCTCCATGCATGCGGGCTGTCAGAGCGCTCTCCCCCGTCACAGTTAATTCAGCGTGGGCCCGGAGGCTGAGTGAACCCCCGGGGCGCTTCTCCTCCGCTCTCCCCGCCTCTTTAGTCCTCCTTCTGCCCCGCACACACGCACACGGACCCAAGGAGCAGACAGAGCGCACCGCGGCAGCTCCGAGCCAGACCAGAGCCACAGGACAGCGGTGGATCGTGGAGGTTTTTATGCAAGAAGTGTGCGCTTTCTCCGGTCAAGAACATGTCCACAGTGTCGGTGTCCTCACAGGTAAGGAACTCTCCACTCCGACGTAAAAAGCTCACAGTTCTATTTGGGTGTAGGTTTTTGATTTTGATCGTAACACAGTCTTTAAAAACATTTACCCTAACCCGAATTGGTGCGTAATTATGCCCATTATTGAGTCTATTGGATATTTTGTGGATTAACGCTGGTTTATGCAGTGGTTTGAACCCAGATTTAACCGTTTTGTAGTCCCGGATTTTGTCTTGGATTTGTCATTGGGTCAATCTCGATTTCATCCACGTTTATTTCCGATCATCTTGATAAAAAATTCTTTGCTTTGACTTTTCCGAACTTGGTTGAAAATTGTACATTTTCGAAACAATAATAATACACGCAAATAAGATTATTATTTTTGTTAATTCAACATGTAGCAGTAATTTGAAAAGGTTCATCTTTAATTCGGCTAGAATGACACATTCGAAGTAGTTAGCATTCTATAGATAAATTAACTTTTGCTGTTAGCTTGTGCGCTACTTTGTCCATTTAGTGGGCGGTAGCGTCATGCAGGAACTTGTCTATTCATGTATATTTATTTGAATAATGCCTCAAATGTTGGATAATACAACACTGCCGAATTGATAAATAGACTCGTATTTATGAAGACGTCTTGGATATTGTGTAATAATGCTAAGAATTTGCCTATAAATACCAGTTAACGTAAATTGTTGGTGTTTTCAAAAGGAATATGGCCCGCTCCGACATAGTTCTTCGGGGCCGTCCCACGGGGCATTTAACCGTGTGCAGTGACGCTAACGTGACCTCAGCAGCACCGTGTTATTGTGGTTACTAAGATCAAGTCAAATAGATAATTGGCTACACCATAGACCCACTTAAGTGCTATAAAAGAACCTTTATTTTGCCACAATGCCACATTCCTACAAAAAATCTATATATACATACATCTTGATTCAGTTTAACGCCATTTCCTATTAGTACAGTCTAGGCTTAATTCAGAAAATGTTAATTTTTAAGTAACATAATTCATTCTTTACCTTACTGAACGTTAAAAGCTATCTAAACAGAATGACAACACCAGCACCTGGACTAAAGTTAAAACCCAAGTAAATTAATTTGTGTTCACACTTGCATATAGACAACTTCAAAACTGTGATTAAAATGATATTCAACTCAAGACACGACCTGGACTGGAGCAGGACTAAACTAAGATTAATCCAGGACTAGACTAGGACCAAACACTGTCAAAACCAGGTCAAATTAGTAGTACCAAATAGAAAACTGCATAAAACTACTATACTCCAACCAGGTCTAGACTAGACTTAAACCTCCACAGAAACTAAACTGTCGTCTTAAGGTGGACTAAATCTGGGCTAATCCATAGTCAAATGCAGTCAAAACCAGGACTAAGTTAATAGTATCAAATCCAAAGATGGTTTAAACTAAAACTAAACCGCCACAGAAATACATAGTTTTAATCTGGACAAATCCAGGACCCAACATGGTAGAAGAAGCTACCATTATTTTCTTCTGCACAATAGTTATTCCAATCACATAAACCCAACCAGCGAACGTCAGAGAGAGCTGGAGGTTAGGGGGGGGCTGTGTGTCAGTTTACCCCCAGGCGAGTGCACGTCCTGGGGCAGAGACGCTCAGAGCTCCCCCTCCCTGCTCCTGGTGCCTCCTGTTCACCTTTCATGCTTCAAAGCTTCTTTTTACAATGGACAGTTTCAGAAAAGAGAAAATGAGGGATGATAGGAGCCTAAGGGGGAAAATCTGACTGAAATAAGAATAATACTGTAATTAAATATATAATTCAATAGGTTGGGTTCATGTTGTAGAATTTATTGTCATAATCTCAGATGAAGGGCAGGGTCTGTATCATGCTACGGGAGATTTACTGTTTTGAAAGAAATCTCCAAAGGTATGGTGCACAAATGTTGAACCTTATTTGTTGGAGATTGGCTTCGCAAATATGTCATATTTATCTTATGGCTTAAAGTTCTTTCAACTGAATAATGGCACCACTTTATGAAGCTATTGTGATCATTTCACTTTTGTTTATTTAGAAGACGTTGAACTTGGTCCTAGTTTTTGTTTGATGTGAATAGGCCTAGTAATTACAGGGATATTAATCATAAACCAGGTCAATAAATACGTGATCTGACAATTAAACAGCAAATCCCACCATAGAATGTATTTTTATTCTCATAAAAACATGAAAAACAGAAATAGTTCATTTATTATTATTCATTTAAACGGTTTACAGTGGTCCATTGAGTTTATAAGCACTTTTCACAACTTTCAGAGACCAGAGCGGAGTTTTGCTGTGACAGTAATGCTAACAACAACTAGTATGCTAACGTTCACTTTCTGTTTATCAGACAATAGAACATTTTATAATTAATTGCAGACAAGACCTGAAGAGCTGCGTATACAATATCATATCCGTACTGGAACTGTACTATGCATCCCCCTCTCTCTCTGCCTCTCTCATACTCTTCTGTTGTTTTCACAGGATGGTCGGAGCTTGTCTCGTCTCTCCGTCAGTCGTTCCCCTGCTTCCCCCCTCTCCCCCCTGGGCATCCCCTCCCCTGCCCAGCTGACCAAAGCCAACGCTCCAGTGCACATCGACGTGGGTGGGCACATGTACACCAGCAGCCTGGCTACGCTGACCAAGTACCCCGAGTCCAGGTAAGAACCAGAATAAGAACTGAAACCCAGTACAGGTTAGAATCACAAATGCAAACAGGTCCTGACCAAGACAAGCTCAAGATGTGGAGATGGGTCCCACTACTCCTGCCAGGTTTAATCCAGAGACACTGAAGGATGGGTCAAATGCAGAGGACGCATTTACCAACAAGAACAAAAAAGTGTACCTTGACCTTATTGCACACATGTAGTGCTTAGGCATTTTGTCAGGATTAGTTGTCTAAACAAGCCAGAACTGATTTCCCTGCATTATCACATCTGGCAGTTTTCCAGGTCAATATCTAGTCAAATTTAGAAATAACTATTCTTTTAGTCAGGCAGAAGAGTTTGTTTACCTGCTTCACATGTTTTAGCTCCGTCCTGTGGCAGATGGTGCAGTGACGTGTCTTGTAGCTGCTTATATGGTTTTGTCTGACATTAGGGGGCAAGAATCATTAATTAATAGTTTAAAACTGAAGGCATAATGAACCTTTACCCAAATCTAGCAAAATTATCCAGAATATGCAAGAAAGAAAAAAAAAAAAAAACCTCAAAATAACTTTGATTTGCAACCCTTACTGATTTGCACTCTTGGCATTTCTTCTCCCTGAGGTGAAAACTATTTCAGGAGACTTCACTAAGCAGCTCATTGAAGAAAGGTCAAGGGTTTGCTGTGCTTTTGACAAAGCATAGCGTGGCTACTATGAGCATTTCAATTTAAAGTATAAAAATATTTAGTTGTGGTATTTCACTTTTTTTCTTTGCTACATAATTCCAAATATCTCACATAATACAGTATACTTGATGTCTTCTATATGGATCTAAAATGTAGAAAGTAGTGAACTTACAGAAAAAAAATATTAAAAAAGAACGTGTGTCCAAACTTTTGACTTGGTAGTGTAAGTTAATAGATATAGGCTATCAGTATTGCTATTGAACTTATTGGAACTGGATTATATGTGGCCCATCTCTAGAATGGAGCTTTACTTGTGTGTTTACATCTGTTGTGTTTTCAGAATCGGCCGTCTGTTTAACGGCACTGAGCCCATCGTCCTGGACAGTTTAAAGCAGCACTATTTTATCGACCGCGACGGGGACATCTTTAAATACGTCCTCAGCTTCCTCCGGACCTGCAAACTACTGCTGCCAGAAGATTTCAAGGTAAGGCCCTGATGCCCTCCCGGTGAGACTGTGCCAGAGTGGTTAACACAAGGTCCTCATAGTAGTGTCCCATTTCAACTAGGCCTGCACAATACTTCACTATATATCCCATATATCCCACCTTTTAATAGAAAAGTAGTTTAGACCTCTACAAACAAATGAAATGTCCCTGTGTATCAGATGCCCTCCCTGTGTCTCCCTGTGTCTCTTATTCTGTGTAAAAGCTGCTAACACTGTAGTTTAGACCTCTACAAACAAGTTTTTAAATGAATGGGATTCTTGAATTTGTTTAAAGTTCAGATCTCTCAGATGTAAATGCAAATCTCACTCAAAAATTTGTCAGAAAAATTGCAGTTTAATTTTTTTTTATTGTGCAGCCCTGATTCAAACGCCTTTCCTCGTCTCGTCTTTCCATTTTTCTCTTGCATCTGTCAACAGCAAAATATTGAAAGAAAATTAAACGAAACGCAACCTTATGTCAAACCAATTATCTTTCTATGTCCAGAAGCAATTTCACGATCTGTTTTAGCTTTAAAAAAAAAACAGCTCCTATCTTAGCTTTCTTCTTTTTACACGTCTTTTTAATCAGTGCGACGCTGAGGCCCTGGAGCGGAGAAGAGGTCGAGAAAGAGTAGCTCAAAGCCAGAGCGCGCCGTGTGGGTTTTGTCAAATGATTATGTGCTGAAGCCGCGGCCATATTGGATCTCTCTCCTCTTGTAGTTAGATTTTCTGTGTGTGAAGATGACTAAAACGCCCAGAGGGAAGAAGGGATTTTTATAAAGCGCATGTATGGTTAGATGAGAGGAGAGAGGGAGGAGGAGGGGAGGGGGAGAGAGAGAAGGAGAGAGAGAAGCCCAGAGCTAAAAGAAAGGAAAGATAAGGGGAGAGTTGGGGGGGGGGGAGAGAGGGAGGCCTAGAGGAAAGCAGAGAGAAGAAGAGAGAGAGGAGAGAAAAGAAGAGAGGGTGTGGGGTGAGAGATGGAGAGAGAGAAGGGGGGCAAAGGAAAATAAAGGTTGAGAGAAAGGAGAAAAAGTGCTGAGAAACAAAGAAAGGTCGTGATGAGAGAGAGAGAAGGCAAGAAAGAGTTGGCATATGGACAGAGTGAGGACGACATAGAGGAGGAATAAGAGTGAAGTACGAGAGGAGAAATAAAGTGGAGAGATACAAAACAAAATGGAGAGAGAACAGATGGAGAAAGGAAGGGTGAGTGGAGAGAAGGATAAAGGAAATAAGAACGAGAGAGATCATTTGAGAGAGAGAGAGAGAGAGAGAGAGAGGAGGAGACAGAGGAGGAGTTTGCTTTGACAGCCCTGTGTGTGAGGATGTGAGGATGTGGATGGCCTGAGGAGCCTGTGTCTCTGCAGTGAAGAGACTGAGAAGCCACAGAAACAGAAACATGTGTCTGCAGCACTAATGTTACATATCAAACAATACTTCAGTCCAAATGTGTGTCTTTTCTAGAGCTGGGTGTTACGCTTGCCAGATGTTCAGGTTCACATTTTTCTGACTGAAAGCAACCAGGTTATGGACATTCAAATTTGTTTGTTATAAGACTATGTAAAATAGAATAAGCATTGTTTAATGAGGGAAAAAGCACATTGTCAAAGCCTTGTTAAAGTTGACACTGTAAAAATCTAATAAGTAGATCTTACTTGAAAAAAACTAGGAAACCGATTGCCTTGAAAATCAGACTAAAGTGGACTGTGAATCTAAAGCTGAGTTACAAGTAATTCCTCAGTGTAGTGTTCAGTAAATTCCTCTTTCATCTAACCAGGCACAGCAAGTGAAGTGAACTTTAGTTTTCATTCATAGAACTCATGTTGTGAAGCTGTGCCAACCTCAAATCTGAAATATGTAGTAACCTTTACTTTAAGAGTAAGTTCATCTTACTTGGTAAAACCATGGAAACCCATTGTCTTCATCTGAGCGAGTAAATGTTACTTCTATACACAAGTTAGAGTTCTATTCTACAATAATGCCATTTAGATCTGCATCAGACACAAGGACTTGAATATTTATTGGTTTTTGAAAAAAAAACGAACAAAAAAAACCCACATCATAACATGTGTAACAATAAAATAATATAACTATTCTATGACCAACTCAACCAAGGCCCCCAAACTTAGGGCTCAAAAAATCCTGGAAGAAATAAAACAGGTGAACAGGTGTAATTGAACACAGAATGAATGAACAGATGGAGGATACAGAGACTGAATGAACAGAGGGAGGATATAGAGACTGGATGAAGAGAGGGAGGATATAGAGACCAGTGGCAGCTGTAGGAAAAACAGGGAGGAAGCAAAAGTAGGACCGGAACAGACTGGAAAATAGAGTTGGACTCTTGGCAATAACACGTCACTGTTGAAGTTACTCGTCTCATTCAAGTTGACCTTAGTCTAATTGACAAGTAATGTGCTTTTTTCACCCTGAAAGTAACTGTTACTGTACTAAAGTAACACATTAAGATCCACAAATTTGTAGCTGTGAGTAAAGTAAACTATCTGAACACAAGTTAACCAAAGTGTTAGATTTTACAGTGTAGTCTAGTCTTATGAAACTAAGCAAAGCCAAGCCTGGTTAGTACTTGGAGGGGAGACCACTGAGAATACCAGGTGCCACAGTGAAGTGCTAGTGTCAAAAGTGCTGTTGTGTCATTAAGCAAGACACTTCACTTACATTGCCTAGTATGAATGTGGAGTGTGATGGTACAGATTGGAAGCCTCACTTCTGTCAGGCTGCCCCAGGGCAGCTGTGGCTACAATACCCTCACAAGTGTGGAGTAAATGAATGATGCAACAAACTGTAAAGCAACTTTGAGCGTCTGGAAAAGTGCCACATAACTCATGCATTATTATTATAACAACCAACCAACCAATTCTGACTATGAACTGTGTGTTCTTCAGATTTCAGTCTTCTCTCAGACATGAACGCTCCTGCAGTTGTTTACAATGTGCACTCTGAACAGAATTCTACTTTTTGATCATGTATCGCAAAAATAATCACAATATTTGTCACAAAATTTGCTATTTCATTTTCTCTCCCCCCAAAATCATGCAGCCCTAATTTAAACTTCTCCTTGTCTCCTCTGTCCAGATCTGTTTGAAATGGCATTGTGGGCAGAGTTTATGTGTTTAGTCCCACTTTAAATCTCCTTCTCTCTGTAGGAGTTCCCAGCTCTGTATGAGGAGGCGCGGTACTACCAGCTGACCCCGATGGTGCGAGAGCTGGAGCGATGGCGAGCGGAGCGTGAGGCTCAGAGTAGCGCGGGGTCAGAGTGCATAGTGGTCCGCGTGACCCCTGACCTCGGAGAGAGAATCGCTCTGAGCGGAGAGAAAGTTCTGATCGAAGAGGTATTTCCAGAGACCGGAGATGTGATGTGTAACTCTGTGAACGCTGGCTGGAACCAGGACCCCACACACGTCATACGATTCCCCCTCAACGGGTACTGCAGACTCAACTCTGTACAGGTCAGTGTGGACTGTATTCTATTATTGTAGTTTATTCTTCTTTTACAGTCTATTTGCACAAGGGCCACACAATATGTCATAAAAATATCGATATTGCAATACAGCCTAACACTGTAATCAATATCAAATTACACTGCCAGTGGGCTTGCATCTCCACAAACCTGACTCTCATCTGACTGAAAGAGGGCCTCCTCCTGTTTATCCACGCTTTTCCATGGAAATGTTCCTTTGGCTATAATATTCTAGCCTGATTCATCAATCGGTTTCACTTCGTGGAAACTGTCTGACTTCTCAGCATTAGAATTCGTTCACTCAACAGTAGGCGGGTACTTTTTAAAATTTAACCAATCGCTGCTATTTGATCATGCCATTTGTAATGTGCCACTAACTGAGATATTAAGCTTTTCTCAAATCCTGTAGGAAGAAGGGCAATAATGTCTTTCCCCTTGATAAAATTCACCAAACATTCTCTTTTCCGGCTTTAAATTCTCAATCTTGAGAATCATTGCCAGCACAGAATGTCTGGCTCTTCACTGATTGCCTGGTGCTGGGATTCGCATTTCCTGGGTTCTTGCAAACCATCTAGTGTATTCCAATTCCTGTCCTAGTTGTTGGAGAGAAATGAAATTGAGTGTAGGCACTAGGTGGCGCCAGCCTGGCTAATAATATTCTACAGTATGGTATAAAACTTCTATCTCCATGGTATGGTTTTAACTTTCTGCCACCTCCAGAAAGTTACAGTTTTGCTTTAAGTTATTTCAGTAAACAAGATTCCCGACATTATGACTGAATAAAGTCATCACATTCTGAAAGTATTGTGAAAAATATGTTAATTACAGTCAATACAGAGATATTAACAGGAAACCAGGTCGACCAATCTGCAATCTGACAATTAAACCTCAAATTCCAACATCAAATTCTGACCTATCATACCTTTGCTGTCTGGGGCCTTTATCTCCGCTTGCAGCTGTAACCCTCACCTGTTCCTGTTGTTTGGTGTTTTTTCTCCAGGTTTTGGAGCGCTTGTTCCAGAAAGGCTTCTCTCTGCGTGCGTCCTGTGGGGGCGGAGTCGACTCCTCTCAGTTCAGCGAATATGTTTTATGTCGCGATCTTAAACTGTGCACGCCGATCACAGCCACGCCCCTCCGCATCAAACAAGAGCCTCTGGACTGACGCAACAGCAGTGGGGCGCAAGACAGACCACCCACAGCCAGCAGGAGGCGCTAGACTGAGAGGGGAATGTGGAGAGGTCGTTATGGACACGCAATACAGGAGACACAAGAGACTGAGGAGAGACCAAGGACGAAAGCAGTTTAAAATAAATGTAGAAATAATACACACAGATCAGCCAGAACATTTTAACTATTTACTTGAACCCATACCCAAAACTTAATCATGTAGCTCTTGTAAATTATGAACGTGTTTACAGTGTTTTAAAGATAGAAATGCAGACAGATGTACTTAGGCCAATTTGATGCTAAATTTTTATTTCAGAAGTTTGCTCAGGGCACTCCTAACGGCCAATTATTGCATCATAATTTTATTCTTCATCAACTTCGCTGTGAAATAGTTGGCTCAAATTGGACATTTTATCCAAGACACACCTGGCAACCCCTCAAGGCAAAACAGTGTAAAAACACTGCTGTCTACTGTCTATGCTCACTGTATTCTGGGCTGTGGTCATAATGTTTTGGCTGATCTATGGTTGCTGGTACAGTATGTTGGAGGAAATCTTCTCTGGTCTGGATCAAAACTCTTTTTATAAACTGATCTGAGGATGTGTAATTTAAGTCTTTTCTACAATGGACATTTTTAAATTGTATATTTAATGTAATGTTTTTCATGTACAGATGAATTCATAAAAGAAAAATCAATCTTTGTTGTGTTATTACAGACAGTTCGGCGCATTCGCAAACAGCTTTACTGATACTTTGCAGCTGATGCCATCAACATTCCCTGGTGGTATGATGCTAACTTAGGGCAGTGCTCTGTCTGAGGCTTTGTTAGATTTAATCTGAGCTTTATTAGCCAACAGTTTTTCAGTTAGTCTCTCTGAGCGAGCGTAGTCACCATTAGCGCTCGTATTGATCAGAGGCCCATCTATTTTGTATTTGTTTCTTGAGATTTCAGACTAAAACCTTTGGGCTGTGTTTGCTAACGTGTGCACTGTGTCACCATGGTAACTGCTGGCATTGATATAGAACACCCCCAGCATGATATCACTGCAAAGTATCAATATACAACAGTCTATATGAGAATTTTGCACAATGAAAAAGCTGTATATCATATTTATTTACTAATAGTAATATGAAGAATTAAAAGATAATTTCCTCATTAAGACAACCATTCACATCACAAAATAATTAACAATCTTGTACTTACCAAATGTTGTCAGAAGAATTCCACCATTGCACAATTAACCCAAATATCGTGATATTGTATCGTCAAAAATCTCTCAATAATATCGTGGGCTGTCACAATATATCAAATTACAAGTTCCTTTGCTTAAATGCAGGGTTTTATTGTAGCAACAGCTAATAAACATAGGGAACTACATATCCCATGATGCATTTCAGTACAGACAACATGAATATGTTTTTTACTTGAATTCTTGGGATTATGACGGAAATAATTCACACCAATATCTTGTCAAGGTATTTTAAAAACAAAAAAGTTTCCCATCTACAATTATATCAGTCTCTTCAAAATATCACAACAAATATCGTACCGTGAGATGCATATCGTGATAATATCGTACCGAGAAATTTGGCTATTGTTACATCCCTAGTATTTAGTGTAAAACAACTTTTCACACAAATCTTCAAGTAGTACTAAACTACAGTAAGACTAGGACTAAATCAGGCCTAAGGAGGAACTAAACCACAACAACTAAGATTGAAATAAATTTAATAACAGGAATGGTTTTGAGACAGTCAGTTTGCATTCACGTTCAGAACTGGATGATCTCATAATCTCCTATAAAACTCTATGGGAGATTCACTATGATTCATAAATATTTGTTTGGGATTGGCTCCACAAACTTGTCAAATTAATCTTATGTCTTAAAATCCTTTCAGTTGACAACAATAACATCTTTGGGGTTGAATACCGGCACTACTTTCTGTAGCCATTAAAAATCATTAGACTTTTATGCTGACAGACGTTGAACTTTGTGCCCTTTTGAGTTTTACGTGGATCGGCCCAGTAATTATACAGATATGCACCATAAATCAAGTTAACAAATCTGCACAAAAAACAGTTTAACAGCAAATTCCAGCATAGAATTCTGACCTATCCTCCAGCTCTGTTTAAATTACAGGCATTTTTGAGACAATAACACAAGTACCGACTCCAAAATTACATCTTTATCAATTTATTCATTTATTTTTTGCAAAGGTACAAACAACTGTAAAATTGCATTGCCTGAAATGTTTTTAATACAGAACATAGCAAATATAAATAGTCGCAAAAATCGTGTCCTTTTTGAGACAGGTGGTAGTTACATGGTGACACTACAGCTTCAGAACCCCCCCAAAAAACCTACTGTATTACTATGATCTCATTATTATTATTATTATACAAATCAATGCCCGAAGGAGGAGGGAGAGACAATTAAAGCGATAAAAACCTTTCATTATTTTACACACGCTTTCTGAAAAATAAAATCTAAAAACAACTTGTCAACAGCAAACCAGGAAGCAAAACTGCATAATTATCTACGACGATGAGGTTCAAATATTACAAGTTTTTGAGAACGTTACAGAGGTGAGATGGTTTGGGGAATAATGGTAGGAATTTCTGAGTAATTCTAAAATGGGAAAATTGTGGAAGGGTATGGAGGAGAACCAGCTCCAAATGACGGCAAAAGGAGAAACTGTAAAGAAAGTGCGGATGTGAAGGAAGAGTTTGAAGTTTTGAGTTTTTTTTTCAACTTATTTTTTAGAGCAAAGGTTTGGGGAAAAATATGATGGAACAACTATGAAAATATTTTTTAATTTGTTTAAAGGTTTCTCATCTAGGATAACCATTGATACGTTGCTCTTGAGGTAATCAACATTCCCTGGGGGTGTGATGCTAACTGTAGGCTCCGCTCTGTCTGAAGCTCTGTTACTCAAGTTAGACTAAAATCTGACCTTAAAGAACTGACTGGAACTACAACAGGTGAGATGATTTGTGCTGTTAAACAAGTCCCTCTCAAATAACATTACAGTGCCAAGCATTAACCAAATCAAACTCCTAAACAGGACCGTGAACACCTGAAAATGTGCTGTTAAACCCATTTTGTATTTTTTCTTGGAGACGTTAAAACCTTCTGGTAGTTATTGCTACTGTGTGCATTGTGTCTCCATAGTAACTGCTGAACATTCCACCATAGGCATACAGGCACAACACCCCCAGTGTGACATCACTGCAGAGTTAAGAGTTTTTGTTGAAACTGATGTTTGGAATTTGAAATGTGAATATTATAATAGATGTAGCTTGCCATAGTAGTCACGATTAACCATGCACATTTCTAATTTAAATACATTACCCATTTATATTTCTTCTAAAATTCGGTGCAATCACTTGTTTTTTTTATATTTTTGAAGAAACATTTGGCAAAAACTAAACAGTACAATAGGAGTCAAGGGAGAAATCCATCAAAATAAGGCAATTAATCTCAATTAAAATGTTTAAATCTATAAATTACGTAATTCCATTCAAATATAGAGCTATAATATAAATAGAGAAATTAGCAATTTAGAATTTTCCAAATTAAATCAAACTCTTCCTTCAACATGTTACGTTTGTAAAAGATGTCCTGTACCAAACATTCAATATTTAGACCCCCCCCCCCCCAAAAAAAAAAAAAAAAAAAAAAAAAAAAAAGAAAAAAAAAAAAGATGGCACTTAAAAATCTTCCAATGTTTCCCTCAAAAACAGTTCAAATTTTAACATCCCACTTCAACACTTCTTTGATCAAATTACAAAACCCCAGAATTTCTCCATGTTGGTACAGTAGACATCATTAAGTTAAAAACACCAACATGTAAATATGACAGGTATTGAATACGTCTGTAAATGACTAATGACCTGAAGGAAAACCAAAGAAAAAAAAAGGTATTTAATTTTATCAGGTTTGAATTAGCTGAGAAAATATTATGACCAAGGTTAAAATGCAATTAGAATTTTTACAGCGAGATTTGGACAATGAAATCTAAAAGTGGTATGGTATTCATTTTTCAGAATATTTAAATGTGGACCAAATTAGGACTAAAACCAGAAGTAAACCTGGACTAGACTAAATCAGGATTAAACCAGGATGAGTGAGTCTTTCCATACAGTTGTTGCAATAATGTTCAGTTCACATTTTTCAAAATCATAAGTTGAAATTTTAATTAACTTTGCTTTTGTGTCAATTTATGTTTTAGATACAATTTCTCCCAACATGTATTTCTTAACTATAAACTTCATTTTTACTCAAACACTGAATTGTTTACACTGGTTATATAGAAGACACAATACTGAACCAAATTTTATAAGTCACTAAGTACCCTCCCAGCCCAGTTCTGCAGCTCTATTTACTTAAAACTTGAAAATTGTACACACATTTTTAAAACCGTATTGGTATTGGTCATAATATATTCTCATTTTTGAATACTGTCAAATCTGAAATAATTTATAAGAAGCACAAATTTTACTTTCATAAAAAAAAAAAAAAAAAAAAAAAAAAAAACTTGATTTGAAGATTGCTGTAGTTCCGCAGTCATGAACAGGGGGAAGGTTGAATTCCAAAACATGATGAAAATTGTCCAAAAATCCTTAAAACTTGAAATATCCTATGGTGAAAACTGCATGGGGCCCAGTGCGATTCCTTGTGGGACACCGTCTGTTGTTAGAATTAGCCTAGCAAGAGTTAGCAGTTAGCTTCACTTGAGCAGGGCCTTGTAGAGCATTAGCGACCGCGCGGTGGTTCGTTCCTGCTCCAGACAGAAGATAAAGTCCCTGAGATTGACCCGAGTGATTCTCTGTCGCAGCTGCTGCCGAGACGAAGCCGGAGACAAGGAGAGGCCGGAGCCGCTCGCAGACTGGGGAGAGAAGAGGAGGGAGAGGGGAGAAAGTCATGAAATATGTCAAATCTGTCAACTGGACAAATGTCAATCAATCAATCAAACTTTATTTATAGAGCACTTTTCATACAAACAATGCTCTTTACAGTGCTTTACAAAGCTAAGCTAAACAGTTTGGTGTTAAGATTACCATCTGTGACATAATTATCTTTTTTTTTTACTACCAACTATGTAGAATCTGACATAGCTATCTTTTTTTACAAATAACTATCTGGAATCTGGAAACTTATACTGTCTGGAATCTGGGACACTAACTACCTGGGACCAGTACATAAAGAAAAAAGAAACCCTGTACAACATCAGCACATACAACGAAAACACAGTACTGACATAATAATAAGAGTAAAGACGTTTCACTGCTGATCCAAGCGGCTTCTTCTTAAATGAGCTGCTTCTTATATCTGCCTGAAGAGAGGAGCTAGCTACACTGAAATGAACACACTTATTTGTTTACAGCTTCTGTTAGCCAGGTCTTTTGAACTACACTAAGTGTGAACTATTGAGGACTCTGATGGGTCACACCTAGCATACTGGCAACAAAAGGGGGGACAATAAATATTAATGAACATTTAGACAAATCAAATATGACAGATAATAGCCTCAGTCTACTCTCCATGTGCAGACACCCTGCAAGTTGGTGTTACAAATAAAATAAACACTATTTACACCGACTTTGTACAGCTGGTATCGCTCAGACACCAGGCACTTGTACCCATCAGTGTAATGCAGATAAAGAACCTAGAGGACAACACTCTGTTATGCTAGAACTGGCTCCCTAGCATAGAGCACACACAGTCTGCAAAGAAGGTAGTTGTAAAAGTAAACTCACATTAAAACTGAAATTATACCCAATTATACCTAGTGATAGTAGTACACATTTTAAAATTCTTTTCTAGTTTTCTAAAGTGAATCAAATATCTGGTATGGGTGTACTCAAAATGAAGTACTGGTACTCTATCTGTTAAAGTGGTATCTGTGTTTCCCTATCATCAGGTGTGTCTGTCTTCAGCCTTGTGTTTCTGGAGCTGGTCTGGACCTGAAAATGGCCGCTCCTTTTTCTCTGAGGAGGTTTGCGTCCTGCAGGTTTGAGCCCACAGCTAAACTAAGAGACTGATAGAACAGGTCTCCTCTCCTCTGTCTCCTCCCTCCTTTATCTCTCTTTCCTCCCTCCATCTACCCCCTCTCCACTCTCTCTATCCTCCCTCTCTCTTCTGTCTTTCTCTTCATCTCCCTCCTCTTCTCTCTCTCTTTTACAGTATTGCACAAACAGTGGTATTCCCAAAGATAGCTGGAGGTGAGTTCCCATGATCCTTTGAGTGCTCCAGGCGAGAGTGAACGTCACGGGACAAGAACCAACTCAGTTCATTCACAGAAGCTGATCAGATGTAATGAAATTTCAGGGATCACAACAGTCATGACAGTTTGCTGGGATTCACCTCAGGTAAACTGGTCAAAGTAATGCAAATATATTTAAAGTTTTTATGAATGTATGCATGTAGTGTGGCCTGCATTCACAACATACTCTTTTCCCACAAGAAATAATGCCTATGCACTAATACTTTGGACATAGCACCTTTCACACTACACTTGGTGGTGGTAAGCTACTACTGAAGTCACAGATGTCCTGGGATGGACTGACGGCGGAACGGAGTCTTCCAAACTGCACCATCCACTGGCCTCTTCCACCACCACCAACACTCACCACATTAAAAATGAGCAAAGAGTAGGTGGAGATTAGGCATTGACAAGGCAGGATGGTGAGTGGGCTCACGTTTCATGTGACCATCTGATAGGTGCAGACTCAGAGTCAAAGCTAAATATTAAAAAGCTGTCTTTGAGAAAATTGAACATTAACTGAACTGAGTATAAACAATTATCAGCACAAAACTGTAGGTCCCTATCAGCTGAACACTTCAAGGGCAGCAGAGTCTTATGCTGCAGCACCATGGACATGAAATGGCCACTAGTGTCCTATCCAGGTCTTTTTTTTGTAAGTCAAATGAATAAAAATCTAAAACAACACTGAAATCTGTTTTCTCTGGACAATCCAAGATCATCTGACCTACAGAACAATGAATGAACTGAGCAAAACTACTGAACAGTGAATAAAACGCAGCATTAAGTTAAACTCCTCGTGTCTCTGATTATTATGGAACAAACCAGGCCAATGTTCTGAGCTGCTTCAGGCTCAACAATGCCTCAGAGCTTAAATCAGACACTACATTATAGTGTATCCAGTATAAATAACACAGTGCTTCACATGTGTTATGTCAATCTAAGAAAATATACATGTATTATTCTGAATGAATTCATTATATATATTTTTTTGTTCAATTGAAAAAGAAGTTCAAACAAAGCACCTAATTATGTTCTAATGGGATTTCATGTTTTCTTCTTTTTGAGCTTCAATAAGTTAATTGATGCAAATTTTGAGACAGCCAGGAATAAGATTATCAACAAGTTAAACTAAAACAACTGGCTTAAATAAGAAAAAATATTTCTGTAAAACGTACATTAAGTATACTGGATACATGTATTACTGTTGTCTTGTGTTCATTGAATCCGCTTGAAATAAATAAATAGTTTAATATTTTGTAAATGTATTTATTTATTTTGTTTTTGTGTATATATTTGATTAAAGCTTTGGTTTGTGATAAAATTGATTTATAGTCAGATTTTTGCTCCAAGAGCAGCTTTTTTCAATAGAGTACTAGAAGAAAACAAATGTATGTAACTCAAAATAATAAGGTAGAGCCCATCCCAATTCACACTGTAGCTCAGTGCTTCTGCTTCTGTTCTGTGTAGCTGAACTCGATGGAATTTTCCTTCTCTGGTTGTGCTGTCGCCACTCTGGCTGTTCACCCTGTGCCTCTGCCCCAGGACAGGTTCCTGTTTGGGGCCTGGAGCGTTCACACAGGCCCCGTCAGGCCCTGGGCCTCTTACACCTCTACACCCCGCTCCAGCTCTCCTCTCTTTCACCTCTACACCCTCACTCCTCCTCCACCTTCTCTCTTTTAGCACCTTTCCTCCTACAGCCCTACACCTTCACTCTGCCTCTCCTTTCCTCCACTTCTCCTGTACCCTTCCACCCTCACTCCACCTCTCCTCTCCAAACCTCTGCCCCAAGGCAGACTGTGAATGCACGCAATCCACTAGCTCTGTTTCCCCAGCAGCAAAACAAAACAACCAGGCCTAAACAGAGACTGAACCAAGAGCTGAACGAAGGGCTGATCTAAGGGCTGATCCAAGAGCTGATCCAAGGGCTGAACCAAGGGCTTAAACCAAGGGCTGATCCAAGGGCTTGAACCAAGGGCTTGAAGCAAGGACTTGATATGTAATATTTGACAGTAGTGCCCAAACGTGCCAGCTAGGGTTGATGAAAATCAGATACTAATCAAAACTAAAACTAGTATCAAAACTAGATGCACATTTAAGCAGGTACTGATACTGAAAAAGTCACATTCAGCGGACAGAAATGAACCTTTCCTGAATAGTTTTAGAATGATCTTGAGCTGTATCAGAACAAGTATGAGAGCACATAGACTAGTATACACCCATGGACCACTAAGGAACCTACCTGGACTACTGAGAGATTACACAGACATAAAGCCACGGTAATATAAAAGAAAGTACTATGTTCTTCTATTCTATTGAAGATTATACTGCTCTTCAATTGTATTGTCTAAACAAAAAGTGTTTTTATTATCAGTGTGTTATCGGAATCAGTATTGGGTATCGAAAATGTTAGTACTGTGACAAAACTAGACCTGGCCCATAGCTCAGATCTCATTTTTGCATTTCTTTAGGAGATTATCCCTCTGTCCCTGTCCTCTGCTCTGGCCCCTTTGTGTCCCTCACTTGCCCGCAGCCCGCCCTGGAGTTAGAGAGGGGGAGCTCCCATGATGCACTGCAGCAGACCCCTGGGCACTAAACTCTGCCTGGAGCAAATTTCAAAGATCTACATCTAAGACTGGTCGTAACAATGGACCCTTTACAAACCTATAGACAACAGTCAACAACAGGGGATTCTCTGAAGAATATCTCAACATAAAAATATAATTTAGAATTTTTGTATGTGCAAAAACATTTAACAAGTACAGCTGTGCAATTCATATTTTTTTTTTAGATGCAGTCATGCCTAATTGTCAATGATCAACTGGGGTCTTTCTACAGAACCTATATTACACTGTTATAATGTTGTTTCCTCATCACAAACATACCTGGAGTGGTGTTTTGTTTCATTCTCACATGTTTAAAACACAAATCCTACATATTTAGGCTGAGTTCTTCTCTCAAACAGAAAATACTCAGTTCTACCTTGTGATGTCAGGCAAGAAGAGCTCTACTATAGTTTGCAACACCATACACCTTCACTAGAATCATTCAGTAGAGAATGGACTATTTCAACCTTGGAACTGCCAAACAAAAGTTAAAAAGGTAACAGCTGAAAACTTGAAAACTATCACTACATGACATCACAAGGTGGAACAGAGCATGTTGAGCTTTGGCAATGGAGACAGATGAAGCATTATTCAAACATGCGTGAATGAAATAAAACACAACTCCAGGTATGTTTTTGAGAAAGTAACAACATTATAACATGGCAAAATTTTGCATTTAAAAAAAAAAAATCATAGCAATTGATATTTGCATGTTCCTTATGAATTGAGCAACCAGATTATTTCTGTTGAAACACATAACCTCCCATCATGCACTGCACTGAAGCCTAAGGACACCAAACAAGGCCCGAAGGGAGAGAGAAAATGGCAGGCAGTGATAGGGAGAAAGAAAGAATGAGGGGAGAATGGAAGAGAGGGAGAGACAGAAAGAAGAGAGAAGCAAGAGAGATGAAGAGAAAAGAGAAAGAAAAGGAAGAGAGAAGCGAGAGAATAGGAAGAGGGGGAAGTCAGAGAGGGAGAAAGAGGACAAAGGAGAGAAAATAGAGAGGCAGTGATGGAGGGAGAGAAAAAGAGGAGAGGGGGGGACTAAACTGAGGGAAAGAGAGAGGTAGAGAGTCCCTTAATCTATCCTGAGGCTCTGTGGTGCCCTCTTTCACTCAAATCCTTGCTCTTCTGGATTAAACAGATCAATTTGAGGTGATACAAAAGGTCAAAGGTCACAGTGTTATGAGTTAAAAAATGGACAGGATGGCCAAGGGAGAGGAAAGCTCTAAAGGTGGTTGTACTTTAAGAACAGAGGAAAAAGGCCTAAATCAAAAGCCTTGTTTCTATAGATACTTTACAGTGTCATCACGCTTGAGGTGTTACGCATGTATCACTATGGTGGAATGTTCAGCAGGTAACAAAGCACACATTAGCAAACTCTGCCTAAAAAGTAACCATAATCTGTAAACTAAAGAAAAAAAAACTGTCATTTTATGTGTGAGAGTTTAACAGCACACATTGGTACACCTGTTGTAGTTCCAGCACAGTTCTTTCTGGTGAGACTGTGTTGAAATAAAGCTCAGATTACAGTCTAATAGCACTTCTGACAGAGTAGCGCCTATAGTTAGCACCCCCAGGGAATGTTGACGACATGAGCTGCAAAGTATGACTAATAATTTCTGTGACATCTCTAGAATAAGTTGAATTCACAAATTAAATCTATTGGAGCCATTCAAAGTAAGAGTAAGTGTGTGTTACCTCTGGTCCTGCTGTAGCGCCCCCTGGTGAGTCGAGCTTGCGTTTCTTTCGAGGTCCGATGGCAGCGAGAGCCGTGAGGTTGGCGTCTCTCTGCCTCATCTGAGCCAGCTCCTGTTGCTGCATCTGTGAGCCAGGAATACACAACATCAGTATTTCCCACAGGTTTACACTGAGACTATGGTGGCACTGGCAATCCATATTTGTACATTTACTTTTAGACATTCATTTTAGACAATTTATGGAGTATAATTTTTATTTATTATTGTTTTAAAACCCTCACGCTCTCCTCGGGGTCACATAAATTTTAGGGTCTGATTGACCTGCTCCAAGAGAGCAGGAAGGAAAAAAAAAAAATCTTCAGGTCAATGTGACCCCGAGGAGAGCGTGACGGTTTTAAAAAGGGTATGACAGGTTAGACTACTCATTTCTATAAAACATAGTTAACATTGTAATTAAGATTTCACTAAAAAGCTTGCCTAGCCTTTTCTGGTTTTGTAATTTTGGTGAAATTTATAGTTTCATTTAATACAGACTCATAATGTAGAAGAATGTGACCAAGAAGCAACCATAATGTTAGGCTGAAAAACTTGTCTAATTTACACATCATTACTGTGATTAGACAAGTACAAAATAAATGAAAACAGCATTATTCTGTTAAATCAATGTTTAAACTGTCAGAAAAATGCCTTCCTTTTGCACAAATTGTCTCTGGGTTGTGGATGAAATTGATGACAGTTGATGACAAAGGTAAAAGGATTCCATTTAAAACTCACTGCTACTTCCTGTATTTTCCAACCTTGTTTTCTACATTTTTCCACTAAGTGCCACTTAACTGATGTAAAACCTATGATATATATTTCCCACTGGTGCTACCCCACCAAACCAGGTCAGAAGTATAATAATGAAAGAGCCTGAGAAGGAAAACTATTAATCTTTCAGCAGCTTTGTTCTGCTCCTCTGCTTTGTGCTCTACTCGTCCTGTGTGTGGGTTGATCTTCCCAGCAGGTGGCGCTGTACATGGGCTGTTACAGTAGTCCATGTGTGCTCTTTCTCTTTACATTAGTGTTACTAAGGCTTAATGAGAGACTAAAGTGTGGCCTCAATCTGTCTGTCTGATCGGCTCTGCATCAAATACACAAGACCCAAGCTGCACAAGAGAGTGTTACCACAACCATTACACTGGGGCCAGAATGAGAAGAAAAAATAAACAGCCATTTTCCAACATTGTTCCAATAACAATAATCAGATAGAAAGATATCAGTACTAGAGATGCACTGATCCAGCTTTTTTCCAAGTAACTACAGAACAACTTTTTTTTTTTTTTTAAACAAATTTTGTGTGTGTGTGTGTATGTATGTATGTGTGTGTATGTGTGTATGTGTATGTGTGTGTATGTATGTATGTGTATGTGTGTATGTGTATGTGTATGTGTGTGTATGTATATGTATGTATGTGTATGTGTGTGTATGTATATATGTATGTATGTATGTATGTATGTATGTGTGTGTGTGTGTGTGTGTGTATATATATGTGTGTGTGTGTAATATATATGTATGTATGTATGTATGTATGTGTGTGTGTGTGTGTGTATATATATGTGTGTGTGTGTAATATATATATATATATATATATATATATATATATATATATATAAGTGTGTGTGTGTATATTAGGGCTGGGCAAAGATAATTTTTTTAAATCGCGATTAATCGCATGAGTTCGAGCGATTAATCGCATGTTATACGCAAAACCAATTAATGAATTAAAAAGTAGAGTATAGCGTTCTTTTATTGGAAATGTAAATGAAAGAGCCATACATTTGTTGTGCAAACAGCATTTCTTTCACAGGGGAACCCTCAAAGCCTTCAAGGTATTCAGGGAAGGCTCAAGAAAAAATATTGAATGGACGTTTGTACTACTAATATATTTACTGAATATTTTTTATGCTGTGAGTAATGAACACTACACTAGTAATAATTTCTAGATCAGTGTTATAAACTTGGACTGATATTTCTTTGGAAACCAAGGGTTAATATAATGGAATGGAAATGGACCAATCACTTTTTTTCTTCCAATGGCATCTGGGTAAATCAGTTACTCCAGCACTAAACTAAAGAAATAAGCTCAGCTCAGAGCACACGGCTGGTCTGGCCGGAGCCGGAGCCCACGGCCGAACTTGAGCCCGGAGCCGGAGCCGGAGCCCGCGGCTCGCGGCGGCTCGGGCACGTTGCATCTCACGTGGTCTGAAAAAAGTGTAAAGAAAAGATGTCAAACTTAAAGAAACGCTCGCGGTGGACTTTTTCAAAATAAAAGCCAGTCAGAAACAGAAGTTTACAATAAAATAAATAAATAATAAAAACTGCGTTAACGGCATTAAAGACTTAATTAGTTAATGCGCCCGGCCCTAATATATATATATATTTAAATAATATGTACACACACACAAATATATATACATACAAAATATATAATTCATATCTGACTATCACCACTTTTGTGGCTGCTTCCACAACAGTTTCTCATTTACTCTCATGTAATGTTTCTAGCATTTTCAACACTGCGTTCTTTCTGACCACCTCCTTGGGCTTCTCCTCTGTCTCCTCTGCTCCTGTCTATGCCCTACAGACGCACAGTACGGGATTGTGGGTAACGCCTGGGAGCAGAGGATTACGGGTAACCGCGCCCTTTGACCCCGTGGCCTGAGGGTTAGCCTGGAGCTGGCAGCAGTGGCACAGCTGTTTTACTAGCGGCGAAAACATGAGCTACACAATGGCCTGACTCATGAATAATACATGTATGTATATGGAAGAAATATAGAACTGTTCTACAGCCCAAATTACACGTTTTTTTAAAATCTATGTTACGACGTAATTGTGTTTTATTTCATTCACACATGTTTAAAAAGCCCGAAAACAATGTATGAACAAGTCTGCCCTCCCTTTGATCCCCATCCTAAGTCACTCCCCCTTCAGAGAGCTACCACAACACAATCAGTGTGTATCTCGTTAATGAAACTACTGCACGTTGCATTAGGTTTGTGAAACATGAGAGAACATTATAACATGGTAGAAAGCTAAAAAAAAAAAAAAGAAGTAAAAGTAGGGATGAATCTAGAATTAATCAACAGTTATTTTGGTAAAAAAAAACAAAAACAACAACATTGTTTTTATTCTGTTTACCAAATATGTGGGAAAGTTTGTGTAATGAGTAGAAAGAGCATAAGAATAAAAAAAAAAAAAAAACCTCTTTTGCTTTCTGTTTGAGCCGAGCCTGTTCAGGGTCCTCTTGTCTCGCTCGACTCTGGAAATACAAGAAAAAGCAGATATAATACATAATAATGAACAAACAGCACAGTACGGTGTTTAATGAAAAAAACAATTGCACCACCTGGTGGCCAAAACTAAAACTACACTGACTATTCACGTATAAATTCACAATATTTGAATATTATTGCCAAACCTGAAAAATATCTTGACCTGTCAGTTTATTACTACTAAACTATGGCCATAACCTGTATATGTATGTATACAAGTAGAAATGTGTATAGGTGTTTGAGTGTTGTACCTTTGCCGCCTTGAGCAGGATCTCTCTCTCCTGTTCGTCTTTCCTCTGTTTCTCCATTCTCTCAAGCTGCTCAAAAAACCTGAGCTGTGAACGCACGTCTGATGTCTGCTCATAGTTATCCTCGTCCTGGACAAAAGACAGAAATGTTACACTATTGTGTTAAATTTGGAGTACATTCTCTTGAACTTATTTTTAAGATGAGGCAACCAATTTTCAAAACCTGAAAGGATGACGTACCAGTATGTATGTAAATCTCTCCAACTCACTCCCATCTCTCCCAAATCCTTTGTCACATCTCTAGTATTCACACGCATAGCTTTAAAACTGCTTTTTCAGGGAGAAGTGAAGCAGGTGGGCCGCCAATGCTCAGAGCTAAACCTCAATTACTGATCAATGAAGTGTTGCTTTTAATCTCTGTTAGCAATGAAATCAAAAATACTAAATACTCTAACACACATAAAAAGACCTTTTATAATAAAGTCTGTTGCATTATTATTCAATTTAATTTTCAACAATAATATATAGTAAATATTCTCTATCTAAAAATACTTTTTTGTTTTTAAGTCTCAATGTAAAATATACATAACCGACTAGTCGTCTACTAAAATCATTTGTTGTAATCATCATTAGTTGTTGAGACTTCGTTAATAACTGTTGCGGTGTTACAGTAGTCTATATATTGTGCAGGAAAAAAAGTTAATTTCTCTGAAGTTTCCACTGTGGATAGTAGTCCTAGAAGTTTACTGTTCTTTTACCGCCCCTTTGGCTGCAGGAGTGAGTACATTCCTAAAGTTCATATAGTAGTAAGATCCCCCTCACCTTCCCTCCGTCTGTTCGATGCTGAGCGACCACAGACACTTTCTCCAACAGCGTGCGGAGTCTGGACTGAGTGGCGTGAGAAATCAGGTTAACAACATCCACCGGGACCTCCGATACACCGGACCTTTTAGCTGAACAGAGAAAACCAGAACAGTCTATTAAAGCATATAAAAATCAAAATAAAAGCATAACAGAGACCTCCAATACACCAGACCCTGTCACGCCACAAGAATTCATGAAATAAAACATGCCACATGTTTGCAAGCATGAATATTAGGGCTGCACAATATATTGTAAAAGTACTGAGATCGTGATGTTGTTACCCCAGTCATCAACATTCCCTGGGATTGTGATGCCAACTTAAGCACTGCTCTGGTTTTCTGGTTGTTTTTTTTTTACTATTCTGACCTTGATTTGATACAATCAAACTTAGTTGAAACTACAACAGGTGAGCTGATTTGGGCTGTCACAGTAAGGTTAAGGGTTAGCTAGCTAGACAATAGTTTTTTAGTCACTCGCTCTAACTCAGGGGTCTCCAAACGTTTTTACCTCCGCTGAGCAATCTGTACAAAACGAAAATGCCTGAGAGCTACTAGTCATAAGAAATTGAGTATAAATAAGAGCCATGCCAAGCCATAGATGAGGTAGAGTTAGATGCCTATAAAACGTAAACCATTATCCATTTATTAATGTACAAAGTTAGGAATCAAAATTACACATGTACAATTGTAATAGGCAACTTGGAAAGGGGTGGAGAGCTACAGGTTGGAGACCCAGTGGCTGCAAGTATTGCGTATAGTTAAAAATATTAAGAGAAGCTCTGAGAAAAGCGCATGTGCAGTTCGGTAGTGCCGGCAGTGCCGGCGAAGGTGCTGCAGCGCTCCGGATTCATTCAGTTGGATTCTGTTTTTGCCTTAAAAGGTGGTGACCGCAACTGCACAGCAGGGCTCTAGTCCTTGTGTGAGTGTAACAGCAAGTATACCGGTCCAATACTGAGCTGCAACTGGACTGAGTGCAGTCTGAGCCCGGGTTTTACTTCTGTGGGGTATTAATTGCTAACATGGTATTAATTCCTACGAGTGCCAACTCGTACTGATCACAGGCTTCTGAAAATGTGTTGTTTAAATCTGTTCTCTATTTTTTCTTGTTCTGAGACTTTTTGGCTGTGTTTGCTAAAGTGTGGATTTTGTCACCATGGTGGCTGATGAACATTCAGCCATAGGTATACAGGCAGAATACCCCCAGCATAATGTCACTGCAAAGTATCAGCGCATATTCCTAATACATACCTATGTCGAGGATGCGCCGATGCAGCATTCCTGGGGGCAGGAAAGCTTCGTCTTTACAGGACCGGATCATTGTTCCCACGAGCTCCGAGCTGGTCGCTAGGATACGAGCGTTCTCTTCGTTTAAATTCACTCCCGCCATCGAAGCCACGTCATTAATGTCATCGTCATCTCTGTTACGGGAATAATACAGAAATGTTTTAATTGTGATCTGTGTTTATTTTAGGGAAGGGCTGGTATAGTATGCTGATACTGATAATTTATATTTGGCTGTTGGTGGTCTTTAACCAATATATGCCAATACCAATATTTAAAATCCATAGCAAGGTCCACAAATGTATCTTAAGATAAAGTAATAAATAAAAATCATATTTTCAGTTTTGTAAAAATAATAAGACACATTTATCTGAAATATAAAATTCATTTGTTACATGTTTGAATAAACATGCAGCCATTACCATTTTTACTCAGGCTGTTCAGAAAGGACTCTCAGAGTAGATATATCACCCATGCCTTGTTTATTTTGTCGATTATGATCAGAGGTGTGTAGAGTAGCCGAAAATGTACTCAAGTAAGAGTAATGTTACTTCAGAATAATAATGTTGTCATGTAGAAGTACACAGTAGTGGTCCAAGAACTGACTCAAGTAAAAGTAAAAAGTATTTTGAGAAAACTTCTACTCAAGTAAGAGTAACTTCCAGGACTTACTCACAGTGGGAAGAGTTACAAAACCTTTGCTGAAGTAAGAGTACTGTTACTTATTACTCATTACTCAAGTAGGAATAAAGGTATGCTGCTAGAATAGCACAATTTCTGCATATAACCGGGTACTACTCACCTCTGGATTTTAGTTGACTCAAATGTCATGACATATCCGTTGACTATAACTAGACTGATAGATTGGAGCAATAATGGCAATCAAAGCTAAAATTGAAGTAATTTCACACACACAACACTTTTTCTTACTTTTAAATTGCTTACGGTTCAGTCAGAAAGTATTTGATGGGGATAATTCACCTGAAAGTCCCGCCCCCTGGGTCACTAAGCTTCTTCTGATTGGCTTGAGCTGCCATGATCGGACTCTTGCCTAAAATGGTGGCCGGCCCTCGTATCAATGTACCTGATGAAAGAGAGGAAGCATCTTAGAATCATATATTTAAAAAAAAATACAAATTATAGTAAAATTTCTTTTGGAAACATTTTAGAAATAATTTTATTTAAATTTATTTTATTGTTTAGATCCCAAATCCTTTTGTATTTAAAGATCAGATTTAAGTGCTATCACAACACAATCTGTGCATGCCACTAATGAAACTACTGCACATCGCATCAGGTTTGTGAAGTTGTAGTGTATTGTTTTGTATATTTATGGTGAATTGTCTTGTGGGAGCATGGATGACGTAGGCTTGTGTGTTGAGTCCTTGACAGAGTCGCTCTGCTGCATGGAGGTCATCTAAAAACTTGTTAGGCATGTTTTTCTCAATTTGACAGAATAACCCCCTCTTTAAATGTTCATAGTAATAAGCACTCTGTTACCTTGTGGTCTGAGGTTCTGGCTGATTACTACAGGTCTGGTCACCGTTTGGACGCCTGGTCGTGCCACAGCCTTGAAATAAATTTTTTATATATATTATACAAAGAAAATGACAGACAAGACACCAGGGCAACATTTTTAACTGCCATCAGTTTTTGAATCATAAAATGCACCTTCTTCCATTCTGAATGGAGTTCTATTAATCACTGTGGAATGGCTCTTACTGAAAGTGATCAGACCCAGTGATCGGAAGATTGAAACAAATTGGTTGCTGATTGGTTGTTGAAAATATACTTATTCTGCATTATGCCAGTGGCATTGTGTAATGAAAGAAAATGTACACAATTTCTTTATGAAGGCAAAAAGACAAAGAAGGCCTGTGAGCTGCTACTTATCTTCACAGGCTAAACCCTGGTGTAAAATTCATCCCTATGCCACTCACTTTGCATAAATGTAATATATGTTTTTACCAGTGTAGTGGCGTTCCCCATTGGCGAGCCAAGCCGGACCGCACTAGTGGCTGGGCTGATGGGCAGCGGAGGTCTGATGGTGCTGGTAGTGACCACAGGGGGTGCTGCTGCTGCGGTGCTGGGGACTGGCATCAGAGACTGTTGATTACTCAACAGGGACTGACGAAGCGCGGGGAGACTTTTCTGAGAGAGACAAAGTTATTTAAGATTAAATATATAGCTATATTATATATCACAGTTCATTTTATAATGTCTTCAAAACTCAATTTGAAAAACACTAAGGATTTAAAGAAAAATAATCAATATGGTAGTAACAGTTAAAGTATGTTATTGGCTGTATTGGCTGATGTTCATGTGCTTGGATCTGCTGTTTCTTACTTTGAGGAAGGGGATGAGGTAGGGCTGTGGGGAGGACTTGAGCTCAGCTTGAAGCCGAGTCGTGAATTCCTCTGGTTCAATCTTAGCGTCCTGAAAGTATACAAAAAAACAAGGCATTGTACAAAGATAGAGTTGTAAAGACCACTTAGGTCTTCACCTTTATCTATTCATTCAGTTGGGTGAAATTCTTATTTGTTAACATTATTCTGTTGTGTATGGTCCTTTATTTGTGGGTAAATGCCATTGTTTCAGGCGATATCTGTTTATTGCGCCCTCCCCGTACGCACGGGATTTAAGGGGAGAAGGACGCACGCGCGAAAACGCGCACAGGTGTGACGTCACACGCCGTTTTGGACGCCTGCCAGGAGCTGTCGGTGCCGTGGGACCACGCTATTGGAATATTGTCGCTGCATTTTTGGATTATCGCGTTGCCAATCGTGCTGGAATCTTATTTTACCACGGGAGCTGCTGGACTGAGCGTCAGAACCGGAGCGCGGGTGGCGTGAGTAATTCGCAAACTGTACCATCTCACGTCACGCTGCCGCGCAGCGGGGGGGGCGGGGAAAGACTTTGGGAACTTTTGGGGGAAAAGTTGCTCGGGACTGTTGTGGGTGGTGGACTATATTGAACTGTTGTTTATTGTTTTGTTGCACTGGGGTTTGGGTTTTGTGTCTGGGTTTTGGGGATTGGGCGCTCGAGCGCGGGGTGGTGTTTGGGGGGTATTGTGTGTCTGGTGTGGCCGTGTTCGGTTGTGTCTGGCAATGCCAATAAACGCCAGATAGGCCAAAGCACTTATTTTTTCTTGCATGTCGTTATTTCATCCCGCTGAAATGAATGGATCCTCCCGCGACCTTAATTTAGCGTTGTAGCTTTTCTCTTGGCGAGAACAGGTGAATTGTTACAGAGTGGTGGCCCGTACGGGGACGTGGATGAGATTCACATTTATATCAGTGGTTCTTTTACAGCAGTTCGTTTTATTAGCTGGGTTTAGACACGCCATTCACTTTTTATTTGAGCCTATCCTCACCTATTGTAGCTTTACGCACGGTTACGCACGATTACGCACGGATTACGCACACTCCCACGCCCACCTACGTTCATTCACTCACAACTCACAAGTACAACTAAAGCATTTACACATAGTGCCATACTTCCAAGCGACACTCACACACACTAAACTGCATTCACACTCAAAAGGAGCATGGAGAATCCTAATCAAAGTTTACTGCATGAAGCTGATACAGAGGGATGTTTGGAAGACCCCACACCAACTCTTGACCCCTGTCGCCATGTCACCACCAGGCATAATCAAAGCGTTGTATCAGAGCTCACAAGTCAACTGGAGCAAATGTACCTTAATGAGCCTGACCAAGATGCAGCTAATGCTGAGGAGGGGAATGATGAAGATGTGGAGATGGTGATGGAGCAGCTGGATGCTTTAAAGCAGAGGGTCGGTGGCTTGGAGGTCCAACTTAAAGAAGCTGTGGACAGTACTCTATGTAGAGAGGAAGGACTAAGAGCAGCTATGGACAGAACAGCCAGAGAGCTGAAAGAGTATGTGGACTCTAAGCTGCAACATTTCGATGAGGTAGTTGCCGCTTGCCTCCAACGCAGAGATCAGAGATGGGCAGAAGAGCTAAGAAGGTCTCAGCCCAGAACCCGATCATCCTGGAGACCTGCTGGTTTCTCCACGCCTGCAGCTGTTGTACCATCTGCTCACCAACCAACCGGAGACGTCACCTTCCCTACTGTCCCTACTGCCACTGCCCGACCACCCATTCGCATGGAGTTTCCTCAGTTTGGAGAGTCAAGAAACTCCTCTGATGTCACAGACTTTATTGAGCAATGTGAAAACTTCCTGGTACTCAGACCACTGAATGACGCAGAGCTGATGGGAACACTCAACGCAGTTTTAAAGGGTCCTGCACGCAGTTGGTGGATGGCAGCCCGCAATAAAATCAACAACTGGGCAGAGTTCAAAAAGGCATTCCTCGAAGCCTTCCTGCCCATGGACTATCAATCAGAGATTGAAGAACAGCTCAGGTCCAATGTCCAGGCCCCAAGCCAGTGTTTGAGAGACTTTGCATACGACCATCGTGCACTCTGTTTAAAGTGGAGGCCGGACATGCTGGAGGGTGAGATCGTACACCGCATCCTCAGCGCGTGTAATCCCAGACTGGCCAGTGGGCTCCGCGGCACTGTCACCACAGTGGAGCAGCTGGTGAAGGTGGGCTCTCTCATCGAAAAGGACTGGAGCAACACAAAGGAATATTGGAGCCGGGTCCAGCAGTCCCAACCTCCTAAAAGAGCTGGCAAAAAGACTGACCACGGCCCAAGCCGGAATTCTGGGGCCGACCTAGCCTCTGCCATGGGCGAGCCGTCCCTCCTGGTCGTTCCCATCCGCCTCCGTGGGTCCAATGGGGATGCTGTCCTTGACTCAGGTTGCACCTACTCCCTCATGAGCCTCTCGCTGTGGAACGCAATCAAAAAGGAAGGAGAAGTACTGGCCCCAAGTGAAATCCCGAAGTTTGTCATGGCTAATGGGCAAGAGAACAAAGCACTTGGTAAAGCCACGCTACTCCTCAACCTGCACGACTTCCACGGCACTCTCGGAGTTCATGTACTGGCCGACAACAACCTGTGCATGCCACTGCTCCTCGGGCTCGATTTCATGACCCTGTCCCAGATTACCCTGAAGCCTCACCTCAGGAAATACATCATGCCTGGTGGGAAGGAGTACACATTTCTCCCCAAGGCCCGAGTGATGCTTCAGTGGAGTCACAAAGCACCTCCTGTAAACTTTTACGTAGCCGAAACAACCCGACCTGTCATTCCCCTCCTTGAAGCTCAGCCTGAAGTGGTGCGGCCACTGCTGCAGAAGTGGCCCACTGTTTGGACTGAGACCACCGGTGTCACTCAAGTGATCAAGCACAAAATCATAACAACGGATGAAGTGCCGGTGCGCAGGAGAGCATACAGAGTATCAATTCAAAAACAAGCAGTCATTGAAGAACAGATACAAAAAATGCTTAAAAACAATGTCATTGAGCCATCCACCTCACCATGGTCCTCACCTGTCGTCCTCACTCCAAGAAAAGATGGGACGCCACGGTTCTGTGTGGACTACAGAGGCTTAAACGCAAAAACCCAGCACGATGCATATCCCATGCCCCTAATACACGAGATCCTGGAGTCTCTGGAAGGTGCTCAATATTTCAGCTCCCTGGATCTTAAGAGCGGATACTGGCAGGTGGCCATGGATGAAGAAAGCAAACTCAAGACTGCTATGACCACCCACCTGGGCCTCTTTCAATTTAAAGTCATGCCTTTTGGTCTGCGCAATGCTGGGGCTACTTTCCAACGACTGATGGAGATCGTCTTGGGAGAGCTGAGGGGAAAGATCTGTTTCGTGTACATTGACGATATCATTGTTTTCTCAAAAACACAAGAACAGCACCTCCTCCACCTCGAAGCTGTGTTTGCCAAACTCCACCAAGCAAACCTAACACTGAACGTCAAAAAATGCCATTTGTTTCAACGTCAACTCACCTTTCTCGGTCATCTGGTTTCAGGCAAAGGGGTGGAAGTGGACCCTGCAAAAATCTCAGCCATAGCAGACTTTCCACCACCAACAGATCTAAAAAGCCTCCAACGGTTCTTGGGCATGGTCGGCTGGTACCACAAGTTCATTCCCCGGTTTGCCGACATCGCTGCACCCCTGAACAGCCTAAAAAAGAAAGATGTGCACTGGGAATGGTCCTCCGACTGCCAGGCCGCCTTCACCCAACTCAAGGCTCTGTTACAGAAACCACCAGTCCTGGCCCAGCCACAAACACAACTCGGTTTCCAGGTTCACTGTGACGCCAGTGATGTGGGCCTGGGTGCTGTCCTCATGCAGACTGTTAATTGGTGAAGAGCGCCCCATTGCCTTTGCCTCCAGAGCTCTCCATGGTGCTGAAGTCCGTTACTCCACAGCTGAAAAAGAATGTCTGGCTGTTGTGTGGGCTGTCGAAAAGTGGAAGCATTTCCTCGAAGGCTCCACCTTTGATGTTTACACCGATCACAGTGCTCTGGCCTGGGCGTTCAACTGTCCGAAAACATCCTCACGGCTCACACGCTGGACTCTGCGGCTCCAAGCCTTCGCATTCCGGGTCCACTACAAAAAGGGCTGCTGCAACGTTGTGCCGGATGCTCTATCTCGTGCGCCTCAAACACCTGCTGGAACTGTGAGTCTTGCTGTTCCGAAAACATACTGGTCAGATATACCAAGCTCAATCCAAGAAATCGCTGACGCCCAAAAGTTGGATCCCACCTGTCAGGAGCTTGGCCCGTCTATCAACCAACCCAGTCCAGGTCGCATCCATTATCAACTCCAGCAAGACGTGTGGTACAGGGGAGTTCCATCTAAGCATGGGGGCTACAACTACCAACTGGTGGTCCCTGTTGCACTGATACCACAGTTCCTCACATACTTTCATGACAGTCCTTTTGGCGGGCATCTGGGCAGGATGAAGACTTTGTTAAAAATCCTTCAGGTGGCATGGTGGCCGACAGTACGCAAGGATGTTTGGGGTCATATCCGCAACTGCAGCACTTGCCAACAGTACAAAAGTTCCAACAAAAAGCCAGCGGGTCTCCTCCAGTCGTCTGAGGTCAAACTTCCAGGCGAGATGATCGGAGTGGATTTCATGGGCCCTTTTCCGCTAAGCAGAGACCGGAACTCAGTGCTGATGGTGGTTGTGGACTATTTTAGCAGATGGGTTGAACTGTTCGCTCTAAAGGATGCTAAAACCCCTAAAGTCTGCAAGATTCTGAAAAATGAGATCTTCACTCGCTGGGGGGTTCCCAAGTACATGGTGTCTGATCGGGGACCCCAGTTCACAAGTCAGCTGTTGTCCCAACTGTGCGAGACCTGGGGTGTGACTCAAAAACTCACCACAGCCTATCACCCCCAAACCAACATGACAGAAAGAGTCAATCGCACCCTGAAGACCATGATCGCCTCTTATGTCGGGAACCACCATCAGGATTGGGACAAGTGGCTGCCTGAGTTCCGGTTGGCCCTCAACACTGCTGTGCATGAGACCACTGGCGTGACTCCCGCCATGCTGGCTCTTGGGAGAGAGTTGAAGGGGCCCCTTGAAAGACTTGTACACAAAGCTCCACCTCCACACACACATGCATACCAAACACTTCATACACACACTCAGCTAAGGGGGGAAGTTGAGAAACACGTGGGCGCGTCCAAAGCTAGACAAGCCAGATACTACAACGCACGGCGCAGGGATGTACACTTTGTAGTCGGTAGTCTGGTCTGGATTAGGTCGCACCCACTGTCCAAAGCTTCCGCCAAGTTCTCTGCCAAACTTGCGCCCAGATGGGTAGGGCCAGCTAAGGTAGAGAAGAAGTTAGGACCTGTGAACTACCAAGTAAGATGGTTAACGGATAAGTTGAGGGTGGAGACTGTAAACGTGGTTGACATGAAGCCCTATTTCGGACCCGATAAGCCGCTGGCTGGGGGGGGGGGGGATGTAAAGACCACTTAGGTCTTCACCTTTATCTATTCATTCAGTTGGGTGAAATTCTTATTTGTTAACATTATTCTGTTGTGTATGGTCCTTTATTTGTGGGTAAATGCCATTGTTTCAGGCGATATCTGTTTATTGCGCCCTCCCCGTACGCACGGGATTTAAGGGGAGAAGGACGCACGCGCGAAAACGCGCACAGGTGTGACGTCACACGCCGTTTTGGACGCCTGCCAGGAGCTGTCGGTGCCGTGGGACCACGCTATTGGAATATTGTCGCTGCATTTTTGGATTATCGCGTTGCCAATCGTGCTGGAATCTTATTTTACCACGGGAGCTGCTGGACTGAGCGTCAGAACCGGAGCGCGGGTGGCGTGAGTAATTCGCAAACTGTACCGTCTCACGTCACGCTGCCGCGCAGCGGGGGGGGGGCGGGGAAAGACTTTGGGAACTTTTGGGGGAAAAGTTGCTCGGGACTGTTGTGGGTGGTGGACTATATTGAACTGTTGTTTATTGTTTTGTTGCACTGGGGTTTGGGTTTTGTGTCTGGGTTTTGGGGATTGGGCGCTCGAGCGCGGGGTGGTGTTTGGGGGTATTGTGTGTCTGGTGTGGCCGTGTTCGGTTGTGTCTGGCAATGCCAATAAACGCCAGATAGGCCAAAGCACTTATTTTTTCTTGCATGTCGTTATTTCATCCCGCTGAAATGAATGGATCCTCCCGCGACCTTAATTTAGCGTTGTAGCTTTTCTCTTGGCGAGAACAGGTGAATTGTTACAGAGTAAAGAAAGACACTACAAATACATTTATTATAATGTATATGGTTTGAAATTGCGCTACGCCTATTCTAAAGTTTTAAAATCAGTATACCGTTTAAACCCGTCCAGGAGCATTAAAATCAACAGTTTGTAGAAGTCTGAACTACAGGTTTTAGAGCTTTAAAACAGAATATTATATAACCCATATAACTGTCAAATAGACCCTAAGATTTGGCGAATTATGACATAAAAAAAATAAAATTGGTCCTTACGAGCAGGTCCTGCACCAGGCCTTTGACGTTCTTGGAGGTATCTGGAGACGGAGAGTTGTGAGACGCCAATTTGATCAGCGTCGCCAAAAAGTTCTTGCATTTTTTCACATTTTCCTGCATTTCCTGTTGGACAGATGTAAGGAAGATGGTATTACAACAATAATACATTGTATTGGTATTACAACAATAAATGGCCAGTTGAGGATAAATTTGAACTTGAAACTTGAAATTGAGAGAATGTGCTGCTTAATTAAATATAGATGACAAATTGATAGAATCTGTCAGTCTGCCCCAGGGCAGCTGTGGCTACAATAGGAGCTTGCCACCACTGAGTGTGGAGTGAACGAACAATAAACTGTAAAGTGCTTTCTTGCACTTGCAAGTCTTGAAAGGCGTTATATAAATCAATGATTAATTAAAAAAATTATGAATTAATAATTAAAGAAGACTGAAACTGAACTATATAGTAGAATTATCACAAAAATGTAAAAATTATTAAATAAAAAGCAGAATCGAAAACTTTAGGTTTTATCTTTAGTTTGTATCGATAATGAGTCATAGAAGTTCATAAGATTTTAGCTGTAGACAGATGAATTATCATATTGCAAAATAAATAAGACAATAATTCCCAGTAGTATGATAAATACTGACCAAAAGTTTGTTCCATTTATCATTTATTGAATGAGTCGATATAGTAATTATCATGACAGGCCTACTAGCACACTCTGATATCTGATTCCTGTGTGTATTGACCTGTGAGACGACATTGACCCGAGCCGGAGCAGTGACCGCTGCGCTGGGACTTGGACTGGTTTTGTTCAGGACGGTCCCTCCGGCTGTGATCACTGTAGGGGGCTTCTGTGGGGTGGACATCTTCACCGACACTGCAGAGCCTCCAGGGGCAGCACTGAGTGCCTTCTGACAAATACACACCATCAAGAGCAGACCACCACCAAACAAGAGCTCATAAGATCAGACAGAGGAAGTACACTATTTGTACCATGAAAGAATTAGCATCTTTTATTTTAACAGATAAAAAGTCTCCAGTTTAGAACCATCTTTGGTTAAAAAATAAATAAAAACAATCTTTGTATAAGCAAAAAATGTCACTCAAAGAGGGTATCTTGAATTTAAAGGCATTTGCAATGAATCAAATTGAGATTCAGGCATATCTAATGGTCAAATGGTCAATGATCAGCTTGGGTCTTTTTAATGGAGGCCTACAGCAAATTCTCTCAGTAAAAGGATGTGATTTGAAGCCTTTAACTATTTTTGTGTTAAATGCCACTGATAATGTTTAGGTTAAGGAAATTAATATTGATAGACATTTATTGGTTTGTGACAGAAAAGAAAATATAAACAAACATTTTTTAAAAATCAGTATGAGGTGAAACTAAAATGGCACCTGCACTGTGCTGGAGGCTGGTTGAGTCATTCTGGTCTGAGGAGAGGCCAGTCGCACAGTGGGAGTTCCAGGAGCCTGGACAACACAAGTATTATAAATATGTTATAAGGGTGGGCCATATGTCAAGAATGTCATAAAACCATTTTCTAGATTCAAGATCCCGATTTCGATCTAACCATGTTTGAAGCATCTTTATTGACATTATTAAGAACTAAACTAAAGTCATCTACTGCTTCTGAGAGTTCACACTTCAGTGTAATTATTTAAAACCATCTGTCACTCACTCAGGGCATGATGGAGAAGTGAGCAGGAAGGGGGATAAAGCTGTGCTCAACAGAAATTGAATCATCATATGACATTATCACCAAAACGTATATGGTCACTGTGATTGATAAAAAAAAAAAAAGAAAAAAAGAAATGTATTCTGGCTTTAATTTAGCCCTGGGCAGGTTGTCTAGAACTAAACAAAAGCAGACAACTAGTAGTATCAAGATAAATAATGATGTATTTAAAATTACATTACCAAAATAGAAAGTAAGCATAGACACAAAGTGGTTCCTTCAAGCTCTGGTTGCAAGTGATTTCTATTGAAAAATCATGGCCCAACTCTCTGTAACTGCTGCTGTGCGCCTCATCATTTTGGTCTTAAGTGTTTATATTAACCTGCTCTACGCGATCCTGGTGTTTTTATTTCACTATTTTGTCCCTAAATTAAGTTATTAAAATAAATACCCGACAAATCCAGTGCCTGTTTTACCCAAGGTCGCTCCCGCTAGCATTGGTAACCGGTTGATTGACAGCCTCATTGCCAAGTGCCAGCGCCTGTAAAGATTGGTTCTTTGGTTTCACGTGCTGATTTCTTAATATGGCCTCTGGTTGCAGATTAGCCATGGTAACTGCTAGCATCGATGAGCTTCATTTGGTTGCAATCAAACATGTGACATCAGACTCCCTCAGTCCATTTCTATTCTACAGTCTATGGTTTGACATCACTTATGCAGATCCACACTCATTGCATAACAACATTTTTAGAGTGGTTAGCCTCTTACCGATGTGGGTGTGCTGACCCGTATAGTGCCCCCTGCTGCCGTAGGAGTGGCAGGTCTCTGGAGGTTGACGGTTTGATTCTGTTGAGTTTTGGCCTGAGCCTGAGCCAGGACCTGCTGAGGAACCATGACCAGCTGACCAGTCTCTGTGCGCACCAACACCATCCCTGCAATATAAGAGGAAAAATATACTTTTAGAGACTGTATTATGCATTAGCTGTTCATTCATTTATTTTTATAACTGTAGTATGAATATACATGCAGTCCGATAGTAACTGATAAAATTTGTATCAACACTAGAAGGTATCTGTACCCAAACAAAAATGTGATAAAACTAGACCTTTCACAAATATTTAGAATGGTTGTGACTTACATCATAACTAAAACAAGAGCACAAATATTAAAAGGAACTACAGTTATTTTATGTTTTTATAATTGATACTTTGCAGCTGACATCATCAACATTCCCTGGGGGTGTAATGCTAACTGTAGGCACTGCTCTGTCTGAGCTTTATTTTAAACACAGGGTCACCATAAAGAATGGACTTAGTTGAAACTACAACAGGTGAGCTGATATGTGCTGCTAAACATAAAATGACTGTCACAAAATAGCTTTTAGTCAATGGTTTTCCACCTTTTCTTATCTTTTTGTTGAAAGTCAAACCCCTAAACCAACATTATTGCTCATATTGTTCACAGGCTCCTAAAAATGTCTTGTTTAAATTGATTTAGTATTTTTTACGAGTTTACAAATTATCTTTATACTTTTTTTAACAGTGTTTGCTAATGTGGCCGTTGTGTCTCCATGGTAACTGCTGAACATTTTGCCACAGAGATACAACTACAACACCCCCAACATGATATCAATGCAGTATCAATACAATTTAATAATGGCACTACTTTGTTTCATCCAGATAGGCTCAGTAATTACACACATATTATCCATAAGCTAGGTCCACAAACCAGCATCTATGATATTTGAACTTCAATTCAGACAAATATGAGCATATTTTAGCACAATTCTGATGGACTGCCCACAACTTCCTGCATGTATTCTCTCACCTGGTGGCATAGTGAACCCCGGTGGTAGCTGGATGGTAGTTTGCTGTTGCGGCCTCACTGCTATTGGCGCTTGTGGAGCCGGGGCCCTGGTCGTGGCTGTGGTTACCCCCAGCGTAGGCCTCTGTGGCTGGACACCCGTCGCCGCCACACCAGTGCTAGCTCCTGGAGGTCTCACCACTGCTACAGCGGGCTGCGCCAATCCATTCACCGCTGGTTTTACACCTCCTGTTGCTCCTGTTTGGGCTATCTGCGTAGTCAATGGGGGCGTGTTGGCTAGGATAACGCTATTCCCAGACACAGGTTGAGGTTGGGGCATTATTTTGTTGTGGATTAGCTGGTTTGTGTGGTTCAAAACTTGAGCTGTTGATGTGTTTGGAGAGGGTGCGCTTTTCGGATCAACTCCATTTTGATTCGGGACAGGGCTTGGATGCCTCTGTAAAGCGACAGTCGGAGAAGATTGACCGGTGAATTGAGAAGCCATGATAGTAGAACCACTGACGGCGTTAATAACAGTTCCTGGTTGTTGTGTAGATGGTAGGGAGGGAGAGGAGAGGAGTTTGACTGATCCAGGGGCACCGTTTAGGCTTTGGAGGCCAGGGGAGGCTGGGGTAGGAGCCAGGGAGGAGGTAGGGACCGCAGCAGGGTGGAAGGGCGCAGGAGCAGAGGGCTGAGGGGCCACGGAAATAGCTGAAAAACACAAAATTATAATGTCAGATGAAGATATAACTGTTAGTCTTTTAGCATGGATAGCTATTGAACTTAAAGTGCATATGGAAAGTTAAACTATGCATTTCAAGAAAACATAGTTAACACCATTATATTAACAATTTTACTAAAAATTGTTCCTAGTCTTGTCATTTTTGATCAGTTTATCATTTTAGTTGGACATGGGCAACAGACAGGACATATGTAGAGGTAATTCTCTAATTGTTACCTAGCAACCATAATGTTAACAATGGCCAAAACTTGTCTAATGTACACAATAGTTATGATTTGACAAATAAAAAAATCAATGAACACATAAACACCTTTATTTAGTGGGAAAAAAAAAAGTTTAAACTGTCAAAACTATGTCTTCTTAAATCGTCTCTGTATTTTGTATAGAATTTTCCATGTTGATGACATAGACAGAGGGATTCTGTTTTAGAACTCGGCACTACTTCCTGTATTTTTGTACGTTCTCCTTTTTTTCCCCACTAACTGCTACATAACTAAAGTAAAACTATGATGAATATTGAGCACAGGTACTATCCTGCCAAATCATGTCAGAATTAAAAAAAACATGAAAACCTGTCATAGGCTTTTTCAAGGTTATATACAGAAAATATTCTCTAACCGTGTTTTGATTTCTTCTTATCCATGCATCTTATTATGTCATTAGCTTACTCAGCTTTTCAATAATATAAAACCCCCCCCAAAAAACAGTTTATACAAACTTTTTTTTTTTTATACATAAAATATGAATTTAATTTATTTACCATGCAAACAATTCATCATACTGTTTCAACTCTAAAACCCAGGTTTCTCAATTGAATTATCAATGATTAAATCATTAAATACATCAAGAATCCTTTTAAAATTTTGAAATATTTTTCTTATATATTGTTATTTTTGTTATACATTGTTATACATACTCCAATTTTAAAAGCATTTTGTAAGCAATAATAACCAGTATTTTGAAATAGCAGCACTATTTTTAGGCCTTAAATGCATTATCAATGTATTACAATCTAGTAGTACAGCAATGTTTATGCACTGACAGCTTGCACTTTAGTATCTACTCCTAGAGTTTGTCTACATTAGATTTTTGTGGTTAATTTAAATAAACTGATCAGATGCAGAACAGAAAAATTAGCTATTAATGCAAAGTTAGCTATTATACCCCGATACACATTAATAAAGTTAATGCACTGACAACAATGTGCTCTCTGACATATTTTGTAAGTCAAATTATTAAAAAAAATATATGTTTATCTATCCCCGGCTTGTGTTAAGAGAGAAAGTTTAGCTTGTGGTAGCTGATTGGAGTGTGTACAATGTGCTACTTGAGGATAGTTGGTGGAATGACAACACAGTGTACCCATCACTTATCCCGGGGCCAAACGGCACTATTATTAACACTTTAAGATAGATTTTTACGCTCTGAATCTGATTTTACAGTAGATGTTTAGCTGTTTGCAGTGGGTGTCTGGCAGAAGTGAGATCCGTGGAGCTACTTAGGGGAGAGTTCGTGCACTGTCTACGCGGGGTTCCCTCTCTTTTTCCTGCGCTGGGCTTTTCGGGACATCATCTCCGGTGTCTTACCCGAGACTCCGGCGGTTCCAGCGGCAGTAGAGGCGGCGAGCGCGCCCCCGGACGCAGCAGGCCCGTCGGCAGCAGCGGCGGACGGCTCCCGGTTTGAGCCCGCTTTCGGATGCCCTTGTTGCGGCTGCGGCGGCTGCTCCGAAGACCCCACTCGCTCTCGCACTTTCCCTGAGAACTGGCTCGCTCCGGCCGGGCCCGTCTCCCGTTTCCCGTCGGTAAATGAAGCAGCGGGAGCCTTTCTGTCGCCGAGCTGGGACTCCAGGGAGCCCACCAAGTCGCTGACCGCCTTCTCGTCCACCTCAGTGAAGAGCATGTCCTCCAGTGGGTCGGAGGCTCCCGCCATCTTTGATCTGGGACCGTTGTGCAAATCGTATTTTAGAATGTACGCATGCGCCGAGCTGCCCTGTTGTTTTCAGGCCTCAGCGGAAGGAAGCGCCAAGGCTGGATTTTCAAAATAAGAGCAAAGGAAGCCAAGATCATAAAATTCAAGAAAAGTGATACACTTTATCTTAAAAATAAAAAAGCAACTCTTTAAATGCTCAAATGATAAAATATTAAGTGAGACTGTAATGCCTTGTCCTATTGTCCCAGATGCAAGCCAACAAATTTGTAACTAATTCACTTTTGTATTAGTATGTTATGTTAATATTTATTTCAAGGTTGAAATATGGTGACTGAAGCTTCCTAGTTAGAGAATATTTACAAATATTAGCATTATGTATTATTACATAATATTATGTTTTAAAATATATTAGTATCACGTATTATTTATTTTAAAAACATAATAAACGCTCCCCCTCCCTTTTTACTGGTTGTGTTATTGCACAGAAAAACATGCATCCTTACTCAGGCTTGCATCTAAACAAACCTGACTTGTCCTGCTGGTTTCCATGAAATTATTGTTCCTTTGGTTGTAATTTTCGACTGTATGTTTTAAACTTGGCTATCTCCAGGAAGAATTTTCTGAAGTTTTCTTTTTATTTCTATTTCCATAGAATTATTCAGGCAACTTCCCACCTCCAGAAAGTTACATACTGAACCTTTAACTCAAAACAGCAAACAGACTGCATTATTAAAGCTACAAAATTACCATGATGCATATTATTTCTATTTTCTTATTTTTTATTGTGTGAATGTGAAGCAAATATGTCTTTACGTTTTTCCCCATATTATAGATCCATGTTTTTTCCCACATGCCCGGTTACTTGTTTTTCTCGTCAGATCTGGCAACCCTGTGGATGAGGTAGCCGCCGCCATGTTGTAGCGGAGAGCAACTTGTCCCGTAGAAGTGCCACAATCGCCCCAGACTGTCGGCTCCTGAGTCAGATTTACACATTTTAACACGGACTTTTCTCGTATACGGTGCCCTCGGTCCTCGCTGACACCATGAGCGGAGGAGGGACGCCTTACCTGGGCAGTAAAATCAGCCTTGTGTCGAAGGCCGAGATCCGCTACGAGGGAATCCTGTACACCATCGACACAGAAAACTCCACTGTCGCACTCGCCAAAGGTACAAGAGCTAAGCGGCTAATGCTAACTCCCAGCGACAACAACACTTTTATATACATGTTTACGGTTATTCAACGCATGTACTACACATATAAATGCTTTTACATGTGCACATAATAGTTTTGTCGTAAATGCACCATTTAGTGTGCATAAAAAACCTCCACTGTCGCACTTACTGAAGATTCGTGAGCTAAGCGGCTAATGCTCAATCCCACCAACAACAACACTTTTACACCACATTTTCCACGCATTTCATCATTTATTCAGCACTTTTACAATGCATATAACTGCCTTCTCATTTGTACATAATAGTCAAATCATATGCACATTTTAGTGCGCATAAAGGAAACAAACATAATCCATATGCTCGGCTAGCAGCTAACTTTAGCAATATCAAATCAAAGTTGTGCTACAGTTGGAAAGCAATAATGATTCATCTTATTTATTTGTGCAGTTCTAAAAAGATTAGACTTGTAGACCTAAAACCGAAGTAAACTGAACCCAAAAAGTTGTCAGACCCTAAGATAATTTCGTATACTTGTATTTTAGTTTTGGTTTCTGGGTTTTAGCCTAAGTTCAAACAAAGATGTTCTATTGCTAACGTGCTCATTTCCACTGTGCCCTATTATAGAAAGTCTTTTCTTTTTCACTACCACTTCAGATGTCTAAAGACTCCATTATAAATTATTGCAATCATTTTCTTATGGTAAGCTATTGGCTGTTTTTAGGTAGTACATTTTCCCTCAGTGAAGCAGAAGCCAGTATTCCTTTATCAATAATTAAATGGTATTTTATGCTTATAAGAAATAGCAAAGAAATCACACATGTCCACAAGTCCACAATCTTGCCGTATTTATCACACCAAAATATCTGTATTTAGCACACCAGCATATCTGCAGATTAATTTGAGACATTTGACCTGCTCCCTTCTCAGACAATAAGAATCATTTCTGATCTTAGCAAAAGCAGCAAAGTGGCTCACGCCAAGAAGCCTCTGGGTTTGATTCCCAGGTCTCTTGGGTCTTCCTGTGCTGTGAGAAGTTTGCATGTTCTTCCTGACCAAGATTATCTTAAGATCTGGCAATGACTCCCACTGCTCCTGATAGGTTTAACCCAGACACACTTGGTGGATCAAATGCAGAGGACACTTTTCCCCACAGGGACAAAGTGTGCCTTAAGGTAACATATTTAATTAGTGTTTAAAATTGGCTTTGACTCAAGTTTCTAATCAACTGATCTGATAAAGAGGTTTTAGCTGTGTTTGTTGCTGCAGGTTTAAGTCTGACGTCATTTGTGCTCTCTCCAAAGATTTACCAACAAAAGCCAAGCGCGAGTCTTTAATTATAAATAAATCTGAGCTGAAGGAACCAATCAGGAGCAGCAGTTTATGAGTGGGTTAGAGTTGGGTTTCACTGATGCCATGTTATTGTAGCAGAGGAGGGAGAGCATTATGTAACCTACAGTCAGTTGGGTCTGTGCAGAAGTGCGCTGGGGTTTTACGGGGAAAATAAAAAAGTTATACTGACTGAACTTTAGACATTTGTGAGACAGTGAGAATTACAAAAATGAACATCTCAGTATCTTTTTATTTAGTGGTCCTGTAATGATAAAAACTAATTTGGAAGGACATCTTACTCTATTTGTGTATTTGATTACAAAATAAGTTTTTTCCATTTTTATTGCTCAACTCTGCAGGTCACGTTCTTTTTTGATACTAATATTTAAATCTTGGTTTTGATTGGATATATGATGAATTGTTGGAAAAGCACTTTACTTTTACAGGTAAGATGTCTTTTGCAGTCCCATGGTCTCTAAGTCTGCTTAGAGACCACGTGGCTGCCCAATATGTATTAAATATTATTGGGCTATATTAGACTTTAGACAAACTTTATTGATGCACAAGGGAAATTATTTGGACACAGTAGCTCACACATCACAAGATAACATAATAACAAAGAGTAAAAAATATAAATTCTAAATAAATAGCAAAAAATATAGCAAGAGACAGGTGTAAAATAAGACATAATTATATAAATGTATATGTACAAGTCAAAATAAAATAGAAAAATAAGTAATGAATTATAAAATCTCTGCTATATAAACGAAAATGTTGTGTTGAAAATGTTGAATGTTGTGAAATCTGAAACCTAGCACTTACAGCCATTTATATAATCATAATAAATACAACGATTTAGTTTGTTATTTTGACCACCATCTCTCAACCACCCCCTCCTCTTTCTTTCTTTCTTTAGTGCGTTCATTTGGGACGGAGGATCGTCCAACTGATCGACCCATCCCTCCTCGAGATGATACTTTTGAGTACATCATTTTCAGAGGCAGCGACATCAAGGATCTGACTGTGTGTGAGCCGCCCAAATCTGCCTGCTCCCTGCCCCCCGACCCCGCCATCGTACAGGTAACAACAGAAGGCTTGGACCACTAGGGGGCAGGAGTTTGTGGTTCTGATTGGATTACAGTTTGAATGGACACCAATTAGTTTAATCACAAAGGTTGTAATATTTGAAGTACCATAATTTCTTCAATAAACAACAAAATCTCCTGTCTTATTCTGCATAAAAAAGTGCTAATCCTGTAGTTGAGATCTATTCAAACTGAAATGTGATTCTTGTAATAGTTTGTCAGTTGATATTTCAATCTTTTTGTCAATTATTATATACACAAGAAAAATCGCAATTAGATATTTGCCCAAATTGTTCACCCTAGTAATGTATTTTCTTTAAAATCCCTCTCTTTTTCTGTCCTCTCATTCTCTCTCCAGTCATCGATGAGCTCATCCTCTGCCCCCTCCTCCTTCCAGTCCACCTCCTACGGCCTGTTTAACCGCGCTCCTGTGCCCTCCTACAACCAGTTCACCTCCAGTCCTCTGGTGTCACCGCAATTTGGAGCTGTGGGAGTTGGTAAGGCTTTCACATATCCTGTTTCATCAAGACCTCATTCTATTTTCAACTTCTTTTTTAGAATTCCAAACAGTTACATCTACTTTGGCTCTCTTTCCTGGTTAGGGATGTCATTGTTGCTGGGTTTCAGATGATATCACAACACTCTGTAGGCCAATAATTTTCAATGCAGGGGGCAGATGAAATGAATATTATTAAATTGATTTTTGTAGGAAGAATTTTATGATTACTCCTTGTTAGTGGCACCATGAGCAAATGGTGAAATCCTGTTCTTGTCTGTTTATCTTCATTGAATTGTTATTGCTTTGCCCGGAATATTCTATGATCCATATTAAACTTAATTACATAGCATTTAATGAATCAGAAGTATTGATACTAATAGTGACTTTATGCTAGTGCTGTTCTAGCTGTGTGCCTATGGTGGAATAACAATAACTGCCAAAAAAGTCTGAAAACTAAAAAAAACTAAACAAATTAATGTAAACAACACATTTTCAGGAGCCTGTGATCAATACAAGTGTCCGTGGTCCTGTTTAGGTGTTTGATTTTCAACCAAAATGGTGAGTGTGACTAACTGAAAAACTGTTGGCTAATGCTAGCTAGCTTTTGATCAAATTTATTTGAGATAAACTTGTTTAACAGCACAAATCAGCTCATATGTTGTAACCATGTAAATCAGTTTTTTATAGTCTGACTGTATTAAAACTCAGATCAGATTAAAATCTAATTTGAGTAACAGAGCTGTAGACAGAGCAGTGCCTACATTAGCATCACATCCCCATGAAATGTTGATGACATCAGATTTAAAGTATCACTTGTTCAAAGTACTTTGTATTTTTACTGTGGGTTGGGTCTCCTCCATAGATCTAACCTGTAACTTTTTTGGTTCCATCAGAGAAACCCTACACCAGAAAAGTTACATGCTTTTATTTTAGTCATTTTTTTTTACTATACATTTACATACTATGGCTTTAAATAATGTTGCGAAAATCACTGGTACAGACACACTGCATAAAAACTGAAAACATACTTAAACTAAATATAAAGCACAAGTTCTTTTTCTACACAAAGAAAGAGGAGGACAAAAACATCCACCTTCTTTTTATGCAGTTTTTTTTTCAGATGGTATCACCATTTTCACATGTCTTTGCATCATACATGTGTCTGTGTAAAAGTTTTAGTGAAGTGCATGACATCCAAGGGTCCGGGGTCTGTCTGTGGCTCTGTTTCCACGAAGTTCATGCCACAGAATCTGAGGAGCAGCAGAGACACCTGAACAGAAGTCTCAGTCTGAGGCAGGGTTCTGTCTTCTCTACAATCAAAACTCTCTCAAACTGAAACTGCCATCCTAAAACAAGAGAATATCTTTATAGTAGTGAATTAAAACCAAATTGTCCTCTTTGCAATCTAAATGTCCCTGTGTCTCCATGGGGTCTCAGTCTGTCTAAGTTTGAGTTTTCAAACTCTTGAGAATCCATCTCGTCTTTCTTCATCCAAAAAAAAACATAGGTTATGATTCACACATTCATTTAGCCCAAAAGTATATTGTTGTATTATTGTTGCATGCTTGGGTGCTGTGATTAGCTAAAACTGATATTCCAGATTAATATTAGAGCTATTAGCTCTGTAATATCAGTCTCCTTTATACCAGGTTATCAATAACCTGCTAACCCTGTAGTTCAGACCTCTACAAACATGTTCTAAATATATGGGATTTGATCCTTGCATTAGTTCATCAGTTTAGATTTCAGGACTTCCAGGCTCTTCCTATTGACTTAAATGAGTGCTGCTTGTTTAAGGTGCCTGCTCTGCCCCCTACAGGACGCTCAGTGCCTGCTCACTCTTACAGCAGCGCCTTCGGACGCTCCTTCGACTCTCAGGCTGTGGGGGCCTTTGTAGATGAAGGTAACACGCCTTTGGGACGCGCTGTGGACTCTGGGGTCTAAGTCTGGCGTTGGGTTAGGACTCTGGTCTGGTCCTGGTTTTGTCCCTAAATGTCCTCTCAGCTTTGGCACTGTGGGTGATGCCTCTGCACTAATGACACATGATTTTTACCTCACTCACCGGATCAGTCACTCTGGGTTTTTGCTCAAATGCCTGGTATTGTTGTGTGGAATTTTAAATAGATTTTAATGGATTTCAAAGATTGCCAGAGACAAAAAAAAGGAGCACTATCACTAACATCTTTCCTTCAATAACAAGCCCTTTACAGATCTACCAGTAGTTTGATTTATTTAGGGTATGGACTGTCCTCACCAAACAAAACATTCTTTATTATGAAAAAAAAAAGTAACCCTGTAGATTAGACCAGCGTTTCCCAAACAGGGGTAAGGGGACGCCCAGATTTAATAGAGGTGGAATTGTATAGTAGCAATATACTGGATATTTGATTTAGAAACTCTGGTACATGATGTATTGAGGTACTCTGAATATGAGGGGTTGCTGAAGGCTCATTTATGCTCCACCTTTATATGTAAACTGATCTGTGCTTTCGAACCATCTCTGCTTTATACCTGCATTTATACTTCCAAATGTTTCTAATGTCAATTCTTTGTTCTTTTAAATAAACACCAGAGGGCGCTAAAAGTCAGTTAAAGAATTGACCAAAAGGATGTACTAGAGCAACAAATAAACATGGAGACAGTTTTTAGATGTGCTGAAAAATTAGGTGAGGGAAGCATTTATTTGTTTTACAGCTGTCACTTTTTAAAAAGTTTAAAAAGTTTCCATTTTTGAGCTGTGTTCACTACTGTCCCCAGCGATTAACTCATGTACAGCTCTGTTGTTAAGGTTCCACTTTCTGCAGAGATGGATCAGATTACAGGCAGAACAACAGAGAGGACGGACAGAAGGCTCCATGCATATTTTTTGAGTCAAGAACACAGCATAAATGAGTCCTTTGAGACAAAAAAGGCTGGGAATCCTTGGTTTTGACAAAACATGTTCAGAAATGCGTGGGATTCTCTCAAATATAAATGCTCCTGGACAGTTTGTTTGAACTGACTTTAAAACTGGAATCTCAAATCTAATGATGACATGTCTGTAAAGGGCTTAAACACACATGGAGAGGCTCTGATTTGTTTTCACTGAAATAAATCTTTAAATCATTTGTACAGATTCACAGTAACATTATGCATGTTTGAGAATCACGTTTGTTTTCTGTGATTTTTCAGATAATCCTGTGATTTCAGTAACATGAAATAAGAAGTGCTTATTATACATTATTATATTGTACATTTGGTTCTAACCCACTTGATCTCTCCCCCTCTCTCTTCCCTACCTGTGCCTCTCTCTGTGTCTCTCCATCTCTCCCTCCCCTCTCTTCTCCATTTTTCTGTTATCCCTTCCCCGCTTCTCCTTTTCTCCCCCTCTCTCTATCCCTCATTCTCTCTTCCTCCTTTCACCTCTCTCCTTCTCATTCTCCCCCCTCCTCCCTCCCATCTCTCTTCTTTTTTTGTACCATTCTTCCTCCTCCCATCTTCTGTCATCTTTCTTCATTGCCCTTCTCTCTCTGTTGTTGTTTACCCCCCCTCCCTCTCTCTCTCTCTCAGGTCGTACCAGTCCCTCTCTGGACCCGTTGAGGAAGAGCCCGTCTGCGGTTGACCCCTCCGTGACTTCCAGCCCTGCCTCTGGCGCTACCCCCTCGGCCCCGCCCCCGGCTCCGGGTCTGGGTCAGAGGAGTCCTGCTCACGGGAGAACAGCGCCTCCCTCTGGAACAGCTCAGAAGTCTGTTCTGCAGGACCTGGGAGGAGCCGGAGATGCCCAGAGGAGAGGTGAGACCAGAGAAACACAAAAATTTACTGACTGGCCTTTAGTTTGATGGTGCTTATTTGGTTATAAATTGGTACTCTCTGTTAGAAAGAACAAACAAATTACTATTACTTGATAACTATTTTGAACAATCTTTACATTAGATTCCACGGTCACTTGCATGCACCTTTAAATTCATCAGAAAAGTAATTTATATGGACAGTATGCAAGATTAAGCTTTTAAATTCGATAAATATGAACTGTAACCTCACAAATCAAGTAAGTCTTACAGTGACGGAGTGGTTAGAGGTTAGAAGTTCTGTTGTTGTGTCCTTAGGCAAGATACTTTACCCATGTTGCCTAGTGGTGCTGTGTGAGTGTATGAGTGGTGGTGGTGGGAGGGGACAATGGCGCAGATTGGCAGCCTCACTTCTGTCAGTCCATGTATGAGGAAATACATAAATGAGACAGTAAAAAGCAAAGAGACACATTTTGTCTGTTAAGATGCCCAGAATTTTGAGGGGCATTTCTCAAATAAAATTACATCAGTGCATAATCTCCATAAAATCTCTACCACCACTATCAGTCAGTGGTAGTTTTGTGACATGGCATGTGATTTTTACAGGAGCAGATGTTCAGAAACCCAAAGCAGAGGGCGATCAGAGCAGAGGAGAGAGAGAGGCGAAACGTCCCACAGGTTAAACTGAAACGCCTAATCTGAAATGTCTCTTCTTTAGATGGTGCATGTTTTTCTATGGACGCTGGACATCTGTGGCTCATCTCATTTTGTGTTAAAGTATGACATGTTTCTCTCATGTCAACACAGATCAGACTTGTTCTACTAACCCTGTGTTTTCCAGTCATGTGAAAGCTTTTTGTCGTTGGATTTGTCACTACTGCTGCTGTGTGCCCATGCATTTTTCTGATTGGTTAATCCGCTTGTCAGTCCTAAAATCTGTGCAGTTGAGATTAGGGCTTTATAATTAATCACAATCACAACAAAAAAGTGAAAATGTGAACTTTGAACAGAATCCAATTTTTAAAACATAAAGCACGAATCTACTCGCAGTCATAGTGTTTGTTATAAATTTTATTCCAAATCATTCAGTCCTAGTTGAAACTTGGATAATTTAATAATGGTTATCTGAAATATACAGACTGGTAAACACACACCAAAAGACGTTTCAGATAGCAGCATTCTTAAATCAAACTTGAAAAACAGATCAGTTATACACTTTGTTTGTAAATGTTTTCCATCTAGGAACAAAATAAAATCTAGTGAAAATGTGTATTTTTCAATGTACAATACAAATAGCATAACTGATTGATGCTAGTATCAGTAACTATTGGACTGTTCCTGAGTAGATTTGGAATGGTGCTGATGGTATCAGATCACTGGGTAAAGTACTATTTGTGTTAAAAATTATATTTTATTGTCTAAAAACAAAATGTATTGTCATTGCGGTATTAAAATGGGCATCAATTCTTTTCCTTAGTACTGAAATTTCCTAACAATATTAGAAAAAAATAATTTTGTTAATTTTGACTTGATTAATATATATATTTTTACTAATCAAGATTTAGTCAAATATTTAACCCTGTAATCGTTCAGCATGTTAAACAGGCATTATGGGGACTGCGGGTCAAACCATATCATTTTTGCTCACATCGCACTGTCTTGTATTTGTTAACATTGCATGAATTTCAAGGTCGACTGAAGAACATTTAAGCATCTGACCATTTTGTCTGTTTCTTGTCATGTTATACATGTCACACTTATCTAAACAGTGTGGGTAAAAATGTCTCATACCTCCCTGGTTGTTCTTTCCTGCAGCCGTAATGGGCGCTCCAGCGAACAGGCGTGGCGGTCGTGGCGGTGGTCATAGGGGCAGAGGTCGGTTTAATGTTCGCAGAGACGGACCGGTTAAATTTGAGAAGGACTTCGACTTTGAGAGCGCCAACGCACAGTTCAACAAAGAAGAGATAGACCGGGAGTTCCAGAGCAAACTCAAACTTAAAGGTACATGAGCTGCTAACAGTGCAGTAGATCTATCCCTTAAACTAGGGATGCACTCCGATACTGGTATGTGATATCGGCACTGATACAGAAAAAAATATATATATATATATAGTATTGGAATCATATCAGAACTGACAAAGCTGGATCGGTGCATCCCTACCATAAATCAATTTTCTGATATTGTTCTGGAACTTTTAAGCACAGCCCAGTTGTGTATTAAACCCAGTGTTTTGCCTTTGTCCCAGATGAGAAGAGTGACAAACCCGGGGAGAAGGCAGTGAACGGAGAGGAGAAGGCGGAGCCCGGAGCAGAGACTCCGAGTGAAACCACGGGAGAAGACGATCGCGACCCACTCGGACCAAACTGTTACTATGACAAGTCCAAGTCCTTCTTCGACAACATCTCCTGTGATGACACCAGGTACAAACACTCTCTTTAAAGATGTACTGTGGAACTCCTCTCATTGAAGCTCTGCCACCTGCTTTTCTCTATAGAGATGATGTTGCTTTGCTTGTTTATCTCCATTAAGAGAAGCAGGTGACAAGACTAGGCCAAGTTACCAATCAGTTCAATCAATCTGTTGAGAGGCGAGCTTGCTACATCAAGAATGCATGTTTTAATGAATTATTTTGCAATGTAAAAACCTGTAATTGAGTAAAGTTTGATGCCACACTGTAAAATATTCCAGACAAGGCAATAATATCTCCATAGCGACATGCATGTGGCAGGCCCTCAGTCAGGAAAGTTATTGTGCTTTTTAAAAGTCCTACAGTTTCACTTGCGAAATCATGTTTTTTTCATTCTTTTCAGGAAAGACAAGTCTGGGGGCTCTGGTTTTGGAAGGTAAATATCATGTTTCATGGCAGCTATGGCTACATAGTATATAATATAGTTGATTGCCCAATATGACTCAAATGCATTATTATTAAATCATCTCCTCGCTCCCCTTTTTCTCCACTTTTTCACTCCCTCTGTTCTCTCAGGGAGCGGCGTCAGACGTGGGCAGAGGAGAGGCGCATGAACGCTGAGACCTTCGGCATCCCACTGCGCCATGGGCGTGGCCGAGGCGGTTACCGTGGACGCGGGGGCATGGGTTTCCGCGGTAACAGGGGTCGGGGGTCATTCGGGGGCCATCCTCAGAGTGGGGGCTTCAGGGGTGGATACAGGAACAACAACCAGGCAGGACGTGAGTTCGCTGATCTGTCGTACAGGGTGAGTGAAAATAACTTATTAAATACACAAATTGTAATTTGGATTGTCTGTTGATGATGGGGTCTTAGCTGACCAAAATGTATATTAATATGTGAATGATTTTATGGGTGTTATGTAGGATTTTTATGCAGCAGAGAGAAGAGTAGACTAGTAATAGTGAAGAGAGTGACAAAGATGGACATTTGAGAATGATACAAATTTCTTTTTACTTTTCTTTTCATTACAGTTTGAGATCATATTTGATCCATATTTGAATTTGATATCTGATATTTGTACATTAGACAGTATGAAATTTAAAATTCCAAAACAAGACATGGAGTAGCTTGTTGTTTTTGTTTCCACATTGTATTGTAATAAATACATAAAAACAAGGTTAGTTTTCACCTAAATTTTTCCTTTTCTGTAACATTTGCAATCAATTCTGCTGTATGTTTGTTTCCATTTTTGTAGAACTTTTATCCAGTTGACAGAATTACATTGTTCTTTTGCCATTTTTGTATTGCTATAAAAATATTTTTTCTTTTTTTCCAGAAGGAAAATAAAGTGTCGGCGTAGTCCTGAGCATCGCTGTGGGAGACGATGAGACGATGAGGTGTACCTTTGCTTAAAAAAAACACGGAAAAAAACAAGAATAGATTTTTGGTTTCGACTTTTTGACTAAATGGAAGTTTGTAGTTGTATCTGACACCAGCACTGGGGTAGACCGCTCAAATGCAACTTAACTTTAACACACCTTACAGTGATCTCAAGTTTAATATCAGTATAATCTGTTTTGTTCAATAGAAACCCTTTTGCCCATTTCCTAAACCTCTATTTGATATTATTTTGTTAGAGTTTGGACTTCGAGCTTCACTTAAATATAAAGCTTTACTGCGGAACTTTTCCACTGGGGCGGTACACTGTCGGTAATCACTACGTCTGACGATTTTCCCTCGACTAATAAAGAGACTATGGGAAGGAACAATGTAAACCTGCACAACGTGTAACTTTTCTGGTGGGATGTCTGCCATCTGCTCTTCTCCACGGAGATGTTCTAACTTTGGCTGGAATGTTTCACAGTATGGCAGTAAACCTAGCAGTCTTACATTTATTCAGTTACAGGTGCTTTTAGTACTCTTGAATCCATTAAAAAACAAAAACGAGAATTTAAGTACATGCTCAAATCTAACAAAACCATGCTGTACCCCCGAGTGGAAATGTCATCTCTTGTCTATATATTTCTCTAATGAAACTTCAGCACCAAACCAATCCAATATTCTCAACTAACTCACCTTTACCTGTGTTTTCTAATACAGTCCAGGTTGCATTGAATCTATGTGAACTGTGTAACTTATGGCACTGTAATTTTTCACCTTTTCAGCTTTTTTGTTTAGTTGTTTTGGAAATGTGTTGTTCAAAATGCAAGTCTTGTATTGTAGAAAGCAGTTTTCAGTTCCCTGCCCAAACTGGTCAGTTAATGTTTGTTCATCTGAATGTGAAATTACCATCTAAACAGTATCTTCTTTAGAGCTTTAAAAGTAATTAATTTGAGATTTTAGTAATTGTAAAAAATTACATAACATTTTGAAACCACTAAACATGCACTATGTAGCTTTCTGGTGCTTGTCTCCATGGAGATGTGATTACTTTGCCTGAAATGTTCCGCAGTGTAGCACTAAATTTATGATGCATTGATTCAGGTTTTTTTATTGACTTGAGAAAAACTTGTAACTTGAACCTGTTAAGATATAAAAATGTAATGCCGTACTCTGGAACATTCCAGGTAAAGCAGTAGCACCTCTAAAATTTCATAGTACAGCTTTAAGGTAAAAACTGACACTTCCACCATTTAAAAGTTAAAATGATTCAGTCAATGTTAAGTTCTACTGAAAATTTAAAAGCATTTGATTGTCAAGAATTCAACCATCCTGTGCTTGTATACTCTTATTGGCATTCAATTTGTTTGCAATGGACTACTATAGTAAAAAGTACTCAAGTCTGATAATTAAAATTTCACTTGAATATAATTTTAAGTATATAAATTAGCTTAAGTAGTTGTAGTGATGAGTCATTAAGGTTTACGTGTTTAAGCCTATATGATCAGTTTAATAAACAAAAACAAAACAAAACACTACAATACAAAATTAGACCTTATCGTTTTAGATCATATTGTCCCTCCAAAAATGTAATTTTCAAAACAAATTGGGTACTTTTTCCAAGCATTTGACCAATATGTGACATTGTATTTATACATCTTAGGCAGTGTTTTGGCTAATGTTACCCCATTCATAGCATTCATACAGTAACTGCTAAAATGTATAATTCTTCAACTTAAGTAAATGCTAAAAACTGCTAGGAAAGGCTAATTTGCATAGCTATAACTGACAAAGCATTGAAAACTTGTAACTTATCTTACAAATTTGAAGTTAATTTAAAAGTATTTGGAGTAGTAGTAATATTATATTCACAATAGGGAGATGCTGTAAATGCATTCATGTACATTTATTTTAGTTTTGCAAGCTAACTAAGCTTTGGGCAAAATCCAGTATTTCATTTTCATTTTTCAATCAATACATTCTACCATAGTTAAGGTGCTGAAGTCTGCTAACAGTTCATCCAGTAGATGAAGTTCACTGCACTTTTTTAATGCTAATAATAAAATGTTAATGATATGTTGGATGGTTCGTCATTGGGAAACACAATTTTATAACACAGCTTTGAGTCTGCAACACAAGCCATAGTCTCACAAAGGGCACTTCAAAAATACACAAACTTTGGGTGCATTTTAGGAGATTTTTGAGCAATTTTTGGTTATGTTTTAATAATTTAAAGGTGCACAGTGTAACTTTTCTAATGGAGGGTTTATCAACTTCTTGTCTCCAAGGAGATGTTATTGCTTTGCCTAAAATGTTCCACTGTACGGCATTAAACTTGTCTTTCATCGGTCATTTGCAGGGCTTTTTAATGCTAAGAAGAAATTGGTCCTGTATTAATATCACCTGCTTGTCTGAAAGTAGATGCATTAATGCCATATTGATGAACATTCCTGGCAAAGCAATAGCATCTCCACAGTGACAAGAAGGTGGCACACACTTCTCTTCCAGAAAAGCAACATAGTGTAACTTTTCATTTCAATATATAACTTGCAAACCATGTAAGGGCCTAACAAGTATACAGCTAAAACGATTTACCTGTTTCAAACATACAAAAAGAAAAAACATATTTATTCAAATTATTTTGTTGGCTGCACAATTTTCAGGAATTTAAGCCACTGCCAAAACAAGCCATATTTGACCAACATAATCTGGTTAAAAACACATTCACAGATTTAACTTCTTGAATTTGGTTCTAAAAATCTTCTACCTTGCACCCAACATATTTAAATACAAAAAACTCCACCTGAAGCCACTAACCTTGACCCAAGACACTGCAAAACTCAACTCATCAAAAGTTATTGATGTCAACTTTACCTGTAGCAAATAGCTCTAGCAATACAAAGAAATGTAATATTTGACATAAAACAGTCTCTGAAATTCTTTTGGTTTTGTTAAATTTGGCAGAAAAAATATAGAAAAAGTTGTGAAGCACTTTTTTGGGGATAAATTGTGTTTTTGTTGATGTATTTCGTCCTGAGATTGTCAAAACCATTGTAATTCCTTGGAGGGTAAAAAGCCCAGAAACATATATTAAATAGTTGAGACTTTCCATTAACACGAAGCCATTTTGAAGCAACCTTTTAAAATGTACTGCTGGAATAAACAGTAGAAGACCAATGCCATCTGGGATTGTTTTTTTATTCTCAAATCAGTATTTACAGATTAAAGATGCTTTACAAAATTTTTACAGTCTTAAAAATGTGAAAAACAGAACTAGTACAGCAACAGTACAACAGTGGATGTATTTTGACCGCAAGAGCTGCTTATACAATATATCTGTACTGGTGCAAGTCACAATAGCTCAAATACACATGAAAATTTACTACATGGCCTTTTAAGAATTGAACTCTTATATATTCTAAGCACAATTGTTGTAAGGTTTGTCTAATGTGTTGTGATATTGATGTTCATGTGATTTCACATGTGGATAGGCCCAGTGATTAGAGATGAACCATAAACCAGGTCAACAAATCTGCCATCTGACGGTTAAACAGCAAATTCCACCACAGCATTCTGACCTTTTCTTCAGCTCAGTTTAAACTGTGAACAGTCAGTGCCAGTAGTTGGTCATGATCAAAACATTAGGCCAGTATCAACTGCTCTTGGTATTATAAGTAGTGCTGTCATGCGATTAAAAAAATTGAGCGATTAATTAATTATGATCTGTAATTAATTAATCTAATTAATCGCTTTTTAATCTCACCTAAAAATAGCTGAGAACAGCCTTCAATTTCAGGTATTTTCATTTAAATTCATTATTACATTATTGTGGCAGATCAAAAGACTGATATAGAACAAAAAAATACTTCATAAAGTCATTTATTTTTTTTATGAACTTTAACAGATGCAGCCATTTACATTCTGCTGTGTTCTTTTGACAAACTGTAAATAATTAGAAAATACAAATAAAATAAAACATCAGGTCCACATTATAAAGTGTTATAAGTTATCAAAAAACAGCAAAAACACTACAACCCTGAACTTGGTGCTTTTCCTCTGCTTCAGATAATAAAAAAATAAATTAAAACAAACACATCACAGTGCTGTAAGTTAGCACATCAAAAGTAACATTGTGTAACACAAAATAAAGTGCTGATATAACTAGGGGTGTCACATTATCGCGTTAATTGCGATTAATTAATTACAGCCATATTTAGCGCGTTATGTTTTTAATCGCGTTAATCTCATTTTTAATCTCTAACTTTACTGATTCTGTATGCGAGTTGCCTTACTATAAAATCCGTTTTTATGTGTTGAGCTCCTTGTGCTTGAATTGTTGGGGGTGGAACCATGGTCAGTCACACCCTGTTTGCAGGGCAAGGTGAGGAGCGGAGACGTGACAATGGAGGAGCATTTGACAGTTGGACCAATGAACGGGAAATTTACATTTCACAAACGCCCCGACGGCACCATTAATAAGGGTAAAGTCATATGCCTTCTATGTAAGAAGGAGTTTGCTTACCACCGAAGCAACTCAAGTTTAGCCTATCACATCAATGCAAAACACCCAGCCGCGAGTGTAGCCACGGCTAACGTTAGCAGCGAACACATTAGCAATTTAGCAAGCCAAAGCAAAGCTCTTCGCCAAACTACACTGGAGGAAAACACCACGCGTTTGAGCAAGTCTGCTACCGACAGGCTGACGAATGTTCTTGCCAAGTGGATAGCGATGAACTGCTGGCCGATAAATATAGTGGAAGGCGAAGGGTTATCAGAGGTGTTGCAAACTGCGTCCAATGACCCGTCATACAAGCCACCGTGCAGGACTACAGTGACCACCAAAATCAGCAAGATGTACGACAGCGAAAAGAAAAATAAACTTGAGATTTTGGTGGAGGATTCGCCCAACTGTGTTGCTATAACCGGAGATCACTGGACCTCAGTTGGCAACCACAGCTATTTGGGGGTGACCGGTGTTCCGGATTGTCTGGCGATCAGTTTAACTGGTAAAGGCGGGGCCACATCTGGAAGCATGGGGGGGCGTGTCCTCTCGGCTTCCATTCACTCCCATAGAGACACAAAACTGCCAGAGCTGTGTTGTCGCGTTAAACCTTCTTTATCGTGGCGTATTATTTCCCCATTGAAAAATTATCCAAATGTATCCCGCACATGTTCCCATCAAGACCTGGTTTGAAATAACAAACGTTGCTTTTTACTGCAGCGCATAAACGCGCTCAACCACTTGATCTGTTCGCTGCTCCAGACGCTCCTATAACAGGAGCCATATCACTATGTCGTGTAACAAATAAATATGGTCAAACACAAAATGCTGTCCGTGTCTTCACTGTCATGAATGTTGCGTTTGTGTAGACATGTACAGGCTTATATAATGTGTATAATGATCTAGTTCACACAATTTGCTACCAAAATAGGGATTGACTCATTGGATCATTTTGACACAATCACCCAGAGTGAAATATTACACAACATCTTGCTGTGAACACAACAGGTAGACTACATCTCCTGCTTCCAGATCCAGACGTGTTGGGCGTGTCCACTCAGCTGTAGATGCGGTGGGCGTGCACCTTAACCACTTGATCTGGTTGTCGCTGCGCTGCTGCTGCTGTAGACGCTCCATGTCAACAACTAATATTATGGTTCTTGTGCTCTCTTTCAAGTCGCAAACCTGCCGATAAAAAATACTCAAAGATAAACTGTTGCCAGTCCTGTTACTCTCAGGGGTCTGCGTGTGTAGAGATAGGCCTATATTATATGTACATATATGCAATGTGACATTTCACACAATTTGCTGCCTTAATATGGGTCTAAACTAGGTCTAAACTAGGATCAAACCAGATATAAAACATCTGACTGTAGACTACAGGTAGACTACATCTTTTGCATCCAGATCCAGATGTGGTGGGCGTGTCCACTCGGCTGCAGATGTGGTGGGCGTGCCTTAACAACTTGATCTGGTTGTTGCTGCGCTGCGGCTGCATGCAAGCCTTTTGGACTGGAGGCTTTTTGTAGTCACTGAAGTTTATATGTTCATTGTGTAGTGTTTTTCAGTGATCTTGATGCTAAAACATTCTTGTCTGTCTCTGGTCAGGTGAATGTATATTCTGTATCACGAAGCATATAATAGGCAAACGCAGTCACATTTTTTTCTTTATTCTAGACCAGCCAATTACACAGTGCATTAGGGATGACAAATACTGAACGTGTAAACGACTTTTGGCCTATATGATAGTTATTTCTTTTGTACCTGACTAAAAGGATTGGGAGCATGGTGCACGCCCACCGCATCTACAGCTGAGTGGACACGCCCAACACGTCCTAAACACCCTAATTATAAGCAAAAAAAAACAAAACTAAACTAAACTGAAATTAAAGCACTTTAGATTCAACATCTGTGGATCTTAAATTTGGATATTTATTTAAAAAGCTGAATCTCATTTAGAGTTGTTATATAGGCCCCTGTCCTGCCTCTCTTAAGACAAATGGGACAGGAGGAGGCTGGCTCATACTGCTGCAGGTGCAGAGTCATCCTCAGAGCTTTAAATACCCCCATCCTGATCATATGACCTCAGCATCCTGAAGAACAGACAGTTTTAGAACAGAGGATGTTATAGTTCATTCACATCCATTTTTATACTAAAACTGCACCATGTAACTTTTTCACTTGCTTGTCTTCATGGAGTAATTTTTTTTTTTTTTTTTTTTTACACAGAATGGCAATAGACCTGTCTGTCTCCATGGAAACAAGCAGATGATGCTACTAGGCCAAGTTACAAGATTTATAAAGTAGCAAGCCCGGGTCACTGTACGAAGACATGTTTTTCAAAATGGTTTTCCTTGAAGCCAAGCAGGTGATGGACTCTTCAACAGAAAAGTTACATAGTGCCCCTTTAAAAGAAATCATTGGCTGAATAATCAGTTAGTCCAAAATGAATTATGTTCATTGCTTGTAGGACTTTAGTTGTTTATTTAACTATCAGTTGAAGGTGTTTTCGTCAAATTCATATTTTTTGTAAATTTTGTTACCCTTTGTTACTGTTTGCGTCCTTTCTACGTGTACTTTGTGTTTTAAAGTAAAGTACTCTTTTCGCTACTCCTCTCACAGCAGAGTAGAGGCAGAGGTAACATGGGCTAAGTTCATGTTTACTTTTCAAATCAGTTTTTTCTTTTTCGTTGCTCAATGACAGTGACACATACCTAACCCCAAATCCCCAGCATGGCATCCTTCTCTGAGGTTCATAAAAGCAAATTAACGTTTGTTCATTAACTTCATGTCTTGGTTTATGGCTTATTATCAGTGTAAACAGTATAGCAGTGGTTTTACACCACCTTAGAGATATTGTGTTTATTTTGTATTTGCTTTAATTAGACGTAACGAATACTTTTACTACTACTACTACTACTTTTATTAGAATTACAAGTAGGCATAGCAAACCAAGGTGTACATCAATAACAAGCATTGGGCTATGCAAAAATAAATTGTTGGTTAAATGATAAGATACGTTTATTGTTAAAATAAATGCATTGTAATGGGCGCACGCTCCTGTTTTGTCCTTGACATCCGTGGGCGTGATTACTGCAGTAAATGGGCCGGCTCTACGCTTGTATTGGCCCGGCTTGGACCTCCCCTCTTCCTGAACAGTCTGTTCACTTTGCACCGCTCTCCATCCTGCTGCTACTGCCTCCATCTGTAATTTTCCTCCCTCCACACCTCCAAAACCTCCAGGACAGAGGGACTGAAGGATCAATTTACCCTTCGCGCAAGCACCTTAACCCCGGGACGGATTCTACACATCACCGCTAAAAAGATCCACCTGAAATAATCAACAAAATGGCACTCTCAAGCGACCCTAACTTCATGAAGCTGCAGCAGTGGTACCAAGCCAATGCTTCAAGCCTAAACATGCGGGAGATGTTTGACAGCGACCCGGGTCGGTTCTCCAAATTCAGGTGAATATTTGTGCGATTTGGAGCACGCTGGATCAGCAGATGGCTATTCTGGACTTTGTTTAGCCTTATGCTGTTTTATAGTTGTTTCGGGCCTAGGTTAGTACCGTTTTAGTCCTGCTTTAGAACTGGTTTGGACCTTGCTTAGTCCTGGTTTAGTCCTGATTTGGTCTTGGTGTAGTCCTGGAGCAGTCCTGGAGCATTTTGGTGGGCGTGGGGAGAGCATTTCTGAAACGTGACTGAAATTTAAGTGAATTACTTGTGAGACACACGTGCTTGGCCTTTAAAATACCTCCACGCAAAAACATGTTCAGTCATTCAAACCATCGTAACTCGTTTCATTCAAACCAAAAGTAGTAATTGGTTCGTAAATGCTGTTAGCCACAAGTGTGTAACATGCCCAAAGTTAATCGCAAGGTCATAGTTTAATTTCTCCACGTTTTCACTTCGTTTGCGTAATCCGCTTTAGAAATGAACATCACGTACCCATCATCTTTCAAAATATCATACGTGGATCGTTAAAATTATCATAATTGAACGTCACACTTGATTTGTGAATGAGTTGGGTAACTGCGCTAGCCTGCTAATGCTAAAAGCTAATGTCACAGCTTCCATTATCGGACAGCGTAATAGTAGTTGGATTTTACATAATTAATCGCAGTTTAAACGCCCAAATCCGGGAAGTAATTTTCTTTAGATAGTTTTAACAAAATCTGGAGGTATAAATGTGTTGTGTATAACGAAATAAACACATTTTAATATTGGCTAAACGAGACAATATTGGATTTATTCCAAAATTCCTGCAATGAAGCTGAGGAAACGATGCTGTTGGTTAATGTAGTAATTTCTTGCTAGTATAGTTTGCAGTATAATCATTTATCATCTGTGTAATAAATGTTTTTTTTTTAATGTATGAAGAACATGAATTAAATCAAAAGTTAGTTTGAGATACCTGTTGATTATCATAATGAGGCTAACTGCAAAGCAGTAACTAGCTTAACTAGTACTACTACATAAAAACAGTTACCAGTTTACCTCCTAGATACAACGCACTTTTAATTGTGTATGCACATGTAAAAAGCTTTAATATCGTATATTTCTAAAGGAATGCTGTATTAAAACAATGAATGTTATGAGGAAGAGCCTAATGAACACTTTCTTCATGTTGTATTTCGAGTTAATAAATTTCAGCAGTCCCGTGTTTATAATAGTAGTAAGGAGAGACTAATTATCGCCTATGTCTATCGTAATTATTTGTTTTATTTCTTTTATAGGATCATTCTAGCCTGTTTGACCCTCTGTTTGGTGCTTTGGTACATCTTGTGCAGATTCCAGCGCGTTGCTTTGTGTTGCTCAGCCTCTTTGGTTCATGTGCGTTTACGTAAAGTCCCCGTGTGTGTACGTGCACCGCTGCACTCTCCTCTTCTGACTCTGAAATAACCGTGTAGGGGACACTATAAACCATAAACTATAAACCACAACGAGCAAAGGAAGCAGAGGAGAGGGCCAGACACGGCAGAAGATGCAGAGGAGAAGGTCAGAGGAGTAAAGGATGTAGAGGAGAGGGCCAGATGGAGCAAGGGTCTGTAGCCTCTGCTCCATCTGCAGTGTCATGGCTGCAGCCACAGCTGCCCTGTGGCAGACTGGCAGTAACTTGACTGCTTTTTTGTGCCAAATGACACAACTAAAGGTCAGTTGAGGTGACAAGTAAATTGGGTGTGATGATAATTTAGCTAGTATAGTAAATGTATGCGTATTTAGGGGTAATGCTGCAACTTGTCTGGGAGAGTATTAAGAAAAATACAGAAACACTATGAGTAGAATATACTGGATCACGAGTAAAAGTTAACATTACTATAAAGTTGCCTTCATTTAGTTCGTATTGTGCACGTCATTCACCCATAAACCCTCCCTTCAGTGAGTCATCGTACTAATGAGAGATCAGTACAGCTAACTGCATGTAAAATCATGACCTGCACACGTGGTAATGGAAAAGAATAAAAGAAAGTTGTAGGCTGATGATAGAGGTTAGGTCATGGTATTTAAAAAGAAGTTACACACATTTCTCATTTTCTGTTGTGTATTGTGACATGACAGCTATTGTATTCTTGGATTGACTAAAACATCAAATCAAGGAGACTTATTCTGTAAAATTGACTTTAAACTATGTTGTAATAGTTTTTCTGTCGTCATAATTACCTGAGTCAGATTTGCATTTTGATTGATTCATGTATGTTTGAGTAATCCTGTATTGTCTTATATTTAAGGTATGAGTGCTCAGTAAATGTCTGTTCTAATCTACCCCATATCCCTGCCCATTTTGTGATGTGCAGCTATCCATGGGAGGGATGAACAGCATGCAACTCTTTGTTCTGATCATGTTTTAATGACATCATTGTGATTTAAAATGTCCATAATATAACATGCAACCCAGCAAATGTTTCAGCTGATATCCGATACTAATATATGATCATTGCATCCCTAGTAAGTATGTTATGAGGGAACTGTATTTTTAAATTAGTTAATAAATGAAGTTAAATAGAAGTTTTATTTACACTGGGGTTCTAGTTGTTAAAACTTCTGAGTTACTATGTTACTGATATTTAAATTTTCTTAAACAATTTTTCTGCTGGTCAGATACATGTCTGTAAATCAAGTCATTTTGATTATGATCTAATATGTCTGTTTTTTCACAGCACTACTCTTGAAACAGATGATGGACCAATTCTTCTGGATTATTCCAAAAATCTCATCAACGAAGACATCATGGCCATGCTTTTTGCTCTGGTACGTATCGACAAAAAAAGATGGCGGCATAGCTCCTGTTTAGTTTAGTGCTTTAGGTAGAGAAGAGCTTGTGACCTTTGACCTCATCTGACCCTATTTTGTGTGTACTCAAACATGTCTAATGCAGGTTGAAAACACGGCACTGTCCCTTTAAACTGGTGACCTGTAAGCCTGGAGCTCAATAATGAAAAGACATGATCCTCTTTAATCCAATTTTCACATTCTCACTCTCTCCCTCTCTTTTCTATCGCTCCCTCTCTCTCCAGCTAGCCTTCCTTCTGTCTCTCTTTCTCTATCCCTCCACCCTCTCCCTCCCTCTACCCCTCCTTTTCCTCCCCCTTACACACTACTCATTTCCTTTTTCCCCTCTTTCATTCACCTCTCTCTCCCTCTCTTTTCCTCATTCTTACATTTACAAATACTTACACTCATCCATTGTCCTTGCTTTCCACCACTCTTTCCTTTTTCCTCTTCTCTCTTTCCTTCTCTCTCCCTTCTCTACCCCGTACTCATTTTGATTTTGCCTCTATTTTATCTCTTTGACTTTCTCATCTCTGTCCTCTCTCTGTCTTTCCCCTTCTCTTTATTTTGGCAAAGTTGCTTACACATTTATAAAGACCCCTATTGCCCCTTCTACTCCCTTTTTCTCCCCCTTTTTTACCTCTCCCTCACTTCTGTCTCTCCATATCTCAAAGTAGGGATGCACTGTTACTGTTACTGGTATAAAATGTCTGCACTGATATTGAAAATTTAGCTGAACAGGGCATCTGTTCCATAAAATCGATTAAGCCGATATGCTGATTGGGTCTTTAATTGAATGTAATAAGACTATTTACATTTCATTGTGTTTGAACTTTTATTCATACAAAACTTCAGCTGTTCAGTAGACATTTTCTGTCCCGACACTAGTATTCCCCCCCCCCCCCCCCCCCCCCTTCTCTTTCTCCATATCTTGTCAAACTCTCAAATACCCCCCCCCCCTTTTTGCAACACTTTCTTTGTAAAGTGTCTCTTGCATCATCATTGCTCCATCATGACCGCTTTGACTTTGTGACAATGACCCAATGTGAGCTAACTGTAAGCTCACCGTGCTCAGACAATACGACTGCTGCTTCCTGGTTCCTGTCTGAAAAGAGGAACGTTTCACAAAGACAAAGTTTGGCTGTGAGGAAATTTGGGTTTTTTGTTGCAGAAGTGAAATATTAGTGGCTAGAAAATGGACGTGAAGAGCTTTGAGGTTGCAATTGTGATTAGATTTAATAAGATTCTGTTCATTTTAAACTCATCCAGGTGAATTGAGAAAAAGACTGAAATATGAACTGACAAACTAATACAAGAATCACATTTCAGGACATGTTTGTGCAGATCTAAACTACAGGGTTAGCAGTTTTTATGCAGAATAAGACAGGAGATTTTGTTGTTTGTGGAGGAAATTATGGTACTTTATGATTTGCTAATTGTGTCCATTCAAACTGTGATTAATCTTGCCGCCCTATGACAGAGATTAAGGCTATAGGCACTTTTTATTGTTTTGAAAATGAGATATTCACAGAAAACAACATATTAACATGTTTTATAAGTTTCACGTTTGTTTTTGGTGCTCTGAGTCTGCCCTTTCTTTACTCCTCCAGTTAAGCCGCTCCCCCTTCAGAGCACCATCACAACACAATTAACTAGGTTTTGTATAGTGTTTTTTATGAAATCTTGTTGTGTGGGAGCATGGATGTTGTAGGTTTGTGGAGTGAGCATTGGACAGAATCTTACATCTAATCATAAGGAGGGTTTGAATAGGCCCTGAAGAAATTGATAATTACTTAGACATGCATGGATGACATTTAAAACCTCTTCAGACATGTTTTTAATGACATAACAGCAAACAATGATTTTTGCATAATATCCCCTATTTAATAAACTAACATGTCATTATTTTGTTTTGTGTCCAGGCCAAGTCTCGAGGAGTGGAGGAGGCCAGAGATAAGATGTTCTCTGGAGAAAAGATCAACTTCACTGAGGTAATTTTAAACGTTGTGATAAACCCAACTGAAAACATGCACAGCAGGTCAAGTCCTCTAGCTAAGGTATGAACAAGACTAGCTCAAGATCCGGAGAAGGATCTTCTAGCTCCTGACATTTTTAACCTAGAAACACTGAAGGATGGATCAAATGCAGAGGGCGCATTTCCCAGAGCCGATAAAGTGCACCTGAACCTTAAACAAAGGTGTTTTTTTCACCCCCTTTATGGTCCAGTTCCAGACTCTTCTGCAGTGGAAAGTTGTAGGTCTGGCAGGTCAAACAAATACAGTAACACATTGCACCACAAGATGGAGACATAGTTCTGCTTTTCAGATTGAAGATGCTGGAGTATGTTCAAATCTAATACATCTGGCAAACCAAAATCGTGTTATCAGTAAAACCAATATGTCTCGATCTAGTTTGTTATAAACCCAAAAGGGCTCTCTATGATATCACGTATCATAATTTCAGATGAAGAACAGTGACCTACAGAACTCTATGGGAGATTTATGGTTTTTGAAAGAAATGTCCAAAGAGGAGCCGAGGACAGAATCTTCCTGAGCTCACAGTGACTCTGCACATTCACAGTTCATTCCAATGAGTGACTCTTCACCACAAAAACAGGTTATTTCAGTGTGACCCTTCAGCACAAAAACAGGCCGTTCTGTTACATCATCCACTCTAACAAAGGCCCTCTGTTTGTGGAGGAAATAATGGGATATAATGGAATTGTCACCGGCTTGATCAGGGCTTGAGGCATATGCTGTTGTGCTGTTCTGAGTAGCCTCATTCTCAACTGCAGTCATAGGAATGTGCTAATTGTTTCACGGATGAACCTACTTAAAGTACTCCAGTTAATATTATTTGCAGGATACTGTATGGAAGATATTTAGTTTAAATGTTGGAAATTTTTTCTGAAAAAAAAAAAGAAAAGGATTTTATTTTGCATTTCAGTTGATGAATTGTACATATACTTTTCAGTGTGTTTTTAATCATTACATTACAAAAAATATACACATTTTTAAAAATATTCAGCAAGAATATTTTCAAGCCCTCAAATTCAGCAGTCGAAATGAGTGTAAAATTCGTAGTGAAAGAGTTCATAGCAGAGATCCAAGATGCCAAGGCAAAATCATCTTTAACCCTCTCCAGGCATGCGTTGCAGATTTGCAACAGCTAAATTCCAAATACCTACTTGCTCCACATCCATATTATATGAGCTTTTTTTACTCAGGAGCCTTTTCTCCCATCCAAGCTGATAAACGTGGGAGATGCAGACTGTGCAAGAATGGCTACACGAACGGCCTGCCAGAAGTGCAAAATACTTTTTTTGTTTACAAAGGATAAAAAAGTCAGAATTGTATATTACTACCCCATATTATAATTTTCCCCAAATATCAGATTTTTCCTGATACTAAAAATTAATTTGAGCCTGAGAGGGTTAATATACATGTCTTTGTATGTGGACTGTATATTTATATATGTTATGTCTTTAGGGTCGCTCGGTGCTCCACATTGCCCTTCGCAATCGCTCAAACTCTCCGATCCTTGTCGACGGGAAAGACGTGATGCCAGAAGTGAATCGCGTCTTGGAGAAAATGAAGGCCTTCTGCCACGTAAGGACTTACCTGTGGTTCTAACACAGACTATTCTGTTCTGTCTACTGTAGTGGGTCTTGTAATCATGCACTTTAGCAGCTGTGAGTTACCGCCCTTCTGTTTGCTGTTTCAGAGAGTGCGCAGTGGAGAGTGGAAAGGCTTCAGTGGAAAGTCCATCACAGATGTGGTCAACATCGGCATCGGAGGATCAGACCTGGTAAGGATAGTCTTTCAACAGGTTTATAAATATAATTTGAACTTCGATGGAATTTATGTAAAACAGTTAGACAAACCCATTTTGATGTGTAATTTTGTCTCAAAGAACCACTACGGTTGAGCAGCTCGCCTTTCTGTGTGGAGTTTGCATGCTCTCCCTGTGTCCGGATGGGTTTCCTCTGAGCTCTCCAGTTTTCCCCTCAACCTAAAACATGCAACAGCAGAACAAACAGCAGAATAAATCCTCCAGCTAAAGTAATCCTGAGCAAGACTAGCTCAAGATCTGGAGATGGATCTTCCTGTTACTGACAGATTTAATCCAGAGACACTGAATGACAGGTTAAATGCAGAGGACAGAGTCCCTTGATAAAACTGATAATACTTTTCCATGTTTGTCAAAAATAGTAACAAAATGTAAGCATCTGGGATATTAATTTTAACTTGACACTGTCTATGGTGACACAGGCATTACAGTGTATATCTGTCCTTGTGCTCTCTAGGGCCCCCTGATGGTGACGGAGGCACTGAAGCCATACTCAGCTGGAGGTCCCAACGTTTGGTTCGTGTCAAACATTGATGGGACTCACATGGCCAAAACCCTCAAACAGCTCAATGCAGAGACTACGCTGTTTATCATTGCATCCAAGGTAAAAAATACTTGGTACTGTATTTAATACATAACATATCACATCCAAGGTGAGACTACTACTGCTTTTTTTTTTATATAAATGTACAGTTTATAAATGCAGAATGAACCAGAATTGGATGAACAGAGTGGCCAAAAGAGTAAAGTATTTGAGGAAACTACTATTAAACTAACTGTATAGACACAACAACTTATTTACAGTTTGAAGTGATTTGAGAACTTGATGGACAAAATATTAAATAATGCATACAATCTGGTATTTTCAAAGGATAGTTACAAATATTAGACAAATCATATCTAAATAATTGCATATGGTCAACGTAAAGCTTTTGTAACTTGTAGTTCCAATTTTGCTCAAGTAAAGAGTACTGTTCCGCTGGCTGTACAATATATTACTCATATAATAGTAATGTATGGGATGTGAAAACTACTTTGAGAAGTACAATTTCATAAAAATATGACTCAAGTAAATGAACTGTCTCTAAAAACATTTAAAAGTACTAAAAATGTAATCCTTAATTTCTGATAATTTTTTGTTTCCAGACATTCACGACCCAGGAGACCATTACCAATGCAGAGTCAGCCAAAGAGTGGTTCCTCCAAACAGCGAAGGACGTGAGTTTAAACTGATCTGTACCCTCCATAGATATTAACATCACATGCTAACCATGCTGATAACAAATAAGCTAACGAGGAATTGCTTTACAGGCATCAGCTGTGGCTAAACATTTCGTGGCCCTATCCACCAACGCAGTAAGTAGCATTTGCATCAAGTTCTAAATAGGCTAGCACCAGATGGAATTCTACACACTTATCTGGAACATTTATTGTTTCAACCTGTAGAGACCCAGACAGACACAAAGAAAAAGTATTTGTAGTTTTATAGAATGAGTTAGCTTTGGCCCTGACAGAAGATAGGTGAGGCAGAGGAGAGTGAGGGGGATGATGAGAGGATGAGAGGATGAGAAGCCAAGGGGGTACATCACAAACCAATGGGGAGGTGTATCTGGAGTGAGGTGATGAAGGTCGAGGTGCAGGTAAACTCTGGAGAAGTGGTGATTTAGACAGGAGTGAAGTCGTCCAGGCTGAATTTACTCGAGTTCCATTTTAAACATGCCCAAAAGAATTGACGAAAAGACTGCAATATGAACTGACAAAGTAATACAAGAATTACATTTCAGAACATGTTTGTACAGATCTAGACCTTTAGACTTTAGACAAGATTGTCCCTGAGGGGAAATTCTTTTTCACAAATGCACAGCTCATTTGACATATACAGACAGACGTCAACAACACACACACATTACAAAAGACATTACAGTGTACTCAGCAGGGTCTGTAGGTTGTGCTGCTGCAGCAGAGCATGCAACATCTAAACTGCAGGGGTGACAGTATTTATGCAGAATAAGATTTGCTAATTGTGTCCATTAAAACTGCAATTTCAAATAAGCAAAATGACATTTCTGTTAATAAAAGTGTGTTGCCTTTTCTCCGCAGGCAAAAGTGAAAGACTTTGGCATCGACACTGCAAACATGTTTGAGTTTTGGGATGTAAGTGTGTTCAGGTTTTATTTGTATTACATATATACATTCTTATTTACATTTTAGGAAATATACATTTCCTTTACATTTTATTGATCCTGGTTTTATTTTCCAGTGGGTGGGAGGCCGTTACTCCCTGTGGTCTGCGATCGGTCTGTCCATTGCTCTCCACATAGGTAAGCACACAGCAGTATGAGATGAGAACCTTGTATACAGTTTTCTTTGAATGTACTTCAAATAAATCAGGCCTCTTCTATCTCATTTTAATCAGCTTTTTTTTTTTTTTTTTGATTTCAGGATTTGAAAACTTTGAGCAGCTTCTGGCTGGAGCACACTGGATGGTAAAGTTTCATGTTTATCAACATAATTTTGTGTGATTTTTATCTGTGAGAAACCCAACAGGACCCATAGTCTGAATTTAGTTTGAATAATCACACATGGGTCTGTATTTCTCCAATTCACATTCTGTTGAAAAAACATGGCCTCTCTGTAATTGCTGCTGTCAGGCTCATCATTTTGGTAAAAATGTTAAGGTAAAATTGTTCGTATTAATCCACGTACATGATCCTCCCTAAGTGAAAATATGGACATTAATAACAAAGGTCAGGTGCCTTCTTTCCCCTATGGATGACGTCACACTCGTAGTCCACTTCATTATGGAGGCTATGTAACACTCACATATTTGGTCTTTCCTGCAGGACAGTCACTTTTGCTCCGCCCCCCTGGCTCAGAATGTGCCTGTCATCATGGCCATGCTGGGGGTCTGGTATATAAACCTGTTTGGGGCAGAGACCCAGGCGCTGCTGCCCTATGACCAGTACATGCACCGCTTTGCTGCATACTTCCAACAGGTGAGAAAATGTTAAAGGAGCTACATGCTGCTTTTGTCTGGTCCTCCACCTTCTTGTCTCCATAGAGACCTTGTTGCTTTTATTTAGAACCATTAAGATGGCAAAATGCTAATTTAGTCAGCTGATTTGACAAGCATTTAGTCAACCAAAAACCTATATATGTTAAGGTCATTCTCGATCATTGCTTCATAGACCTTCTCTCACATATATGCAGACTTGTATTTTATTTAATTACCTCCGCCAGGGAGGTTATGTTTTTGCCGGTGTTTGTCTGTTTGTTTGTTTGTTTGTTTGTTTGCCTGTTAGCAACATAACTCAAAAAGTTATGGACCGATTTTGATGAAATTTTCAGGATTTGTTGGAAATGTGAAAAGGAAGAACTGATTTCATTTTGGGGGTGATCCGGAAGAAATCCTGGATTCTGGATCACTTTGAAATTTTAGTTAACATTGTGGTAAATGGGGCCAAAAGGTTTGTTTCTCAATATCTCAGTTAATTATTGACCAAACCCCATGAAATTTGACTCAGGGATGGACAATGGCATCCTCTTTCATATTCCAAAGGCTGATCCGGATCTGATCCAGAAGACTGATTTTATCGCAATTTATATAAAAAATGGGTGTAGTCCTTGGCGGAGGTCTGCGCTCTCTGAGTGCTTTTCTAGTTTTATTTATTTATTTATTTATTATTATTATTATTATTATTATTATTTGTCTGCAAACAAATTACATGGACAAAAACTTTAACATAATCTATTAAATGACAAAATTACACTTACATTAAATAAAGTGGTGCTTGAGTTTGCTGACGCCTTGTAGTTCTAATTTAATATCTGTTTGTTGCTCAGGGCGACATGGAATCCAATGGAAAGTACATCACTAAAGATGGCAGCCGGGTGAACTACCATACAGGACCCATTGTGTGGGGGGAGCCAGGGACCAACGGACAACATGCATTCTACCAGCTCATACATCAAGGTCTGAAACTTGTATATCTAATAGAGACTTACCTTTCTAAAAGAATGAGTCCTCCTGTGAAATATTTCCTGCTTTTGTCAACATGTCAGAGACATCCACCAGCAGCACTCTGTCCACTACCTTATCTGTCAGGATCAGCATTGATTGATTTCAGAATGTCTCAGCAAAAACCTCAAAGAGATTACATTACAGTGGAAGTGTCCCTCTGATTGGACATAGCCAGCTGCGGTTGTGCACAGAGACTATTGCAATTAGATCTGTGATTTAATTCAATTAACTTGCCAAGTAGCCTTAAAGGGATAATATGTAGAATTCATTTTTATTTCAAATTCCATAAACATGATCGGTCAGTGTCCCCAAATATGAGGTAACATGTTCAAATCAAATATAGCTTTTAACATTGTAATGTTGTTTTATTCTACAAAAACATTGGACATGATGTCTGTAATTTGGTTATCATCTAGTATTTTTGATTCCCAAAAGGATTATCCAGTCAGAAAGAGGCATGCTTGAGTATTTCATTTGAGTTGCCAGTTTCAATGTTGAAATCCATTTGGTTTAAACCTAAATGGACTGTCTCTGACTGCAAGTGATGGGGTTTAATCGTCGATTCAGATCAATCATTAAGTGCTAATGCAGGCTGTTTCCCCAGTGTGCATAATGTCTTTACAAACCTTGAATTTAGAAACACTGGAGAGGCAACTTGCATGATAAATCTTTTATTATCATTATTTCTTTAGGAACACGTATGATTCCTTGCGACTTCCTCATTCCCGCACAGTCTCAGCATCCAATCAGAAACAACCTCCATCACAAGGTACTCCCTGTGGCAGAATGGTTATCCTGTAAGCAGGTTGTGGGTTAGACTCCTGATGTCTCTTGCTTGTGCAGATCCTGGTGGCTAATTTTTTGGCCCAGACTGAAGCTTTGATGAAAGGGAAAACAGCGTCTGAGGCTCGGGCTGAACTCGAGGCTGGAGGACTGAAGGGAGACGCTCTGCAAAAACTGCTACCACACAAAGTAAGAGTCCACCACAAGAACCATGATGTTTGAGAATTCTTCAAGTTAACCGGCTTATTCCTGCTCATAATTCTTTTTGCATTGTAACTTCCCCATCTCTCTTCATCCCAAGACCATAACAAGATAATTGTATGATTATGGCATAATGACAACTATTAGTTACTATTAGTTTGAGATAGGCCGATGTATCAGGCTAGTATTTGCAGTTTTGGCTATTGCCTATTCAAGCTCAAAGTTTGCTGGGCTTTATTTGAACATTTATGTGCAAAAAAGCAAATGTTTGCTCTGCTCTCTTGCAAGGTTTTAGTTAACCAGGGCTGTTGATGCCAAAATATCATTGCCTTTAGATATAATTTTTCCTTTATTATAATATTATGTAGAGCTGTTTATTATTATTAGTACACCCACATGGTCCAAAAATAAATGAAATAACTTTTTGGCATTGGCCATAAAAAAATCAGTTGATTTCTAATATTAGAGCTGCTTTTCTGTAGCTAATTGTTAAAAAAAAAAAAATCTGTTGTCCCAAAATCGCAAATTATTCCATAAATGGTAATAAGTCTGTTCTTCCATGTGTTCTCTCAACATTAAATAATTGTTTTTAAATATTGATTTAAACTGTAAAATCAATGTCAATAGTGTATATAGTTACATTATTTGCACTTTATGAATGTACTATACAAGGCCAGGCAAGTTTATTTGTATTGCACAATTTGTACACAAACTAATTCAAAGTACTTTACAGAATAAGAAATACATTAAAATCACAGTACAAACAAATCAAATCATAAATAATATCATAAAATTAATTAGAAAGGGAGAGGAGTTTGGAATGAAAAATGAAAACCTTTCAGTCAAATGCAGATAAACGGAGCTATTTTGAGCCTTGCCTTAAACAGAGTCAAAGTAGAGGCATGTTTCTTATGTTCAGCAGGAGACTGTTCCAGGTTTTAGCTGCATGAATCTGAAACACTCACACAGTGTTTAGTCCTGACTCTGGGCACCAGCAGGAGGTCGGTCCCTGAGCTCCTCCGAGTGCAGATGGTTCATATGGCACTAACATATCATAGATGTACTTTGGTGCTCGGCCATGGAGAGACTTGTACACAAGCAGAGCCACCTTAAAGTCTATTCCCTAAGCCACAGGTGACTGCTGAAACTGTCTCCTTGCTTCTGTGGGCCAAAGACTATGACTTCCGTCTTGTCGGAGTTTAGCTGGAGAAAGTAGTTTTGAATCCACACACTGATCTGTTGGATGCAGTAGCAGAGTGAGTCCACTGGTCCATAGTCCCCCGCTGCCAGGGAGACATAGATCTGAGTGTCATCTGCATAGTTATGGTAAGACACATTATTACTGTGTATTATCTGGCCTAATGGAAGCATGTAGAGATTGAACAACAGGGGCCCCTGGGGCACCCCACAGGCCCCTTGGGTAATTGTTCAGTACTGTGGCTTCAAGACTGCTCTTCTTTCTTAATGACTGCAGTTTTCAAAGCTCTTGGAAAAGTTCCAGATTGAAGTGACATGTTAACTATGTGAACGAGTGGTGAAAGCAAAGCGTTGAGAACGGACGTTAGAAATCTGGTAGGTGAAACACTGAGGCAGCATATAGATGAACTCAGACGAGCTCTAAGACAGGTTTTGTCAGTTACAGGTGTGAAATGACTCAGCTCTGTCTCTGTGGCTGCATGCTTGTTATTTGCGTTTTGGAATTTATGGCATTTTTGATGCTCTGAACCTTGTCATTAAAGAATACTGCAAACTCATTGCACTTAGATGTGGAAATTAGTTCTAACGGCAGGAGAGCTTGTTAATCTGTTCACTGTGGCAAACAAGCAAACAAGACATGAGAGTTGTTAATGCAATTTCCAATAATGTCTGAAAAGTAGCTCTCTTGTTGTACCCAAACTGTGGTTGTACATATGCATCTTTTCTCTGTAAATCTCATAATGATTTTGTTCAGCCATCCGGCACTCCTTTTTCACTCCACAGAGCTTTTTGCCCATCATTAACCGTTTTAACATTCATCGAGACAATGGTGTCCAGAAAATTCAAAACCCTCAAAGTCACAAAGTTCACTACATCATCAACATTAGAACATGAGGCAATTTCAAAGTGTATCATTTCCATGAACAGTGCACCTGTGTTATCGTTCATGTGTCTCCTTCAAACAGCTGTAGGAGCAGCCGGTGGTTTGGGAATAACAGACAGGTCAAAGAAGACACAGAAATCATCAGACAGAGCAACATCAACCTCATTGACATCTGAAATATTTACACCTTTTGTAATGAGCAGGTCCAGAGTGTGCCCTCTGTTGTGAGTGACCTGCTGAGTCAGACCAAAAGTTTGAAGGACAACACTGAGTTCTTTAGCATTTTCATCACACACATTATCCACATGTACATTAAAATCACCTGTAATGACCAAACCATCAAAGTTTGTGCAAATGACTGAAAGCATCTCAATAAAATCATCAATAAAACTTTGACAGTGCTGAGGAGGTTTGTATATGACTATGTAGAGTATGGCAACCTGTGTGTAACCAAATGATCTCTACAAATGCACACACATCTCTACCCTTTTTGTTTACCTGTGTTTCAGATTCAAATTTGAAATTGGGACCATTTGATTCCATTTGCGCTGCATGACCTGTGTTTTTGTTAAGAGATGTTTTAGTTAAAAATATAAAGTCATGATTAAAAGAAGAAATAAAATTATAAATTAAAAAATGATTTGTTAGATAAAGATGTGACATTGAGCACAGCAAGTTTCAGATTAGTTTCAGTAGGACGGGATGTTATTTTCTTACAGAGAATGTGAACTAAATTTATCTGATTAGACAAACTAACTGTCCTGTTAATCCGTCTACGTGGTGTAACAGGAGATATATCTCCATCGCAGGGCCCCAGCCTGATATTACCTTTATCATGACTCTTTGTCCTGGGACAGCAGAGGCCCTGTGCGTCCTAGCTCTTGGTGATAACAGCTCTGGGGAAAGGCGGGGGAGGTTGAGCATGAGAGAATTTGGGTTAGGGACCAGGTGAGGGCCTAGGAGGTGAAGCACTATATTGCACTATAATCATGTGTACAGTTTAATGGTCTGCTCTAAATGTAATTTTGTTGTTACTTGTGACATTGACAATAACCCTCAAATCTTATTTAAAAAACAGTAATTGTGTATGTTTTTCCCATAAGGTGTTTGAGGGAAACAAGCCCAGCAACTCCATTGTATTCAAGAAGTTGACTCCATTCATTTTGGGATCTCTAATCTGTGAGTCCAATTTACTTTTTCATGTTTTTGTAAAAGTTGCAAAGTTCTGTATGCACAAATATTTGAGTATAATTTCTTTTGTTTTCAGCCATGTATGAGCACAAGATCTTTGTCCAAGGGGTCATCTGGAACATTAACAGCTATGACCAGTGGGGGTTAGTATTGTTCTTTTGACATTATTTTTGCTTTAGCTTATTTGTACATTTATGTTATGCAGAGGAGAGGGTCTGATAGAACCGGGGAGATGGTTAGATGGGTCAGCGGATGGCAAAGGATGACTTCTTGTTTTTTTCTATTTTATTCCCAGTGTTGAACTCGGAAAACAGTTGGCAAAGAAGATCGAGCCGGAGCTGAAGGACGATTCTGAGGTTTCTTCTCACGATTCCTCCACAAATGGACTCATCAACTTCCTCAAGAAAAACTTCTAAAAACTGCTAAAAACGTTCCCGAAAATTCCTGCGTCTGTCTGAAATTGCTTCCACCATTCCTCTTTGTGCACTTTATGTCGTGATCATCGCAGCTGTAAAGTCGTGTTTAAAAAGGGAATCTTGTGTTCCTGTGTTTGTGCAGAAAACTGTAGGTGAGAAACGCCCCGTGAGTTAAAGCAGCACTGACTTTAAAATAAAATGAAAATTAATATAAAAATAAAACTCTTTATGTCACTGAATCATTGAGTGTTGGCTATTTTATTTATGATTTAAAGGATTTAAAGGAAGGGGGGGTGTATTACACAGTATCTATTATTTTTAGCTTTCCCTCATCAGAAACATGCCTGAAAAGGTTTTAGATGTCATTCATGCATGTTTGAGTAATATAGTACTCTGCTCTCACATGACAATCCTCCATAATTGTGCATGCATATTTAAATATGTTCTGTGTTAACAATTAATATCCCACAGATGTACCTTTTTATTTAGATAATGCTCAAAAGCTGGTATTTTCAGAGGAAAGGCCTAAAAATTAGACAAACTTTATCTGAAGGAGTGGTGCAAGAAACACAAATGTTCAAATAATTTCATATTACCAGCATAAAGCTTTTGTCACTTGTACGTTTTCTTACACCTTACAATATATTGCTCAAACCAGATCCAAAACAGACAGAAACCAGTTATATTTACTTAAAGGTGCACTTCATAACCTTTCTGTGGAGGGTACACCACCAGTTTACCTTTATTCAATTACAGGTGTTTTAATTTCTCAAACATACCATCAAAAACATTCATTCTTACTGTGAGCTGGGTACTTCACAGATCTGTAGTTGGCCTGATAGTGTCTCCATGGATATAGACATGTTTAATTCCATATTGTGGTTAACATGAAGACTCATCAATATTATTTTATTTTATTATGTTATTTTAGCTTTATTTAAGAAGTCAAAAATGTTTAGTACCAGCTGCTGTTGGTTAGTTTGACATTTCGTGGAAGTATGCGTCCTTTTGATAGTAAAGGAATAGGCAGTTGTTTATCTCGTCACTTGTGGCCTACATCTCCTCAGGGTGTGTGCACGCTCTTTTGTCACGAGCTCACGTTTCTGCTCCGGTGTCTCGTGCGGAAGGCGTGGCCGTTTGGCGGGGGTGGCACGTGAACCGGGACGCTCAGGTGTGAGTGCGTCTGTGTGCGTCTGTGTGCCAGTCTGTGCCATGGAGCTGGTGCGCGTGCTGCTGCTGCTGCTGCTGACGGCGTGCGTGTGCGTGGCCTCGGGGCTGTGTGCGTGCCCGTGGGGGTCATGCGGCGCGTGGGCAGGTGTAGTAGCTGCCGCAGCTTTGATGTTCAGCGCTCTCTGGACACGAGCGTGGAGGGAAGAGGAGACGCTGCCCTGCACCGGGAGAGCCGTTCTCATCACAGGTTTGGCACACACGCGCACATGAACACCTGAACACGTTTAGATGAGTTCTGTTGTAATTTGACCGAAAAACTAGAGAAGAAATAGCTCAAAACAATAAGTATAAATGGTATAGGCTTATACATTTTAAAAAGTAGTACAATTTTAAAGGAACTGTATGTAGCCTTGCTCTCGGGTAAGTTAAAAAGGTTCTATAATCACAACTGAGCCTGTGTTGCCAGTGCTTGAACCCGCAGATAAGGTATAGAGGACACATACAAGTTTGTCACATTCTCAGTATATGGACACACCATACCTCATGTGAAAGTTCAGAACCTCCAGAATTCCCTTATTGAGCTGCAGAAGCTGCACTAGCACTGAGTCGTAACTGGCTGCAGGTGCTGGAGTTTAGCATTCAGATCAGAGAGAGGCATTTCAAATACATTTCAGCATTGAAACTGGTAACCCAAATGAGAGAGAGCTCATTCTGCTTTCTGACTGAATAATCCTTAACCAAAACCAACCAAAACACCAAATTATAGCATTTCTTCTGTAATTAACAATAAATTAGATTTGCAGTTGTTATCAGTAAGAGTTTTATTTGATTTGAACATGTTTACCTCAAATCTGGAGACACAGTTAGGTCATCTTCATGAAATTTAAAATCTAAATCTTACATACATTTCCTTTAAAGGTACACTACACAGCTTTTCTGTCGTCTATCATGGGAAGTAAGAATGCTGTATTTTTGTTCTGTAAAAACACAGATAATTCAGGATTTTGACATTTTATGTAATGTTACATGTCGATATGGAACTTTTCCAGTGGAGTTTCCTCTATACCTGCTTGTCTGTATCGATGTGTGTAGCGATACTTGTGATTTCACAAACTCATGAGAATCCATTTTGAGAGACTCCTGCTGTACGGTTAATCGGGCAGGCGGCCCAATCACGTCACAGCACTGAGGTTTATGCGGAAGCCAAAGGAGAAGCACTGGACCTTGCCAAACCAAACATGGTGACACAGACAGACATACTTCAGACTATTTTAGCATCAATACAGAATATTTTGCTTACGAAAACATGCAGAAGATAAGCACATTGTGCATTTGTGGAGGGAAAGATGTCGAAGTTTGATTTTTTTTTTTTTTGATTGTTCCGCTGTTGTGACGTTTCGACCAATCACGTTCAAGTAGTCATCATAAAAACTGAAAAAGCTGGATGGGTGCATCCCTACTCAAAGCCACTTTGAAAAACACACATTGACCACCAGGTCAAGTTACAGGTCAAGTTTAAAGATACGTACCTTGGAAAAAAAAACTGTAATGTAGCCATTTTACTTTCACTTTTCCCTCGACTGTAATACAAGTAGACATACTTGTGTTAGGTACTGTAATGACTAATATACAGTGAAAGTGTGACACTGAAAAAAAATGTATTTTGACTTTGATGAATGCTATTATGTCGATATTACATTTTTAGTAGGGGGTAATTCAGGTTTAGAGGTGCAGACAAGAGCAAACAGGAGCTGGCAGGAGCAGAGTCAGAGGAGCAGAGTCTGAGGAGCAAAGCCAGAGGAGCAAAGCCTAATTTACAGGCCAGATCTGAGGATATACAAGTTGTAATAAGTGTATAACCATGGCAAAGGTCAGGTGTCAAACCATAAACCAGATAAGTTACAGTGTTCCCTAAATAGATGCAATTATAATCGAGACACAAGAAAACGCTGAGAGATGCTTTCAGAGCAAGAAACCATGAACACACATGATGGAAAACATGTTTAGGTCACAGGGTTGTGGATTAGACTCCAGTTTAATTGTTAGATGACCACAATATTACTTTAGTCCTGGTTTAGTTCTGGTTCAGGCCTGGTTTAGACCTGGTTTAGACCTGGTTTAGACAGCTCAAGATAATTCTAAAGCTATTCAGGAAAGGTTCATTTCTGTCCTCTGAATGTGACTTACTTGCTAGAAAGAGTATCTAGTATCGATTAGTATTTGATTTTTGATACTGTTTACAACAATACTGTTTTCGCTACTGTTTACAACCAAATAAAGGCTTTTTAACATGCCTTGTATTTTTGTCTGCTTATTTTCCATCCTAAGCAGACTATTCTCCATTTTGTATTATACTCAGGTTTGTTTTGGTTCAATACATTCTTTATTTTACTGTAAAACGCACTGACCTTATGTGCTCTCAGAGGCGAGACATGGGGCAACAGAATGCACAGAAGTCTATTAAAAAACATTTTTGTGTAACTGTGAGTCCAACCACACAACATAAGGTAAAGCAGGTTCAAGAATCTGATGATGTCATAGTTTCAGATGGAGGGTATGCCGGGATCTGTATAGCTCTAATCTCTAATCTTATGGTAAATTTTTCTCCTTTTTTCTTTTCTGATTCCACCAAGAAGCAGTACATTTTAGACCCTCCACTAGGAAACTATCACTGCAGGTCATGTACACAATGTAATTTTACCCATAAATATGAAACTTATACACACCCAACCTCAGGGAAGATTATGAAAATCAAAGGGACAATTACACATTCCACCAAAAATGTTATTCATTTGGTCTTGGTTATGCAAGAAAAACATCTAGAGCACTAAAGACTCGAATATCTGAACAAATGGTATCAGCAATATTAGAAATTATTTTATTTATTTATTTATTTGAGACAGGGACAGTGCACAATTTTTGCATTTACCTTAACAGAAGAGGTGCATTGTACGTCAGGTTGTAGCATCAGTGCTCATTTCCACCTGTAGTCCCTGGGCAGGTTCATTGATTGATTGTATTTAACTGACGTTGACTATCAACTGTTCTGGAGACCTGTAGCATGTTTTGGGTTGATGGGGGAAACCGGAGCACCCGGAGGAAACCCATCCAGACACTGGGAGAAACATGCAAACTCCACACAGAAAGGCCCGGGCGACTTAAGAAACCCTGTAGCTGATTTAATTTGCTCACCCAATGATAACAAATGACAGATGGACTTGAGCATTGTTTCCCAAAGACTGGGTGTACCTCAGGTGGGTCGCAAGAGGATTTTTTTGGGTCGTCTTGTCACGATCTGCATGTAGGTCTGTAATATACATATACATACATATACATATATCTCTTCCGTGCACGGGATCTATGCACACCCCCGCTGCTCACTTTTTCGGTGACTTGCCGGGATCGCCTTGCCTAACCAATTTTCTGTAGGAAACACTGATTACTGTTTTTTGCTTGTTTAAAACTTGAGTCCCATATTTTTCGGACTATAAGGTGCATTTAAATCCCTTAATTTTTTGAAAAATTGAGCGCCTTATAATCCGGCGCACCTTATGTATTAATTCTGATTGTGCTTACTAACCTCAAACTGATTTTCACATATATTCCACTGAGTCGTGTTCTTTAGTCTGACAGAAGCTGACCGCTCCTTAGCGAGCTGTTTTTTAATGCTTATAGTTTATGCAAATAAGTCATGTGGTTTTAAGTTAAATTTCTGTAAAACTTAAACAAATGTGCGCAAAGCTGCATTTAACACAAATGTATATTTGAGTCCTCCTCTTAGGAAACAAAACAGTCTTAAGTTTCAAGTGTCATCCGTTTGTTTCGTGTAATGTGCCTTATAATCTGGTGCACCTTATAGTTTGAAAAATACGGTAATAGTAATTGGTCAGAGAGATATGATCACTCAGTCAACAATAAAATATCCTCATTAATGTGCAATAATGGTCACAATTTTATTTTGTGATTTACAAATAATGTTTATTGACTTGACTTTAAAATATGGGTCCCCAGAAAAAAAGCTTTGGAAAAAATGGACTTGAGTAATGACTTATGTTATATGATGTACAGTGTGTATTGTGTTTTATATATATATATATATATATATATATATATATATATATATATATATATATATAAAAGTCTTTCCTTTTCCTTTCTGCACTTCAAACTCCGCCCCTGCAGCCAGGTGTTCCAGGTGTTTGGAATCAGAAACACCTTGCAGTAACTAGGGCAGTTCACGTAGTACTTGAAATTTCTGTGGCCACCAGTATAGTCAGTGACACTATATAAATAAAACTAAAGCCTTCATTCATACTTTTGAATGAAAGATTTAGTTTTGAATTTAACATCTTAAAATCTCCATTAAATTAATATTAGGCTCATTGAAAAGTATTTGAGATATGACCTTATGCAGGTTTCCAAGCTGAAAAATCAACATTTAGCTAAATCCAGTTGAGAGAAAAGCTCAGACATCTCTCCACAAAGCCAGGAAGCGCTTTTCTCTGCACGTTTTTTACAAACTAAAGAGTCAGTCTGGATTTCTGCTACAACTGGCTAAAGTACATCAGCTGGTGTCTCCACGATTGTTTTGTTTGGAGCTGGCTTCTGCCCAAACCGCAATGCTGCTCTGTGATTGGTCAGTCTCTACATCACCATGCTTCAGCTAGAGCTGAACAAGAACGGATTCTGAAGAGTTTGTGAAGTGCAGCTCTTTATGGTTCTGCACAGAAAGGGAGCAGTGTGACATATGCTGAATTTTTTGCCAGTTTTCCAGCGCAGGTTAGACGGATTCTACAGTGTTGTGACCCTTTCCCCCCCTCTGTTTCTTCAGGCTGTGACTCTGGCTTCGGTCACGCCTTGGCTCTGCGCCTCAGTGGGCTCGGACTGCAGGTTTTCGCTGGAGTCTTGGACAGTGAAGGCACTGGAGCAAAGAAGCTGAAAGAACAGGACCCTGAACGCATCACAATTTTACAGATGGACGTGACTAATGCTGAACACATCGCACAGGTTAAAGAGGCCATAAAGAAACAGCTGGGAGAGAAAGGTACGTTTAAACTAGTGTGTGACTGTGGCAGAGTGGTTAGCCTGGAGAGGGGTTTGTACTCTTTCTTGAGTAATATATTGTACAGTGTAAGAGTACTCTTACTTGAGTAAAAGTTTTGGTCACTCTTCTGTGAGTATAAGTCTACAAGTGACGAACGCTTTATGTGGACAATATGAAATGATTTGCACATTGGTGTTTCTTGCTCTTCTCCTTCAGATATGAACCAGTTTGTTTAATTTTTATGGTCTTACAATATTTTGTCATTCCAATTATATTAAAGGTTGTATGGAGGATTTTTTTTGGTTTCAAATTGTCAATGATAGCATTATAGAGGTGCAGTAGCCTTGTAATTATGATGACCAAAAAAAAGAGAATAAAAATTCATCAACTCTGGACGTGGTGGGGCCAGCTAAACATTTGCTAATAGATAACGACATTGCCTCGTTATCTGTTAGCTGACAGGCTGTCAATCAATCTCCCTACGTTTCTAGCGTAACTGACTTGCCTGCGCGCCACCGGTACGTGTTTTACGTACGCCTGTCACGCAGTTCACAGACGCACAGACGCTGTTTACTCCACCAACGCAACAGTTCTTAGCGGCTTTTTTTGACCTATATCTTCCTCACAGTTAGCACAAAGTTTGTTGCAATGGCGACAAGAATCCAGGAGCAGTTAGCCGCAAAAGAAAGTCCGTTTTTGAGATTGCTGAAAGAAGAAGACAAGGGGAAAAGCAGCGAAGCCAAACTAAGGTGATTCTTGAAGATTCATTCCAGCGATGGCGCGACTGAAGCAGACGCAGGGTCTAAAGACTGACGCACTGGTCGCCAAATTACTCCTGGACAGGTCACTTCTGCTTATTATGAAAATGTACTTTATTTACAAGAGCTAGTCAAACGTTTTTCAGGACACGAAAGCGATATCCTATGTCTGAAAACTTAATTTTCAAGGCAAAGAAAGAGTCCGCTTGCTGCTGCGTGTTGTAGCTAGTTCATTCGCACTGAATCTCCGCGCAACCTTCTCTGCACCCATTTCCTGCTCCTGTCCCCGCTGCCCGTTCCGCTCTTCCCCCTGCTCCTCACTTCTACGGGCACGGAATCTCCGCGCACCGCTCCCCTCTCCTCTCTCCTCTCCCTGCTTCCTGCTCCGCTCTTCTCCCTGCTCCTCACTTCTCGTCCGCGCACGAAATGTCCGCACACCCGCTCCCCCCGCTCCTCACTTCTCCGTCTTGCCTAACCAACACTGTAGTTAGTTGTTTACAAGTCATGTGCAGCGCACCGGCTGTAAACAAACCTGTTTCTGGCGTAAGGAAGAGGCGGGAGGAGGCGTTTCTACGTAGGGAGCTGTAGGGGAGGGGGGGTGGTTTCACGCATGCACAACATTTGAAAAAGGACAAACAATCGCTGGATTTTTCGTTCTTTGGAAAATCCTCTATACAACCTTTAACTCTAAGTTACTCTTGCTTGAATAATAGTTTACCTCAAATACTTGTTCACTTCACATTTCTTGGACCGCTACTTTGTACTTGAATAATATTTTTTTAAGTTAACATTACTCTTACTTGAGTAAAATTACTGGCTGCTCTACCCTGCTCTGCCCGTTTTCAGCTTTCAGTAAAGAGGTTGTGAGTTAAATTCCTGATCTTTATGCCTTGTATAAATTATGCTAAGAACAGTTTGTTCTGATCTTCCTAATTATTTGTTTTCAGAAGCAGCTGGATCAGTCTAATCATGTATTGTGTGTACTTAAATGGCTTTTGTCACTTATGTCTGTGAAAAGCTGTGATTACAAGGTTAATATTCAAACTATGACTTTTCAGACTGACTTCCCACACCCTTTGGCTCAAATTAAGATGTTTTCCAGTCAATCAAGTCTGACATCATCTAATTAATGAATGTAATAAACAAGAAAACACAGTTATTAGTCTGTGTGACCTTGTATGCTGCAAGGCCTGATTAATATAAATTAAAAAAAGTTAGATTTATGTGTGTAACCACCTCACCTTTGCCACATTCCTACTGCTCACATGCACTGTTTTATTTCTATCTCAGCTTTAAAGCAGACATATTCTACAAAACTGACTTTTAAATCGAGAGCTTTTGACCATGTTATAGTTGTTTTCCCTCACCATTTCCTCATCCAAAGTTGTATTTGGTGTGATTCAAGCAATGTTTAATTGCTTATTTTCAAAACGCCATATTGCCAATCAACCCCCATTTTCATTACCCCCAGCATACACCCACTGCTCTGTATTTTCTTCCTTTTCCAATTTTATTTTATTTGTGATACGCATTTGGGGATACGGGACACGGGATTTGGCAATATCATATAGCTATTTTGTTAGTATTGTTAAAGTAGGAGGGGCCAAAAGCTTCACTCATTGTGATGACGTTTACAAAGGGAAAAATTTAAATTAAAAAAATTAGACAAGATTTTCAGTAAAAACAATTAAACAAAAATATATTAGCTGTGTTTTACTGAAGTACTTCGTCTAAACTTCCATGCATTTACCTATATTATTCTATTTTCTTGTCTCTGTTATTATAACATTTCCTCATTAAAAACATACCTGAAACATACCTTTTGTTTTATTCACATATTTAACACACAAACCCTACATATTTGAGCTCAGTTCTTCTCTTACACAGAAAACACTCTGTTCCACCTTGTGATGTCATGTAGTAATACAGGAAGAGCTTCACTGTGTTTTTAAACTCCATACACCTTCACTAGAATCATTTTAAGAATTTCTGCTCTGCATTTTCCAGTCTCTACTGAACCTAAGGTAAAAGGTAGCTGTTAACTTGAAAACTACAACTAGTTGAGATCACAAGGTGGAACAGAGCAATTTGAGCTATGGTGGTGTAGGCAGACTAATAATAATGGAATGAATGAAACAAACTACTGTAACACTGTGATATCTCCTTATGACCCTTGACCTCTCCTTGTTGCAGGCCTGTGGGGGCTGGTAAATAACGCTGGGCTCCTCTTGTGCCCTGTTGATGCAGAGCTGCAGTCCACTTCCACTGTCCGGCGCATTATGGAGGTGAACTTCCTGTCTGCTGTTACCGTGACACAGGCATTCCTCCCTCTGATCAGAAGAGCCAAAGGGCGGGTGGTCAGTGTGTCCAGTCTGGCAGGTAAGAGCCATAACATTAAAAGGAGACAAATGATGCTTTTAATTACAGAGCACTGCTATGTATTTATAATCTAATCTGCACCAGTGACGGTGAAAACAAGGGTAGTTTGGAGCACTGACATCTTGAATACAGGAAAATAAAAACAACTCAAACATGCATGAATCTCTCTAAATACAAATTCAGACGGTCAATGAATAGGGAAACAATAACATAGTTAAAAGCTCTGAAAAGTCAAATTTGCAACTGCTTTCAAACAGCTGTGCAGGTCTGTCCATATCAAAACAAATATGGCTGCTTATGAGGAAAAAATAAAGGAATCAAGATATCATAGTGGACTGAAAAACATAGTGGATTTCTGCAGAATCAATGTGCAGAGCATTAAACTCTTGTTAACCTGAGGTGAGAGAATGACTTTTAATTCAAAATGATGAGTGACCAATGAGCTCCTTCGTTTTACATGTATCACTGAAATACAACAAATCTGATTGGATGGACATCTTTGGTTTTGGCTCTAGACGTATCGCAAGGAGTGGGGACCTGACTTCTACAGAGAGATATCAGTCTAGACTTGACAGGCAAATACCTACGTAAAATCACACGACCACAGTGAGGCGCCTGTAGCATTTTCCAGAATAAGGTCAATAGGATCCAAATATGTCATATCAGATTTGTACTTTTTGACCTGTTTTTATTGGCAGGTCATTTCAGATCTCAGAAACGATCATCTAATCTACAATCTATCAGAAATGTGCCAGAAATAGTGTGGTTGAGGTTCAGGTATCTGTGGAGTTAAAGATGCAACCACTACCTTTTACAAGTATGACAGGAAAACCAGAAAAGTGATCTAGTCCATTTTAAAGTGATTTTTCTAAATGCAAGTAAAGCCAAGAACTATGATTGAGGTGATGTGAATTGAATCTCAAAGATCACAATAACATATCTGGAGAAGCAGATGAGGAAATAGCCAGGAAAATATTAGGCATGTATTTAAACATATACTCACTCAGTTTTGATCAGCAGCACTCACCGAGTACATGTTGTTTTGTTTTGGTACACTATGTTAAAGTGAAACCTAATGTTATGTGTGTTTGTGTTAGGGAGCAGTGCCCAAAAGTGAATGAATGGTGAACTTAAAGATGCAATGTGTCACTTTCCTGGTTGTGTTCTATTGTGTGTTCATGTTCAGGAGCGGTTCCCTTGCCACGTTTCTCGGCCTACTCCTCATCTAAAGCGGCTCTCAGCTCCTTCTGCAGAGTCCTCAGACTGGAGATGATTCAATGGGGAGTCCACGTGGCCCTCATCCAGCCCTCAGGGTTTAAAACAAGTATGGGGCCTTTATTATAATCACTGATATTAATACTGCTACTGCTACTAGCGCTACTATTATTACTATTGACACTATTGCTACTAGTAGTCCTCATCCAAGCATCAGGCTTCAAGACAAGTAACTTTTAATACAGTCACTGATACTTCTAATGTTACTAATAGTACATACTACTGTTATTCTGCATTTAATGCCAATGTAAGTTGTGTATAAAGTAATGTTGGAATAGTGTCTCATATTGGTGCTTTTGAATTGGCAGTTCAATTCCAATACTACTACTTCCATACTGTTATTGTATCCTTGGGCAAGAAGGTTTACCCACCTTAGCTTTTTCTAGATTTGGTGTGCATGTGCGCGTGTGTGTGTGTGTGGTTGGGTGCATGGTTGTGTGTGTGTGTGTGGTTGGGTGCGTGGTTGTGTGTGTGTGTGTGTGTGTGTGTGTGTGTGTGTGTGTGTGTGTGAGTGTGTTGGTGGTGGGAGGGGCAGTCTGTTGATGCACAAATATTTTATCATCACTGAGCGTGAAGTGAATGAATAATGACTACAGTGTAGAGCTTTGGGAGGCTTGGACAAGCGCATTACAAGTGTAAGGCTTATTATAATAATCTAACATCTTGAAATCCTCTCTAAAGTATATGTCCTCTCTTCTCAGAGATCTTTGGCAGCAGTGAGGACTTGTCCAGGTACAGACAGGAGCTCCTCTCCCACACACCCCCTGAGGTCCTACAGGACTATGGTCAGGACTACATTTCCAATCTACCCTCCTCACTGGACACCATGTCCCAGAATGCAATGCAGGATGTGTCCCCGGTTCTGGATTGTATTGGGCACGCTCTGCTCTCCACACGTCCCAGAGAGCTGTACTGTCCTGGGAACGCCGCCTGGCTCCTCCCATTCCTCTACACGCACCTGCCGACCACTGTCTTTGACAGGATCATATTGAAGTTTAACAGTGACACCTGTCACCCCAGCGCCCTCCAGAACTGACACCTGCCACTACACCTGATACCTGCCACTACACCTGTCACCCCTGTGCCCTGCAGAACTGACATTAGTCACTATGCCTGTCATCCCACTACACCTGTGAAACTGACACCTGTCACCTCAACGTCCTGCAAGACTGAACTGCACTTACAACTGAACTACACCTGCCCCCCCAAAACTGAACTACACCTGTCACTACACCTGTTGCCCCTGTATAACTGAACAGAAAAATTCACATCTTTGTTGACTGTCCCATTCTGGACTCTGATGATCTCTGGGTGCTGTCCCAGCTCTTCTCCTGCTCCGTGCAGTACAAACTTGTCCAAAAGTCTGTAGTACATCTGTATTTTGTATTTGAAGAGCAGAGGAGCTCCTGCCCTGGACAAACAGCTGACAGACCCACACTCAGCAATAGGGCCTGAGAAGAATCAGCTTCAGGTGGGCCTGAGCAGAACAAACAGATCATACATCTGTACTCTACCGGTCAAACGTTTGGACACACCCTCTCATTCAATGTTTTTTCCTTTATGTTTACTACTGTCTACATTTTATATGTAAACGGAAGACATATATGAAGCCAGCTATAGGGAATTACGAAACAAAGAAAAAAAGTGAAATAACTCAGCTAAATATTTTTATATTTTATATTCAAACCCTTAAAGTATCCACCCTTTGCTTTGTGGACAGCGCTGCAAACCCTCGGCCTTCTCTCAAACAGCTTCATGATGAAGGCTCCTGAAATGGTTTTCACATCACAGCAGGGCCATGTCCGGGTCAAAAAATGCCAAAAGTGCAAAGCAGGGTCCAAAGAAATGGGTGGCCATTTGATATTTTAATCTAAAACAAGTTTTCTTTTTTTTTTTGTCAGTCAGAATCTGCAATGCAATAATCATGGAAATAAAGAAGAAACAAAAAATAAAAAGGGTGTCCAAACTTTTGACTGGTAGCGTAGTTATACAAGCATTTCTGTCTCACAGCTAGGCTAAATACAATACAAATGACAAAAGAAATAACTTGTTAAAAATGAAACTACTGACAAGTCAATTACTAATTCAATTTTATCTGAATAAATAGAGTATGTGAAAAGAGTTTCAAATAGCAACAGAACTTACTTACTCAGGGAAACTTGGCATTTTGTGTTTTTCTTACAGTGCACTCCACTAGTATGAGCTGTCCTCTGGAGATGTGTAAATTAATGCTGTAGTTTTATACTATTCTTAACCAAGTGTAAACCAGGACTAATCCAGGGTTAGTGACAATGACATTTTTTTATTACCTAATGAAGGCTCTGTACCTGTGTGTGTGTGTGTGTGTGGGTGTGTGTGTGTGTGTGTGTGTGTGTGTGTGTGTGTGTGGGTGTGCGTGGGTGTGTGTGTGTGTGTGTGCGTGCGTGCGTGCATGCGTGTGTGTGTCCATCCCCCCTCCCCTCCAAAAATGTTTTATATTTTTTGCTGGTTCATAATAAATAAATTATACAAAAACTAAAGAAGCATTCAATTTTCTTCAGAAATAAATCATATTTGAGTTGGTTTGACCCCCTGTACCCGAGTTTTACTTAAAATACGAAAAGTTAGTTCATATTAAACAGTTTGCAGTTGTCCAAAGTTCTTCCTCACTTACCTTATGAATTCTGAGCATCTTAATTACTCACCACGATGATTTTATAAGCACTTTTCACAACTTTCAGAGACAACAGCAGAGAGTTTATTGTGATGGTAAAGTTAGCAACAACTACCATGCTAACAGTGAATTTCCTGATTATTGGACACTAAAACATTTATAATTAGATGCAGACAATATGCCGCAAACTTATTTTGACCTCAAAAGCTGCTTATACAATATATTTGTAGTGGGACAGATAATAAAACTGAACTAAATTACCAAAACACAAATTAAACTTCATAACTGGTGTAATTTATCATTAAATTAATGACTGACATAGTAATACATTTGAAATGCTTTGATTTGTTTTTTACTCCGCTGCTTGAACCTGCCTGAGGGAATAAAGTGGAATCATGATTCACAGAACACTGCAAACCTAAGCCACACTGACAGATGCCAGGTACAACAGGTGACCGCCAAAAATCACAACCAGGAATAAGCACCTGCACTGGCCTCAGTCACCACCACTGCGTGGGTGAAAAGGTACTGTTTACCCAGGGCCTAGTTCAGGGAGGGGCCCCAAACAAAGTGAGCGATGTGCTTTTTCATTGGACAACATGTAAAGTGTGCCTCAGCTCAGGAATTTGCTGTATGACTGTCAGATTGCAGATTTGTTAGCCTCGTTTATGGTTCATATCTCTGTAATTACTGGGCCTATTTATGTGAAATGAAATGAGATAAGACAGCTTCAGAAAGTGGGTCATTATTCAACCCCAAAGACGTGATTGTTGTCAGTTGAAAGGACTTTAAAACATATAATTAATATGACAAGTTTGTGGAGCCAACCCCAAATAAATAAAAAAATTAGGTTCAGCATCATCAAATTCTTGAACTTGAACACAACCTAGGACTAATAAACCTGTCAAGATGTCAAAAATATAATTAAAGGACCCATATTACACTATTTTCTGATCTACGTTATGTTGTTTCCTCATCACAAACAGACCTATAGTTGTGTTTTGTTTCACTCACATGTTTAACACACAAATCCTGCATATAGTTCTTCTCTAAAACAGAAAACACTTTGGTCCACCTTGTGATGTCATGTGATGATACAGGAAGTACTCTACTGTGTTTTTAATCTCCATCTTCAGTAGAATCATTTCTATGATTCCAGCTCTGGAATTGACCATCTCTAAATAAAAGTAAAAATGTAGCTGTTGAACTTGAAAACTACCACTACATGACATCACAAAGTGAAACAGAGCATTCTGAGCTTTGGAGATGACAGAATAATAAAGGATTACTCAAACATGTGTGAATGAAACAAAACACAATTTTAGTTTAGGTTATTTAATGAGACAGGCACTGTATACATTAACCTTAACAGAGAGATGAGAGATGCTTTGTGTCAGGTTGTAGCAACAGTGCTAATTTCCACCTCTCGTCCCTGGGCAGGTTCATTGATTGATTGTAGGGTGACCATATTTCCGTTTGTGAAAACCCGGACACCTTTGGGGGGGGGGGGGGGGGGATTTCTCGGATTTTTTTTTTTTGTGTCCAATTTTTTACAGCATATGAACGCGTATTGTGTATTACAGGCGGGTAGTAATTACACACGGGTGGGTCAGAACTAAACCAGGTCTAAACCAGGACTAATCTTGGACTTAAGAGAGAAAACGCCGAGCAGTTTGTCCGCAAAGCGCGATCGGGCAATTGCCGCATTTAACTCCGTGAGGTGCGGAGCTGAGCCGGTCCTTTCTCCTGCGTCACCTCTGTGCCCGTCCTGACGGTGAGTCCTGTTTCAGTTCTGGTTTAGTCCTTTTTTAGTCCTGTTTTAGTCCTAGTTCAGTCGTGGATTAGTCCTCCTCTACAGTCCTGGAATCAGTCCTGGGTTAGTTCTGGTTTAGTCTTGGTTCAGTCCGTGGCATAGGCAGCGCAAAAGTTTGATATAATCTCGCGTTAACGGGCAGGTGCGGTGTTGTACTGCGCAGGTGCGGTGTTGTACTGGGGGTCTCCAAAAATGGAGGAATAAATGAATCTTCAGTTTGTTACATAAAGAAGGAGGAAAATAACATGATGACAGCAGCAACAAGTTTTAAGAAGGAAGTAAAAAGGGTTGCACCTGTCCTGTCTGAGAAAAGTGTATACAGTGTGTGCTGAGGGGTTTTACAGCCTTAACACAGATAGAATAGTTAAAATATAAAAATATAAAGTTGACTACTTCGCGGATTTCACCTGTCGTGGGTTATTTTTAGAATGTAACCCCCGCGATAAACGAGGGACACTGTACTCTCACCTTGCAACCTGTGCACATGGACTCACACTTGTCCCGACCGGGACGGAAAACGGAGAATTTCTTGTACCAGTCATTGTTAAATGCGCATTTGTGCTTCTAGTCCGGTTCCTTATATACTTTTGTGGGAATTTTTTGGGGATTTGCTAACCTATATATTTTTGGAAAGGGTATAGTAAATGGAGTCAGGAAATCAATGTTTGCATTTGCCCACATTCCTTTATGGTGGCCATATTGGATTTAAAAAAAAAAAGGCCACCAAAAAACCCTTTTTGGAATATCTCAGCCTCTGAATAAGTTGAAATGTTGATTTTAACTGCTAAACCCACATTTTCAGGGTCAGGGAATCAAATGGTGCTAGTTACAAAGCTGTAAGACCTACCCACATTAACCCTTAGATGAATAAGTGGGTCAAAATGATGTAATACTCCATGTTCCTCCAAATACATGTTTTTTTTGTTTTTTTTATTATCCTGCTGAAATACATCAACAATATGGGTAAAACTAATTATAAACATCACATGCAGTTGGTCAGATAACTCAAAGAGTTTAAAAGTAGCTAACATAAAATTTGGATGTTGGATGTAAACACACACATTTAGACACAATATGATTACACAACTTTTTGATGAGACATTTTCTATACATCATCATTATCATCATCACTTTCATACAACCATAAACTGTATATATGAGTGAACAGATCTAACACTGTAGCCGCCATGTGCCACATAGGAAGTTCTCCAGGAGGCTCTTCCGGCTCCTTCTGACTCTGGCTCCAATGGACTTACATTAGGTTCTTGTGGCTCCTCTCTCTGTACCTGCTGCAGTGAGCCTCAACATTTTGGTCTTAAAATGTTTGTGTTAACCCACGACACATGATCCTATTCATAATATAGAGTCTGACTCCAGATTGGCTCCTGTAACTGTGAACATCATAAGCGTCATTTGAGTGGTACTGAACTCTGTGGGTCACACTCACTTAGTCCACTTCTTTTATACAGTCTATGCAACAACATGGTTTCGGAATCATCGTCATTCTGGCACTGGCTGCTGCACTGACACATGTTGGTACAGGATAAACCTTTAGTTTCTGGTGTGCAGTTCTGCAGTTGCCTTTGTACTTGGCAGTGGTGAACCGTGGACCTGAACCCTGAGCCTTCATTAGGACCAACTGCTGCTATCATGACATCATTTATTTAAAGAAAACTAAATGAAGCAAATTGCGCATGCACTTATTGCATATATTTGCTTAATAAACATTAGCTACTGTTCAACAAGATGGATAGATCCACGGCTGTCCGGGCTCTGAGCTCTGGTCCGGCCGTGGGCTCTGAGCTCCAGTTCTTCCGTCGTCCAAATAGGGGTGTCCTGCTTGTTTTTTGACACTGCGGTCTCGCTTATATTTGCTAACACATGGTATTCACAACATGTGGTATGTGTGTGTGTGTGTGTGTATATATATATATATATATATATATATATATAGGGAATGCGGCTACGGCCAAATACCTGCAAATAGTGAGGCAAGTCTTAAGAAGCCAGCTCAATGGCAAGAACAAGGCGCAGGCAATCAACAGCTCTGCCCTGCCAGTGATCAGATCCCTGCAGGAATCATAAGCTGGCCAAAGGAGGAGATACAGACCACAGATGTTAAGACACGAAAGCTCCTGACCATGCATGGAGGGTTCCATCCCAATGACTTGAGAGGGTCTGAAGGACACACAGAGGCTCA